TGTAGAGCATTATTGGGACGGGACTAGTGAAAGGCTAAAAATCTATCCATCCATCTCTCTCTCATCCTTTCGGTGGACCATGATGCTGAATTTCTCTTCCTCCTTTCTCTCCTCCTTAGTAGCTCACAGTGGGCTCTGATGCACCCACCACATGCTGAAATATAAGGCATACCATTCGGCTTTCCTATGAATTCCAGCATGGCATGGCTCGAGCTTGTGTGATAGTTTCCCAAAATTTTCACCACCCAACCAACTAACTGAATTGTTGACTGACTGCTGTTTCTCAGCTCGTTTTCACTTTCTCTCTCGTACTATCCAGCCAAGCAGGGTGATCGATATTTGCCTCATTCACATCTCTCAACAGCCATCCAGGCAAACTTCTTCATTACTTCCTTGCACTTACTTGCCCAACCAGAGTGAAATAATCTAGCACCACTAAAGCTGCTGCAGATGTGATGTCTCTTGCTATGGGAAAATCCTGCTCACTGCTTTATTACCACAGAGATGAACAACTGGTAGCACGTGAACTTGCATTTGACGCAAATGATTCTATTAGGAAAAAGTGAGTAAGTAAGGCGAAGGCCGTGTGAGAAGGGCATGAATGGTCTACATTAATAAGAAGAGAATAGAATTTGCCTTGGTCGTCTGCACCATTTATTTAAGATTTAATCTACTACTTACCTGGCCTCTGTGTGCACATTATTACAGGGACCATCGAATACCATCACCACCTGTTTCATCCTCTGCGCGAAATGCTTTCACTTTGGTTGTGTATTTAATTTAATCCATTCTCTCATCCACCAAGGACTCTGCAATTTGGGCAATGTCACTAATGACATCTTCAAGATTTAAGAGTTTACTTTGGATTGTTGAGTTAAGCGAACTACGGCTTTTGAAGTTTTGAGCAGATGAAATATGAACGTGGAGTCAAAAAACAAGGATCCAGCCTCTGGAAATTTATGGACGTTGTTGTAGGCTCCTCTGTTTTGTGTGACATGTACTCTTTTTCATGCAATAAACTATCGTAGTGATGGTGGTGACGATGGTGGTACTCTCAGTTGACATCAGCAATTTAACCAAATTTCATGCAACCCCGTGGTGATTTACGAACTATGTATCCATCCACCAAAGCTGCATGCAGACAAGTGTTGCCAGTTTGCCTGCGTGTTTGGACAAAGGAGAAAGAGTTTCTAAATTGTTAGGCGGCTCCTACCCAGTTCTGCAAGTTGTTCTAAAAAACATCGCCAGCGAGTGAAGAAAGACGAAACGAAACTGTAATAACCAACGAGGGAGTATAACGGCCAAAACTTTCTTCATTCTGATCCACGCTGTAACCAATTAGATTTCCTGATGATAATGGCACAATTACTTATCGTCTCAAAACAAAACTTGCAGATACTCACCATGACACGTACGCGGATGTTTCGTTATCAAGAGGGTGCATGGTGTTTGATATATTTGTCTAGAAACTTGCAGTGCGAAAGTGTCAGTGGCTAACCTCAGATTTCGATTGAACCAACTTTGTTCGGTGCCAAAAATAAGCTGACCTGTATTTTTTTATTTGTATGCTCAATTTGACTGCTCTTAATTTTGGTATGATTTCAAAAAATCCGAAATATGTACATTCAGAATTATGCTACTGACTTTTTGAAAACGCAAATCTTTTTTTCAAAATTTTTTGAATTTATTAATTGTTTACCTGTTTCTGAATTTTGAAAAATTCCAAAATTGAGCAAAATTTTTAACTTTACCAGCCGCCGAGGGGTTGAAGTATTGCGCATTAAAAAAATTAAAATTACGGGTCTTCTTATTTTTGGGACTGAACAAATTAAAATTGGTCTGGTCAAAATCTGAGGTCAGCCTCTGGCACCTTCGCATTGTAAGTTGCATTCCACTTGGGGACGACAACGGCAGATTTTCGAAGGACCGCACAGTCCCTCAATTCTCTCCCATGTAGTTATTTACACACGAAACGCTATAGACCCAGACCATGCAGTTTCATATGAACGTATCCACGCAGTGTGAGGAGGCAATTTGGCTATGGGAAAAGTGAAAATGAACATTTGTTTGACAAAGGTGATGTTTATGGGCTGGTTTGTCCGCACTTTCCAAGGACACGTGAAGTGCTTATACTTCCTCTCCTCCATTATCTCTCGATTTCTCATGGCGAGATCAACGACAAAACTTAGCTCGAAATGCACGAGGATGCTTTTTTGATATTCTGCCTCTAACACATATATGGCAAACATTACATTGTGTGCTACATAGGCCAGCACATACATATAGGTCTTTTGATGACATTTTTACTTTTATGGATCTATTTTCTTTGTTCTCTCGGTGCGAATAAACGCCTAGTTCCCACGCCTAGTTGTTGACCAAGTCATGTATAGACTCTGGTGTGATTTTGATTCTCTTTGGCATGTTACATGAGCTCTGGTCTTTCAAGAAGGTCCAATTTTGCATAAGAAATCCACCCAGAATTGAGTCTTTTTTTTAATGCACAGACCACATTTATTCATATGCAAAGAGCCATATGCGAGCGTTTACTCATATACAAGTGTATATATGTAAGTACATACGTAGTATATTTAGTAACGTTCTCTCATCATCTACATTTCCATGTAATATTACTCACATCGAATCATCGTTAGTTTATTTTATGCTCCTTTCTCTCTTTCTCTCTGCGTGTGGTTGTGTTGCGATATGATACGTGGCCTGCCGACAAAGTTCAGTCAATTAAGCTGTATTATTTTCTCACATAATGCAACCAAACTGGAGAAAGCGTAACTCTCAGGTATAGAGGCGCCTCCATAGGCTCAGCTCATACAACGGTGGTCACTCTGTTTTCCCTACGGCGCTGGTTAGGGTCTGGGCAAGACAAGAGGATGTGAGTCGATGAGTAACCATTATCATGAATGATCGTCGTCATCAAGCCTTGACCATTTCACGATGTTTTCGTAATTGTTGGTATCCATGTCTCTCTCTTCGTCTGCTGCGGGTTCTCTCGCTTACATAAATAAAATAATGGTCAGAGAAAGTACGAGTAGGAGCAGACCTTCTAAATAAAGAGCTATATTATTCACTTGAGCTGCTGCATTATAATGGTAGGCTAGTTCCATGGTTCATATTATTTTGAGCGAAAGTTGGAGTAAATTTAACTGAATTTGTTCTCTGCATGAACAATTCAATAATTATAGAGAAGGCAAAGAATTTCAAAGTTCTAAATTCTAATATAAATATAATTATACGTGAAATTTTCGGTTATTTTTATTAATTTTTGCATGTACATGGGTGACAGTTGTACAGTTGCACAATGCCATATTATGAGAAATATCTCGTCACGAGATTTCAATATTCAGATTTATGAACAGTAGAGAAAAGATGGGTCGATAATTTGTTTCAAACGAAAGCATATAGTCTTTAGTTGCGTAACACTATTAATTAATATACACGTACAGATGAGGAATTTTGGTTATCATGAAGCCTGTCTTTGAGTATACCTACCTAATTATGGAGTCTGCAATTGAAATTCAAACAAAACTCTTACCTGACTTTGTGCAAATTTAATTATATATCTCATTGATAGACATATACATATAAAATATATATTATATTTATCTGACAAGCTCAGTCAGGCGTTTCACATACAATATTTGACAGGTCAATTGGTCAATTATATTTGCGGACATTATATTATTATATTCAAACGCTTCGTTTACGTCACCTGTATGTATTCTTCATTGGAAGGGTGGAACAATTATAAGAGATTTGCTTATAACATTGGGTGTCTGTTTCTTAGCATATTTAGTGTCGTTGTACCTGTGGGTTTCCTTGTTTTCTTGTGGAAATGTATTAGGGCTTTATGGATTTGAGTATGATGGAGTGATTTAAAATTTCTCAAAGAAAAACTCAAGTTTCCCATTAGCTTTATTACCTCACACAGCTTCTCCTGAAACCAAATCTGCCTTAAACTTTCCACTTCAAATAAATTAAATTGATTAAAGCTTCCGTTGCTTGGGTAAAACTTATTTAGGTCGCATCAGCATAACACTGCCGGTTGTTCAACATATCCAACTAATTAATTTGCAAACAAATGATGATGAAGAAACCCTTGAAAATGTCGACGCTTAATCCAATGCATGTATGGACTTGTATGAATTCGTATAATCAAATGCTGGATTTCTCACTCAAGGACCCGACTCCTCTGACATGCATTCAAATTACATAATAAATTAGATTTATTGTATAGGACTCATCCAGTCTATATATGTTATGCTTGCGGTTACTCTGCGTACACACCGAAGTATGTTCATAAGTACGTATGTATACACATATGCATGATTGCGAGGTGAATGACGTCTTGGATTTCTCGAGTGTCTCGAATCTAAGCAAGTTGAGGCGACAGGTTGAAAGACAGAACAACTCGGGGAACATAATAACATAAAGTCTCTTGTGGACAGAAATGTATAGTTCATCCATTACACGTGATGGGCAGGCTTACTGCATACACGGTCGTGTTACCGCCCAAGTCCGTAATGTCGACTGTCGACCGTAATAAAATATTCATCTCACTTATCAAAGCAAAGTGCTCTTAATCCTCAATTGAAGTCCAGTGGGAAAATTATGGTTTCGATGAAATGCCCATTTGCTCCATTAAATGGCCCGACGTGCTTTCACTTCACACTCAAACACCTCATTCCTAATGCAACGTCTCACCCTCCCTCAGCTCGGGAGCCAGTGCGGTTAGCCAGACTTTTTACGGGGCAGCTCTCCCAGTTCTCTATGCGTACGTGCATACATGCACAAGTCTGGCTAGTCTACGGTGAGAATGATTGCATGAATATGGATGATTTTAGACAAGCAAGAGACTTCAAGTATGTAAAAAAGCGAATAAACTGCCCATTACTTGGTTGATTACACCCTGATCGTACATTGACACAGATAACGTACATAAATCTTAGATACCAATAATGACTAATTACAATTTTATGCAATTACAGAACAATCATCGTTATACGACAACAATCACTACCACGAAGAATGTTTGCGGTGCAATTCTTGTGGAATCAACCTTTCTGGAATTACTCAAGTAAGTGGCATTTTCTATTGCAGGATAACAGGCTACAAGAGAAAGGAACTTTCTTTTTCGGTCCATGAATTCCATTGACAATGTCAATCATTGCTAAAAGGAGGGCAACCTTCCCAGCACTCGTTTATTTATATTGCACCTTTTTGTACTGTCGAATATGGAACGCCTTAAACACGCATTTAATTAGGACTAGCAATGCATAGGTTATGTTCATAATTGTACATATAAATACATAAAAGATTGAACATGTTTGCTTATCAAGGCATATACGGTATATAAATTTACACGAATTACACCCAATTGCTTTGTGATAATAGTATTGCTGGCAATTATTACAAAGGGAAATAAATATATATAACTGATTTTATTCCAACAATGTAAATTACAATTAATTTACAGTCTTAATGAGCAAGAAATTCACATTTACAAATTGTGCAGGTGCTGGATAATTGAAAGAGTAAATAAATAAGGCAAAAAGTCTAGTCTATTTAAATAGTTATAAGTTCAATAAGAACTGACTCCAACCCTTATGACCCTATCTAACCAATAACACATTGTAATATAAAGGCGCACGTGTCATATGTACTCTTTAACCTCCCAGATTCTGATGAAAATAAATTCAGTCTGTTCATTATTTGAAGTACCTATTCAGAAACACTCATACTTTTAAATACGTTACCCTGAATGTGCGTGTTTCTGAATTCTGAAATCGAGAAATACATAGTTTAAAAAGTTTGCTTTTGGAAACCCATACTAGTTTTGACTAAAGGCAAACGAAAGTCTCGCCACACGCATTCATAGAAATGCAAAAAATAACAACAAATTAAAATACAATAACAAAAATATCGTTTAAAATTGAGGATTCCTTTTCAATGACTTTGTGCGTAAGTATGTACTCACAACTTTTTTATTTCCATTTGACATATGTACATACCAGTAGTAGTCAAGCACCGTAAATCTATATAATGAGAATTCAGATGCTCAGATTTGCTGATTTCTTCACGTTTAGTACTACTAGTATCCTATAGAATGGCAAAACGTCAAACAGTATTGCTTTGTATCCATATTGTCGTACAGATGTATGACGATTTACACGACAAGCTACGAATTGTTTTGTATATAGTTCTCCTGTATAAGAGAGAAAGTTGTCTTTATGAGACAAATATGTAGTCAAAAGTTTAAGAAGCAGAGTGGCAAGAAAAGTGTTCCATTGATTGAAATTGTTCGCACTTGGAGAGCTCATAAAAATAGTTCCTGTTTTTCTTTGATGCAAAATAAACTTCTTGCGACGTTTTGAAGTGTTATTGCGCCTTATCATCGAGGCAATAAGGTTTGTCCACCGTAGCAATAGTTCAACTTGTGAATGGGAATGCATGAGAGGCGATAATGAAAGCAAACAAGTTGCTCTCTCATCAGCTCCCCATTGTTTAAGCACTGTTTGCTTATGCATGAACACAGACTCGGAGGCTGTGAAAGTCACTGCGCAACAAAGTGTGCTTGAATTAATTACAACGGCTCTAGGAATTAAATAGTTTGTTCTTTATAACGTTGAGATTGATATAATAAGGCGCAGATAAATTAATGCAAACAAAATAAATTGGCACATTTCGTTATTGAATATGAATCTGATTCGCTGATAAGTAAAGAAATATTAAATCAAATTAATTCTTGCCAATTTGTAATGCATTAATAAAATTTGATTGCAGAAGAGGGCTCGGCGCTTCAAGAACCAGATTTTGTGTGATCTGCACTTTGCAGACGTAAGTGAAAGTTATTTTATTTTGAGGAGAAATAAATATTCACGTATGCTTCGATATCGATTTTTCGGTCATCTTTAAATGTTTTTTTCGTGTATATTAAATTATTAGGTGGCTCTGATGGAGTGTTCAGATTTTGTAAGTCGTTTGTTTGTCTACTTGTTTTTCTTACTCGGAACTGGAAAATTGTTTCTCAATCCGTCAATTCTTCTAGTTTATCCATTTTTTATTAAACTACGAAAGTACGACCAACAAATTTATTTTATTTAATATATACAGCTAATTGAATACTAAAACAATATCAGTGTTTACATGTCCCTCGTTCTTCTATTTAATGTGCGTCGTGCAACACTTGATTGTTTTTGCAGATGAACCAACTGCGATCCTTCAAGCCACAAAGCTTAGGGTGTGCTGTAAGTATTTAAAGTATTAAAATCAATATAAATATTCTGACTAAACTGTTTCATTCCAATGTTGAAAATTAAAGACCACTTTGACATGTTATGTCCTTTGTCATTTCAACAGGTGGCCAGACGGAAATCTTCAACCACGCTCATATTTCCTCTTCCACCACAAAGTTGTTCAGGTTTGTTCTACATTTATTCTGTAATAAAAGTTAGACATTTTCCAGATAATAATTTTTTATGGCTTTCTTTTATTATTTAATAACTAGAAATGAGACTAATTTCGTAACAAAATTATCAAGTCAGACATTTACAAGAACATAATATTGGAACTTGTACATTAAACCAAATTAATTCATAATATGAATTTCATATCGATAAAAAAATAATTAATAAGCATAGGCCACCTTGTAATTTGATTATCTACCTCGTTTGGGGTGCATGCGAATCTCATCATCTTTTATCTGTTGAGGAGAAGATTTGCTTTTAATATTGAAGAAAATTCAATCGATAATTCATAATTTCATAATTTGAACTTGGTTCAGGTGAGATATTTGTGCAAAAGCTTCTTGCGGCAAAGTATGCAGTATTGATTGAAAGTTTATAGTTATTTCCCAAGTAAAACCAATCATACTGTGTGATGCATACATATTTATACATGTCGACGAGTTTGATTGGTGTCACGGAAGCTAGAAAATTTGGCAGTGGAGATAATTCTTGGGCTGCCAAGTGCTGAGAACTGGAGTTGGACAGCCTTGTCGTTTGTCTCTGTCTCCATTAAAACTTTATAATTGACAAAGTTTACCATTCGTCCTGCAATCATGTATCAAAGCCCCTTTGGGGTAGTAGCAGCTGCCCCTCCAAAGTCATTTTGTGCATATTTTTGTCACTCTCTCGCATGTTGGGTGGAATTCCCAAGCCTCCCATTATTCAATAGTGATGAATGAGTAATTGTGCATCCTTTAATTATGCAGGATATGTATGTGTATAAACTGACTAACTATTTTCAGATGAATTTTGTGAAGAATACCCACATCAATTAATTCCAACACCAGGCTATTGGATTGAATGTTCCAGACAAAACCAAAACAGGGGAAATCCAAATGTTTGGGATGAGCAATCGGAATCTGGTAAGAGAAAGATAGCAATTCCATGCATGCCGAATGTTGTTGGCCAGGAGGCAGGGAGGATGATGATGAAAGTTCACTTGATAGAATTACAGCACGCTTTCTCGACAAGCAAATAGTCGTCGGAATGCGAAAGAATTCTGAGAGTCGGGCATATCAATAGAACGGAAAGTACTTATATAAGAGCACAGCCTATCGACCTACCGATACAGACAATCTGCCATGGGCTATACTACTGTATCCAAAGTTAGATAATATTGAAAATATTGTTGAAATTCATCTAGTTTCACTAAATATATAACGGGGAACCCTGAAGGGAAGAACATTTGATCTTAAAATTGTCAAAATGGTGCCTAGTCTTTTGTCAAGCTCTTCAACTGAACCGTGAAAAAGGTGCATGCATAAAATTTATTAATACGCTCACAATGTCGTGGGTGGGAGGATGAGATAATTTTATATAAAATAACACACTTATGTCAGAAATATGTAACACAAAGGTATTTTGGTGTGTATAAATGCATAGTATATTATACAATCCAATCCGATAGGCTGTTGCATAATCGTTGGGTAGGCAATTACGCAAATTTACATTCGGTTCCATTGTCTAGATTTCCAAGAGAAAGAGGAGGAAGATTCGAAGGATGATGAGGACGAGGTCGATGACGATGATGAAGAAAATGAAGACTTTGATGGCAATGAAGGTGCTCGAAAGAAGAAAAGAAAAAACCACGCAAACATCCAAGTGGTAAGTGTGCACGGAGAAAACTTGATATGTCCAATAAATTTCGTTGAATATAAACTTGGTTGAATATATGCGCGTGGAATATATTTATATTCATACATACATGTATTCACTCTTCAGGATTAAATTTTGTGCTCAATTTGATTATTGAAAGCTAGAATGCTTCTTCAAGTAATGCACGTATGTATGTGAGTATGTATCTCTGATAGGTTAGTAAAGCTCGTCGGGGTCATGAACATTTTCTTATTTTCCGTTGTGAGTCGTCATCCTATCATGTTGGCTTGCGGATCATCTAGGAAACGTGAGACTGTAGTGTTTCACTAGGGTTAAAGTCTTTAAATATGTACCATGTGTGCATATTTCACTCAGACAGTTCAAAAATTGGATTTGCAATTGAATACCTACGTAAATATGCGGGTTTCCAACGTCGTTCAAAATAGGGATGCCAAAAAAATACTGCTTTATACGGCGAACAAATTTGTTTAGTTCTATTACTATTGTTCAGGTTTATTATTTCGACCAAGTAGCAGCAGTGGTTTCTTGCTCTTTGGATTGTCGCTTTTTTATTTTATGGATTTCATCTCTTTTGCGTGCATTTCAGTGTACAGAAGAAGACGAAGATCGCCTCCCAAGAATATGTGAACCAACAAAAACATCGATTGAGGAGCAATGGGAGAAAAATGGCTGCTTCGAGCTGACTTCTGTGGAGCAAGAGACGTACGAGAAATATTTGTTTGGAACAGGTAAGCACACAGTTTATGAATGTAATAACTAGTTTCCACGATGACTATGTAGAGCAACAGATTAATTAAAAACTGATAATTTCTTCTAGAACACTGGAATTACTTCACAAACGACGAGGTATAATATTACGGCAGTATAATCTTTGTGCTTGTTTTATTCTTGGTAACTAATAAATGCCTTATCTCAGGATCTGGGACCTGTCATCCTCTCTCTCAAACAGGAAACATTAAACGGCAGAGACCAATTCAGGTAAAGTTAATAAAACCATCTGTTTTCTGATTTTCTTTCTCTACTCTTTTTGAACATCAAGTTGCTGTGAAAATTCATGATAATCACGATAACTGTACATATTATATTCCGATATGCCCAGTTGTGCGTTTTCAATTCTATATACAAAGCTTAAATACGACTTATATCCATGAAATCCATTTTAACAAAGATAACTTCTAAAATTAGTTATACAATGATTGCTAAATTCCACGCTCAGCGTTGTGTATGCATACCTTACATAAATAAGTGAGTCACTTATTTATGTTTCGGAAAAACCCAGGGTTTTAATCAAAAATTATAAAACCCATGGGTTTTAATGGGTTTTACCATGTTAATTGGGTTTTATTTGGGTTTTAATGGGTTTTAATGGGTCTTATTGGGTTTAAATGGGTTTTATAGGGTTTTATTAGTTTTAAGTAATAACTTAACAAAAATAATTAGGAATTTGTATCTATTCGGAAATTATTTTGTTTTATAACACTTGAAATCTGTGATGCTAAAGGATGGAGTCAATTATTGAATTGTTCCGAATTTTCATATATTAGAATAGTAATGAAATAAACTGCTTTAGAATGAATTGAGATAACGTCTTCTAACGTATAGGAGATGTATTTAACTTTTAGAATGTAGTTTTTAAGTAAAACTCAATTAAAACCCAATAAAACCCATTAAAACCCAAATAAAACCCACTTAACATGGTAAAACCCACTGGGTTTTATTCATTTACAACCCATTAAAACCCATTAAAACCCAATAAAACCCAACCCATTAAAACCCAGGTCGGAATACCCTGTAAGTGACCAGGTTGAGGAATTCCTTCTTGAAATTGAACTTTTTCAGTATTTAACGATAGCAGAATCAAATGATTTTTTGTACGCGTCACATTATTAACGCTATATATGTATTTATGTAAGGCAATACCTTAGGGTATGAATAATAAAAGCTAGCACTTCTACTGCATAACTGTCGGTATCCTGGCATCCATAACCAGTAAATCGATAAGGTATGTGCGCCTTTATACCCATGAAAAATACAATGTCTAACTGGTAGGCTCTAACCTCAGCAAACTTGAGTTGACTGAGGAAAGGTGAGACAAGGCGATTCCTCACTATTCACTAAAATATAAATATTCATTACGTTTTTTCATCGCCATTTAATTAACCTCAGATAACTTTGGCAAGCATTTAACTGATAGTAGGCTATAGACGTGCTATGACTTGGCTTGGGCACGCGTATGGCATAGCTATGCCATACTAAATATGTTCCTCATCTGCTCAATGAATCCACCCACCCGTGACCCACCCACGGATCACAGTACTTGTCAATCAAGAAAACTTCACCAGTTTCATTATCATATTTTCCATCGTAATTTAATTTTAGTCTGTTGTGCTATCGTTATGAAGTGATTTTTTTTGTTAATTTTATCCGTTTACATATTTTCCCCAGTTCATACATAAATTGCAAATAAACACGTGGGGGACGGGGAAAAATTAATTCTTACCAAAATTCAGTTTTGACGACGCAAGAGGGTTGTGTTTGTATCTCTTTTTTCCATTTTTCCTATATTTTTGATATATAATCGAATCAACCATCAACAAAACTTCAATTTTGTGGATTTCTACAAAACCTCTTGGAATCCTTTCTCAAAAGAAGTGTCGTCGCTATTTTTTGTGGGAAAGAATCACATAGTTGAGCCTGTTGAGGGATTTTCCTTTTATTAAAAGTAAACCGATAATAGGATTACTTCGTCAACCAACGCTTATATATATTGAATCTGAACAGGAACGACTTGACTGTCAGAGTGATATCGAACAATGAAGAGAATAATGGTGAAAGTTGATAATTTCAAATAAAGTTGATTCAATCCACTGCTCTTTTTCCTTATAAATCCAAATTATTCGCTCAAAAATAGTTGTTATTTCTGCCATATTGGTAAATGCGGACTGGGGACAGTGCTTTCTTCGACTGATCTGTAAATCAGAGCAAACTTGGTTTATACTTTTCACAAAGCTACATTCTTTTTCAGTCGTCTCCACACACTTTCGTTTGTCTGTACTAAAACAACGAACAACTCCAAAGCAAAGCTAATATTTTGTTTGATAATGCACTAAACTTTTATGTTATTACGAATGAGCATATATTTACTTATGGACATTTATTTCGGAATCCCGAGTTTTATGCACAAAATTGCTCATACGGGGTGTGTACTGTGTGTCTTGTGTGACACAGAATCTGGTATTAGTGGGTGGCGTGGGTGCGTTATAAATACGCTGTAATGCTATTTATATTTACTTTGGGCTTGACATTAGGAGAAACCATCAACTTTCTAAACAAACTCGTGATCAACTGAAACATGAAAAACTGTTTTGAATTGCTGAAAATTTAATTACCATTCCTATTTACGCATCTAAATATACATACTCCTGCATAAGTTGGTTTAGATTGAAAATTTATTTGGCGAGGCTTCACTTCTGCTTAGCTTACTACATTTTAACCTGTTCTTGAAGTTACTTCTTTTCTGTTGCGAGACAGAGATACACGAAACTTGGATTGATTATATAGTGGGCTACAAGAAATTTCTACCATCCATGTTACGTAACGCCTACTTTCTCAGTATTCCACAGATTTGTTCGTATTGTTTTGTGACGATGAACCACAAGAATGATCTCATTGCAATTTAGTGTAATTATTATTCTATTCTAACACCATGCCATCTCTAATTGTTTCTAAACTTTGGAAAATAATAATTCAATTTGCATAGGATTAAAATCTGCAAGCAGAATTTGCGTCTTGATATTTCTACGTATCAAAAATACTGGATCAAATTGTGTATCCAGCTGCAGTTAGATATATTGACAGCCAGTGTTACATAACGTACACATATGTACATGGATGCATATCCATAGTTGGTTGCAATATTTATTCTCAGAGAACTTGTTGATATAGGACGAGAGGACGAGCTTGTACAAATCCTTACGTCACGAAAATGTAGTTCGTACATGTGTATAGATAGATACTTAACTAGGGCTGGAGAAGATCGGTAAAATCCAAAGACATGCAGCAGTGACAGTGAAAGAAAGAAAGAAAGAAAACGAAGGAAAGAAATGAACAAACAAGTGAATTGGTTGGAAGTAGATGAACAAATTGGTAAATACTACTGAGCAACCAGATCTGCTGCTAAACATGAATACTTGGGGAAAAGACATGCCGTGCATCTTGGTCCACAGTGAATGAGAGTTCAAGTCAGACGGAGAAAATGGGAGCACGTAAGAGAATGGAGGAAACTTTCTCTCTCTCTCTCTTCTCAACCTACACCAAAAGGAATCACAAAGAAAGAAGAATCTCTCTCAAACTTGCAACTAGCCCAGTTTTAGTTTGGTTTTGAGTCTTTGAACCCAAAAGTAGTCTCACTGTCTACCTGTTTGGTTTGGGTGAAAGTGGAGGAAACCGACCTATTCAGAGACAGTGGTGGTGATGGTGGTGGGTAGGCAGGACAAACAGACGGAGGAGTGTGTGTGTAGTAACTTGAGGAATATGACGTTCCTTCGCCATCCTCCTCCTTGGGACCTCTGGGAAATGGGGAAATCGATTTCCATCTCGAGCCAGGCACACTGCACACTTGCCGACTGACTCTCATGCTTATTTCCCCCTTCGCAGCCCAGCAGATGCTCCGGCTCAGAGGGAGACGGAGAATGTGTGGAGAAAGCAATAAGGCAAACTCACTCACTCACTCACTCACGAGGAGAGAGAAAGCTAGATCATGCACTTTTCTTCCTTTCTCACTCTCACTCTACGCATCTTGAGCACTTCAAATATTGTCTAATCAAAAAGTGTGTTGATGTGTCTTGTAATAATCATTTTTTCTGGTAATCCCACTGGAACAAAAGTAGTTTAGTAGACCCATTTCTGCTGGTTGATCGATAGCGGATAATTTTTTTTACATGCTGCAAATGCCCTTGCAGACACCTTGCATGACCAACAACTGTGGAATGAGAAAAAACACAGCAGATGTGTCATAATTCGCAGAGTTTTTTTATCGGTACGACATTGTTTGCCGTGTAAGATGGCGTCACACACCCAAATGCATGACAAATTTTAAGCAAGGTTCCTGTTGTAATTTTCCTTGCAATGGAGGAAACGATCTAGAGAATTTTAAGCAGATAAATAAATGGGATTTAGTCCATCATTTATTTTACTCACCAGAACGTCCATATGTTCTCTCTCAGGACACATATTCCTTTTCCTTCTCAGAGGTTTATTTCTAAAATCATATGCTTAAGTATCTACAGAAAACCACGATCATCATTCAGCCGTACTTTAGAAAACTTTATTTAACGACAGATGGTGACTTGAATGAGATTAAAATTGAAAGAAGACTGCTGTGAGAAATTATAGAACAAAAAACACTCAAAGTCTGTCTGGCATCACAAATTCAGAACTTTTGCACCTTTTGATTTTGATTAATTGACACCTATCAGCAGGGGCCAACTAAGGCAGAACGTTGTTTGAATAAATTTCATTTATTCCGTGAATCTTTTTGAGCAAGGTTTTTCGCCCAATGCTACGTATGCAGATTCAGTTGATTTAGCTCAAAAGAAGAAAGTTTCATTTTGAAGGACTTTAGAATAAGACTCAATATTTTGCTGCGTCCGGATATTGCAAGCGGTTATTCAGTGGCAAACGTTGCATTCACATAATTCACATCTACGAGTAAATGCATGATTTTCAAGTCTATGTATGTACGTATGTTGGTTGGGTCATGCACGAAGGAAACTTTCACTCGCATCCATTTTCTACCTTCATTTACTGGAAATTACGATCGGCGTAAAATGTTAATTTTTCTGAACCACGCATAATAATATATTCACAAAGTAAAGGCTGTTCTTTCAAGGCTAATCTTGGGAATATTTTTATCCACGCTGGTTGAAATATGGTTGAGAAAAAGTTTTCGGGTACGAGATCTGCACGTGGATGTAATTTTCGTGTTTCTGCTAACTAATTTAGAGTTTTGTGCACTGGGTTGAAAACTACACGGTGTTTTTTTTGGAGAATGTATGTACAGAGCGGACCAAAGCTAATGAGTGTTAATTTCTATTTGTGTAACTTAAATTCCAGGATATTAGTAAGAGCGATAAGCTACACTGTTCATGGGCTCATCCCTGCATCGTGCGTTTTTGCGGATCGATATAATCGTGAGGAGGTAAGAACTCGCATTCGCATGCTTACATTCCCTTAATCATGGACTTGGGATTCGCTATGCTAACTAAAATAAGGCAACAAACCCGAAAAGAGAATAAGCTAATTGGGACTTGGTTATTAATAACTTCAGCATTATGAATTTGTATAAACTAATTGATTCAGCTCCATACAAGAACTCAGCAATTGAAAAGGCCTACGGTTTGTTGGAATCAGTGCAGATGACGGATTTTAGGAATACCAAAATTTGTTTAAATTCTCAAATGTCATAATTGATTCTGCCTAATTTACATGCATGTGTAAATCCACTAGTATAGCTTATTATTTAAAATAGTATAAACCAGAGAATAAAATGGCCACATTTAATCATTCATAAATTAGTTTTAGAGGTGATGGGTAATATGTAGATTGAGTGAGAGGAGAAAACAATTAGTGGTAAAATTTTTCTAAATTTCGCCACCTACGCCATTTGTCTCCATTACATTAATAAAACTACTACTACAAGAGAATACTGCTCGCTCGCTTTCTCCATCCCACGCCTACGGACGGAGGCTAATTTAGACCAAACAAAACCAACGCAACTTTAACAATTTTTCTCTGTTCTTTGAAGGTTGTTCGCTCTCTTGGAAAAGAGATTAACCTAAGTCCGCCCCTAACCTTAGGCCAGCTTCCCGATACTCCGGAGGAATTGCTCAAGCTTGACCAGGTAAGCAATCCATTTTTCGTGAGTCATAAGATCACTACAGGAAATTGTGCTACGTGAGCAGAAAATAAGTGAATTCCGTATTACTAAAAGATCGTCTACGTTTGCTTAATAACGAATTGTAGAGTAAAGTTTATGATCTTGTACCTCTTTCGGTGATTATTTCTCAAACTCTTTTCCCATGTTTTCATTTATTTGATGGTAAGCGTGAACTCGTTATCTTTGTCATGCGTAGGTGTTCATAAAATCCGAGCTCAAGGTTGGTGTCATTTACGTGAAAGAGGGCCAATATACGGAGGAAGAGATCCTGGATAACAATGACAATAGTGCGTTATTCGAAGAGTTTCTACAAATCCTGGGTACGACCAAAACTACTCTTTTTCAACAAACTTATTTAAGAGAGCAAGAGGTTAGATTACGCATGTAAGTACATTTGATTTATATGATTGCAGGAGAAAAGGTGCGACTAAAAGGATTCGACAAGTACAAAGGAGGCTTGGACACTGTTCACGACTTGACAGGACTTTACTCTGTGTAAGTACAAAATTTTTAGTAGCATCTGAAACCCTGACGATGCGGGTGAAAGTGAATATAGAAGGGATCTTACACTCGAAAGTGGGACACGAATGACTGATTTAGAGCATCACCCAGTAATCTAACAATAAGTTTGTGATTTTTCAGGTACACACATTGGCGAGGGATTGAGATAATGTTTCACGTTGGGTTAGTTGAAGATATTAATTCACTAAAACTATTGAATACTATAACGGACATCAATCTCAATTCGGTCTCACTTTATTTGCATTTTATTAATCGAGGACTTGAGAATGCATACTCGGGAAAGTGGAAGATTATTGGCTCAATTTGCACTTGAGGCGTGCACTTCCAACTCTCAATTGTGTTTCTACCTCGACTTTCTGTAATATGGAACTGAATTTAGGATTGATATTTTATAGTATTCATGGTTTATTGGTTAGTCTGAACGAATTAGTCTGAACAATAGCCTTGACTTGACTAAACAAATACTCTTAGGACGCTTCTCCCCTATGAGAAAAATGATCCCCAAAAGGTGAGTTAACATCAAATTTACTTAAACCAATCGTTTTGTGTTAGTGCAAGATGATCCAAAAGTTGATTATGAGGAATGTAAAGTTCCTACTTGTTCAGGGAAGCAAGCTCAAAGACATTTCCTTAAACTCACGACAACAACAACAAGGTGTACGTACGTATTTCTCCGTAGGTGTAGTCATACATGCGAACATACGTAGTGTATGTGTAGCTACAACAGAAATGCAAACATTTCTCTCAGGAGATTGATGCCAGAGGTTTCTCCACTCTCTCCTTGGGGAAATCTTGAGAGAAAGCTTAAAGCATTTATTTTATATGTGTGTATAAACACAAAGATCCATAAACAAAGGTATTTTATGCCTTCCTCGTTTGCTAAACATAGACGACAACTCTCAAGCATACATACGTCGGTACGTCTCTGGCTGCGTCTCTCGTTCTCATTTTATATTATCTTCTTGTCAAGGTATTCCAAAAGTTTTCTACGTGATGCACAGATTTCTTTTATAGGATTTGTTTCATGTTGAACCAGTAAAACTCGTCCTTGCCTCCTACTAGAGATTTGGTCCCGCAGCATCAGGTCGTCCGAGTGCAGTTGTGCAAATTCACGAGGAGGAGAATAGGAACATGAGGAGGATAGAAATAACTGTATCACAGGGTTGAAGATGGTAGTCACGAATTGAATGGTGCTTTGCAAAAGATATTGAGAAAAAGATAATATTATCACGATTCGAAGAATCTGTAGAATTCAAATGATGCGATCACCAAACGTTTCGTGTTATTCCAAGATTAGTTTGAAGCTCGGTCGGTTTGTACTTGAGCATCATATATTCGTCTTGATCATCATCAGATAACTTGGTAGAAGCTCGGTCTACAATTGATGCCAATGCCATTCTATATATAATTTATATATAAATGCATGTATGTAAATGTTAATAAATCTGGTGTGAAATATTGAACGTTAAATTGTACATTATTTTGCAGCTGCAAAGGAAACGGCACATTGGCAATGATATCGTGTGCGTGGTATTTCTTGAAGGTAAGGGTTTCGGGTGCATTGCTTTACTAGTTTATTAATTGATTTTTTACTTGAAGGAGACAACACTCACTTTTCCCCATCGTGTATCAAGAGTCACTTTCTCCACACGTTCATAGTTGTTCGTTGCAGTCCTCGGTCCAAGAGAAAACCAACGAGATACGAAGTGTCGGTCATTACGCGTGATGAAGTTGGTAAGCTTAATACTATATTATCCTCCTTTTATTATTAAAAATTTAAATAGTATTTGATGATTTCCAAATATTGTTTTTATCCCTGATGATTGATGGTGGATATACACGAGTATAATGTCGAAAATTTGGAAATAAATTCATTTTTTTCCTTCAATCATGTCGTCCGAGAGTTCTCCTTTAAATAAAAAAATTTGTTTTGTCGTCAACTCAATCAACTTCACTCCAGAAAGATGTCAGGTTTTGAAAACAACAATAGCAGATTCATAAAAACTAGCATTTCAAAGTTAGGGATAGTCTGATCCCGATTTCGCCCTCATCTCGTCACAGAGTTGCGGGGAAAGTTTAGAGATAGGCGAAATAAATGCTATATTTATTTTATGGAAACAGTGAGAGCAGGAAAATTCTCCCAAACTTCTCAAAATATAACCTTGCTCTCAAATTTTGGAATTATTTTTTATATAATGGGCCAAAATCATCCCAAGCCAGAAGACCTACGAAAATTGTTTTGAAGTCAGAATAATTTTATCATTTCAGTCACCTTGTAAAATCGGGTTGGAAGTTGTAATAATCTGTTGTTCAGTTCATAATCCTGTCGTCAAATTGCAATTTATGATACTATTACGTGCGTTAAAACTGAAATATTTTAATTTTAGGTGCTTACAAGCCATACCTTTGGGAACAATCTACATTTCGGAAATTGGATCGGGTGAGTAGATCCTAAAAGTTTTAATGTGATGACTAATTCAAAATTCCAAAAAATATACGGCATTTCAGATTATTTTAATTATTCAGGAATAAGTCTCCATAATTGTGGAATAATATTTGAAATCGAGTTCCGTTTTCCGCTTTCGGCAAAGTTTTCAATGCTAATTGATAACCGATAAACCCATCTCCTCGATCGCTTCTTGCCAAATAGCATAGCATTTATGAAGTTTGTGTTGATTTAAAGCTATAACCTCACAAATTGCATTGCATGCCACCTATTTCTGACCAACATTGTACGTTACATTATACATTATTACTATCATATCCATCCTCAGCTATGTATAATTACTCCAATTTCACAAGTCGTAGTGGAATTTATCATAGACCTACTGTTCCATAGTCAGAGCGTAAGATACATATTTATTTGTTTAACTGACCGAGGGAGGGGTTTATAATTGAGGGTCTTAATAAACGTGTTCCATGGTTCATCTGAGATAACGCCATGAATTGCTAACATAGGAGTATGTTTAGTTTGTGAAATAAAGAATATATGTTTCACGAAATGCATATAGATTTATGTGTAGAATGCGCATTAGAAACCCAGCAGAATTGACACTGGCACCGCTACTGGTGAAACTTTATTGCTTTTCTTGTTTGGGTGGTGGTTTGATGTTCACTGTTTGGTGCAGGTATTTGGTCCGATCAGATCGAGTATGAATCAGGTCAAATTTTTGTTGGCATCATTTACTATAATCTTCTCTACTCCACCCACCTTGTGTATTTGTGTGAAAGCTGATCTCACGTCCAGAGGCTGCGAGCTTGATAAAATGGGAAAACTCCACACAATACCCTCCTAAAGTTGCGAGAGACCTTTATGGGAAAGTATGGCATCATCCGTAGGGACAGAAGTAATGACGTGAATTCATCAATAGAGTGAGATCAACAACCCTTTCGAGAAGAAGAACACAAAGCATCGTGGTTCTCCAAGGACTGGACTTTTGCTTCCACATATCTTTACTAAATTCAATATTTGTCTCCTGTACGATAGGCAAGGATGTGGATGTCAGTGCTGATTAACTTTATCCACCACGAGGGATACTGCGCGATGCCCATCCGACCCATACAGAGATGTAACCTCCACGTTCTCTTCTTCCATTCCATCAACCGAATTTTTTGTTAATCAAGTTTTTACCTATGGCAGCGAGAGTAGATAACCAACCTTTCCTTCGTCCGTACTTGCTCTATAGACGAGTTCATAGGGGATATTTCATCTAAATAACTTCCACTCCTTCTTCTATAATTACGTTTGTGGAATGTCATAAATGTTTTGCTTTCAATTACAACTTTTCATTGTGAATTTAAATAACATGGGTGACTCATAAATTGCTAATTAATATTTATATTTATAGTACATATTATGTTAACAAGACTAAAATTGGATCTTTAGAATCTTCCCTGCTTCATTTATGGACTAAATGAATGATGCATGGAAATATGTGAGGTTGCGGATGCTGACCATATGTATGACGGTTATTGACTTGAGTGCTGTGGATGAAATTAATCATGAGCGAGGCAGGATATTTATTTCCACCTGACAATGAAACTAAACGCAACGGGTCTGAATGGGGTTCAGTCGAATGATTTAATTTCAACAAAGGTGCTGAGATAGCAAAATATTCAGCAGATCAAAGGAGATCTGAGTGACAGGGAACGACAACATGTGGAGATCATCTCCAGTCAATGACGATGATGGAGGGAATATTCTGCGTCTGCTTTCTCCTGCTAAAACTTTTAGTATTATTTAGTCCTCCTCCGTTTGCTCTTCTAGCGGAGACCTTTGCTCCTCTGCACACACCTCCGCATTGGGTATGCTTCGAAATAAAGACAAATCTACATATTCCGGGGCAGCTCCTCAGGGGCATCTCATTCAACGTGTAACCTGGCCTGACTGACTGACAAGAGTGGTCTTTTGTTGACGCATGTATTTAGAAGTTTAATTCCCACTGACACACACAATGAAGTGGGAGTGCTGCTGAGGGATGATAATACCTTCCGTGCTTGGTTAGTGCGTTTCATATGCATCAATGAGTGAGTGAAATGCTGTCGAGTACACATGTAGTCCTCCAAATGTTACCTATTGATGGTAATTGTAAGGATCGAGGAGGAGGATTTTGACTGGAGAAAGCACGGACTGAAGGATGAAATGAGGCGAGCCGTGTGTATAAATATGTACATATTGTTGGAACGATGGACGTTTGGTTTTGAGAGTTCCGTCCAAACAAACCAACTGTTGGACTATTTCTGTGAGGTGCAGATACTCGACTAGGAAATCAACGGATGATAGAGCTGTGTTTCATTGTGTGTGACGCACAAGTTTACTACTGTGTGATGCATGTATGTACATGTGTTCCTGGCTGAGGATGAGTGAGAATCCTTTCAATATACATTTATCTTTGTCTCTGAGGCATTTTATTGATTCTGGCGTAACCTAATAAACCATGGTGTGGTTTAGCAGAATTGAAAATATGCACAGCATTATTTTATTAGTCAGCCCACTCCGCACGGCTTGCTCCTTCTTCTTCTTGCGGTGTCTCCGGTATTATAAAACAGAATACCATTGCAAACAATATCTGCACATCTCCTATTTTGATTGATGGTTAATTTCATGCCAACCTTTTCGAGCGTGAGCTACATACCGTGTATGTAATAGACATATTATGTAACCAATTAAACACAGGACGTGGCCAGTCACTGGATTGGTCATAGTTTTGTAGTCTAACGTATTTATTTACGCATTAAATGTTTAACTGATCTTTATGGTAGAGGGACGCTTATTTAATAAGCATGTTGGTGAAAGCAGGGCCGGCATGATTCATAATTTAAGAAATTGTATTGCAATACACGCATTACGTATTCAGTCCAATATTTTCTCCTTGATGCTATTTTCTGTCACCGAAGTGTGCGTTACGGTATAGGAATCTATTCGATATAGAAAAGCTATCAGTTTCCATTTGAAGAATTGCATGCCCTGATTTTGTAATGCCCAAGAAAACCTAACCAGCGTCAACGACCCCATCACCATTGTATTCTCGGGAATTGGTCACGCTGCATAAAAATGATAGATCATTTGCAACGCGTGATTATAAACGTATAATACAATGAAATTTTTATAATAATTGCCGTAATGCACAATATGTCCAGGGACCTGCAGGAAAACTCTCGTTTTATACTTATTTATAAAACTTGTCGGCAATTAGCCTTTAATGTGCTACCGCCGCTGGCCTGGCTGTCTCTATCAATCAGTAGTCTAGTCACCCATAAAGTATGGTACATATGCATATGCATACTTGCACCTCAATAGATGTGATTTGATACGTTGAGTATAAACGACATGAGACCGGATGAGACCGACCGGTGATACTTTCACCCCGTCCCACCCAACAGTGTTGTTTTCTTTTCCTTGCTGGAGAATCTTGTACTGGTTTATTTACGATAGCTAGGCTTATTTTTGGGTCATCCGATCATGACTTTCACTGCACAAACACAACGGCGCGTGTGATGATGACGCAATATCACTTGGCCGGAGACTTCGTTACGAAACAATGAATGGGCTTCGTTGTTTTCATTCTCACACGGAAAAAAGCATTCTTCTTATTGCTGTCCAGTATGTACTCGGTCACTAAGTCACTCCCATGATAAGCTTTCCCATTCACATTGGACATTGGAGATTATAGAGAGACGAGAAGTACATGTTTCTACTTTTAGTGGCTGTCGTATGAATCAACCTAAACTGCTTTCTCTGTACCAGCCCAAGGGAACAAACCAGCGAAATTCGTCTTTCGTTTATTCAATATGACATATCGCATTGATTTTCTCACGCACTGTGTTTTCATAACAAGTCATCCAATTCGGGTATTCATAATTATTATCATTACATGATATGCGTCTGTATATCCACTATATGCATGTATGTGCATATTGTGAAGAAGTGAAAGTGTGTTGGGTTGACCTAGATGCTACATTAGTTTTATAATTTCACTGTACATTATGATTTGTTTAATGATTACATAAAGACACTAAATGGAATTGTTAAACGAGCACGTTATCACTTTTACCTAGTACATCGGATCATGTATGGTATCGATTCTACAGCTACGTATTTAAGAATACAAGTTTGAACACGCCCGTCCTTTTTTGACTTCCGGGTAAGAGCAGAATTGTATACTGCTCGAACATGAAAGTGTCAGTAAAATGAGAAATTTCATTTTATCATGATCCTCGGACATGGGCAAATATTCGCTTCTGGCGATTTGGGACTCTGTTGACTAACAAGCAACAAACATTCGCCTATTATTTTCTGTCTGCAAATACATACAATATTGCACACGCAGATGTTGAAGAATATTGAAATTTTATAAACCAAATGCGGAGAAATTTAGGAATAAAATTATTGATCATGCAATATTTAATCTCAAGTTCCTTTGAAATATTTAGGATATGAAAAAGTAACGTGATGTTGTTGACATTTTTTTCAGGGAGCCATGTTTCGAGAGTGGATGTTGACAAAGGTTGTCAACGGGGAAAGAGCATCCTACTCAGCTCCAAAATTTGCCCGTATGCAGGAAAGGACGAGGTCACAAATGCTAGAAGACATTGTTGCCAATTTACAAAACCATGCAGAAACTGGACAAATCCCAAAGCCATACAGGTAAATATGTAGTAATACCCAAAGCCATCAAAAACTAAATTCCTAGTACTACGGAAATATTAAAGTAGGCCTCGCGTTTTAAAATCAGCCAATAATGTAATAATAAAAAGGAGTTGAGCTCGCTATTAGATTTGTCTAGATGGTACAATTAGTCGCCAGAGTAGATTTCATCTCAACAGCTGCATGCATATAGTCGTGCATTTGTATAGTGCCGTTGTAGTGAGGCTTCCGGAGTTGAAGGCAATTAATTGAAATTGGCAAGCTTACGTGTCATGCTCTGTCTGTCCGTATCATATCGCAATCACGCTGGGGAATGATTATTTTACGTTTTATGAGCTTGACTTGACATTTACATTATTGAATTATTAAATTTACGACAAGTAATGTAGTAAAATTGGATGAGTAATTCACTTATCCCAAAAAATGAGTTACGCGACTCGATACGGACGAACGAACGGAAATGGAGAGGGAGCCGGAGCTGGAACTCATGTCTGTATTTTATATTACATTTATTGTGCCCGAACAGGAGATTTCCATGTTCTTCTCTTTCGTCGGAAGGAATATAAATGATATCAGCGGATGGAAACTGGTTGGTTGGGCTAGTTGGTTGGTGGACAAGGATGATCAGACCTTCTATCCACCGGAGAAAATAACAGACTCGCAGTTTCTAGAGTAGGAATGAACGAATGCAATTTCAAGAACCATCAGTGGCGTCAGTCACTCTACAAGCAGGGTTGTTGTCTCTTTTGTAGCATGAAATGTATAGTGTGCTTGTATTTATTTTTGTATGAGAAAGCAGCCAGAGAGAGGAATACACAATGGCGTCCTACCTGTCATTTATTTTTCTGATTAATGGATCGATCCGCCTTATCCCTACATTCTCACCACCAAATCCTTGTTATTTGAAAAATAAAAATCCGAGCACACAAACGCTGGCCTGGGGTGGGCCAGCTACTACTACACACTCGCGTATATTGAAAAAGTAGGAATTATTGACACGTTCGTCCGACACAGAGAGAAAGAACGAGAGAAAATCTCTGAAATTCGAGGCGAGGCAGAATGAGAATTAACTCGAAGAGACAACATTTCGTCTGTTGTCAACAGGCGTGGTTCGTGTCGAAGTTTGCAGAAAATTGACATGATTGTGTTAGGAAGAAAGTCTAAACGACGGCAGCTCCACACTTACATTTACAATTCATATAATAAATCCCTACTTTTTTTCTGTTGTCTGCAGGCGTGGTTCCTGGCGTCCGATAGGTGAAGATTTCGAAATATAAAACCTTTATAATAAAAATTCTTATGGATGCAGTATATTAATTACGATGCTCATGGTTTTAGGTCATATGAGACCGTCCAGCCCACTCCTTGACTCTGTTAGGGTGAGCTAAAGAGATTTGCGCTAATGAAAAATTGTTCAATTTCCCGAGTCGAAATTAATATTTTAATGACTTGTTTGAATAGGACCAGTTTGAAGGTAAATTGCTGATATTGGTGTGATGTGGGATATTTGGGAAAGTCTGAGGGTTTGAAGGGGATATTGACAGCTGGTAAGAACTTGAATTAATAGTCCAATTTTGTCATTAAATTACTAGCAGGATACGACCAACTCGCCAAAGACTTTACGGTAAGTTAACCGTTATAGAAAAAAACCATATCAATACAGGGGTTTGCTCTAAAACATCTTCCTCTCAATTTCGTAGAAGTTCTTCCTCAACACGGATGAGCCCACTCCGCTTTTTGACGTTGTCTTCCTGGTGGGACAAGGAAAGCAAAAAAGCAAGCTGTTTGGAGTGAGGGCAATTCTCGGAGTTCGTTCCAGGTGAGTTTCGAATAGTTTCGTTGTTCCTCTATATTTTCTCCGTGACCTTTTTTATTGGATCCGGCTCTTGAGTTCTTATTGCTTTATTTTCTCTTTTGTCCTACGTATGAGCTGTCTCTGCTTTCCAATCCAACCTCATTCTTTTATTCCCCAGTCAATCCCCACATATCCATGAATGGCATGGATAGAATGAAAGCAGTCATAATAATTATATAGTTCCGAGTCGCTTCAAACACTATATGGTGTCCTCTACGTTATTAGATGGAGTAGGAGGACGTGCTTAATTGTATATTGTGTATTTCTTTCATGGCGTTCAGAGTGTTCCAAGAAATGCTGTACGGCATCTCCACGGGATTTGGGTCTCCTCAAGGTGAGCATATACATACGTACGTACGTACTTTCACATAACACAACCAAACTAACATATTTTTTTGGATCTCTTCAAGTTCCTGTTGCTGAGCTCTTGGCAAGAGCTGTTCCAACTCTCATGTCTCCGCAAAGACCAAAGTCAAATTTCCTACAAGTCCCGGATATTGAATCAACAAGGTAAAGGTAGCATAATCATAAGCCGCCATAAATATATTGTTTGTTTTCAAAAGTGCATATGCAAATAAGTACTTATAAATGCATACTCATTGTTAGATTTTTCCACAACCATCAACTAGAATATTGCACCATAACAAAAAATACAGTTAAGGGTACACAACTCAAAACATGTTAAGCCAGGAATTTATTAGTTTGAGATGGATTTCAAAATACAGGGTACATAAGTGTCTAGTCGAAATTAAATTGTCCCAATTGGTAAAACTAGACGGATAACTCTTGCATAAGGTTGCGCTTCAAATGAGAGGGTCTGTTCTCCATTTACGATGCAAGGGACGCCGCAATGTCCTTGCCGCGGCTTCGCTTCGCTAACATGTGAAATTTATTTTTAGATTCTTATCATTGCTACCAGTGATAGCGTCCTTTCTTCGAGATGAAAATTATATTCGGCCTAATAGTAAAGTGAAAGTGAGTGCAATTCTTTCGGGAGGGACGCTCACATGTTTATCACTATTTTACCGAATCAATCTAGAATTTAAATGAATGACACTTCATTCAATATTGGCTGTACTGTGTCCCCTCGGTGAGCCAACTGTCCACCGCCAATATAATCCTAGAACTACTTTGTGTTTCCTCCCCGATCGTCTCAACGGATCATTTGATAAGAAAATGTTTTCCTGTTCGTAGACCTAAGAGCGTTCCTTCGTCCCCTATGGTGATGAGAGCCTTTTCTCGTCTTGGAAGTTTAACAGCCGGTTGGGGTCGATCAGGGCGAAAGTCGAGCCAACAGCAGCAGTTGGCAGCGGAAGACAAGAAAAAGTGGAGTTCTTCACAGGACTGTTCTCAGGAGAATAAGGACAAGGAGGCAGGAAAGGACAAACCCCAGTTGGCAGTGCCAAGACTCTCCGTTTGTGGTAAATTGACGTTGCATGGCTTAAAAAAATTGGCCATTCAGCAGAAATCGTTAATGAAGGAATAGGACTTTGATGAATCTTGGTATTCTTGATGTGTATATATCGTACGTTGTATGTGGGTTATACGCTCCACGAAAACCTTACGATATACATACATGAAAGGTAGAACATTATTTAGCAAAATCTCGATCCCACTAGTTCAATTTTTCCTGAAAGCGAAAACTGCGTATCGTCAATATTTCTACTTCATCCACGCTTTCATATTTTTGCGCTGGACGAATAAATAATCACTTTGTAAATGCTTTATGAAGAATTATTAATAGAGTTATTAGTTCATAAAAGCACTTAAAATACAGTAGAGTGCGAAAGCATTGGTTCACCTGAGCCTTTTAGTTTAGCCGATGTAATGCAAATGGCAACGTGTAAAACATTTAGAACGTTAATGACTTTATCAACTTTTTAATTTCATAGCTGATGCTCAGAAAGTTGATCGGACAAAGCTGGCTCAAACTGAGGTAAGTTGACAATCTAGTTTTTAGCCCGAGCCAGGGCTTATTCTGTTTGTGCAAGAAGGAATACGAAGCCATACGCTAATTTAATCATCCTTGTTTAGGTTGGCTTTGGCACTACTATTTAAATACGGGCTAGTAAATTGTGCCAATTTACATAAGCAATTTTAAACGGTTGAGAAACTTTGTGAAACTAACTTTTTTAACCGTCGTACAACGCAAGTGAATAAGCTATGCAAGGCCATACTGTTAGCTCGACTTTGGTTCTTTGGCATTTCATCGCCTAACTTCACACGAGCAACTCTATTCTGTGGGAATTTTTTGTTATCCAGCATTATCGAGGGACAAAGAATATAAGTTTGCAAAGTTTCAAGAAATATTTGTTTTACAAAGTTTTGACAAGGCGCCCATCATGCTCAACATGACATTTCTAATATTGGTTATAATAGTATTTCAGTGGGTGTGAATTTCTAAAATGGTGGTGTAAATGTTGATATGTAGTGAATAACGCATGTCCTACTTATGTACGTTTCACCTCAAAAATCGCCTCTGGAGTATCGCCTCAGTAGTCATTTGAAGACTAACTTTAAAAGAATATTTTGAGGAATGTGTATTTCTATCAGATATTGCATGTTTGACAGGAAAATACATAGAGACATACATACGAAACATAATAATATGTAGTACTATTTGTATGTATTCAGACTGCTAGTTAAGAAAACAATTTCGAAACATGGCATGCTCTTGAGATTTGATTTGATCCTTGACTAAAACTAAACTTTTTGTTATTGAGCAACGTTTATGTATAAGCAAAATAAATTTCAATATAAACGAATGGCGTTAATAATGAAAATGTTAGATTCGTTCATGATGATGATAGAGTACGCAATACACGATATCAACTGTAGCCAAAAATAAATCCTCACGTCGTGCTGCTTAAATTTTCATAAAGTTAATGATGATTTCTTGTGAAATACGTGTCTTCAGTGTCAATTAGTGAGGCAGTTCTTCTGAGGAAATGATGAAATGAGACGAGGCTTCCGAGTTATGCAGAATAATCTAATGCATTCCGAGAGCTGAATATTTCTTTTCTTTCTCTTTTGTGTTTCAGTTCATGATTATTGAATTTGATCCGGAGACTTTCCGACTGCTCTTGGATTATTTGCATACGGGATCATGCCCTCTGACATGTGCCAACATCCCAGGACTCATTTGCGCTGCAGAACACTACGATCTTCCCGATCTACTTCAGGCCTGTTTCCATCATGCCAAGCAATTTTTAAGAATCGAAGTGGTAATTAAACCATTACTTTTGTTTCATATTGCCCCTCGCTATTCCCTATCTTGCATTTCAATTTTTTCCACGTGTAAGTACGCTTATTAATTCTGTGCAAACTTGAGCATTTTCAAAATATATTGTAAATAATTTAAATGAATCACATCTTTTCAAGTAATCAGTTAGTGTTGTAAATATTATATAAATTGATGGATGTACCGGAAGATAGAAAATGCAATTCCCCGACTGCCCCCGAGTGCATATACTCTTTTGCTACGCCAAAATTGACATGTGAACCAACAGACAAGTGATGAATAATGAGATAAGAAAAAACAATTAATGTCAGACAAACACGATTCAGTTGGCTCTATGATTTAATTATCGCGAATGCCTTTCTTTTTATCCACAATGACCAAACAAGTGCAAGTTTGCTCGTCAGACAGTTATCTCAGTTTTCTACTTCTATCCAATTTCCAAATTGCACCTTGGCCTTGAATCACTTGGAGCAGCAATATGTCAGATGGCCATGATAAATTTGGAAATATCCATTGATTAATTAATTGGAATACACACAAATGATGAAACATTAGCACTGTGCAAACCCGTTTCGGTGGACGGCGCTTATCCCTCCGTGTGTGCCTAATTTTGATTCAAGAGCTCATCACACACCGAGGAAAGTGTGCCAGTTTGATGATGTGTCTGTTACATTTGCAAAAAATAGTTCCATTTACAAGCTTTCTCTCCTTGCCTCTCGAGTTGATGGATGCGTGCTTAACAACCTTGATTTTTTTGCTACCCGTTTTCCAGGTGTGCCCGATGCTGTGTTCTTTGGAGAATTATTACTGGAGATACACCTCTGCTTCCGAACTCGTGAATATGATTTTAGCATTCGTGGAGACAAGAGCTTATCAGGTGGGTGATTTTGTGTACTTTGCAGCTTTACATTAATCACTTTGGCTTTATGATAAATTGACTTCTAGCATCGACTAACGATGATACTATTCCTAAATATATAAGCATGAGTACTGCTTTCACTCTATTACTGTATATTGGGTAACACTTTTCCGCTCATTATCTTGCATATGTAGATCATATGCAAAGTGCGGAATGAGAAAGTGAAGAATCTTGTATGTAAGATCCTACTGAATGCAAAACATGTAAATATTTCATGGTTTTTATGAGACCCAATCAATCAACTGTAGCTAACATTTTCAGACTTTTGATTTTGTTACAAAAAGGCTTACTTGCCAAGAAATGCATCGTTATGCATGGAACTTCTGCGTGATGCATTACGATTTAAATTGATTCGAGTCCAATGGTTTCTCCGATTCGATTTACCAAAATTTACATAAATGGGAAGTGGATGCAATGTATATATCAGTTGTATGTAACCCTCCTCATTCGTCAAATTGCATTGTGAAATGTTGCTCTATTGTTTTTTAAACTAATGATCTGCATTATTGAATTCAATTTTTCAGCTTTTCGACTCTCCAGATTTTCTCAGTCTTTCGGAGTAAGTGTTGCCATTTGTTCCAAAATTGAATGACATTTGTACATATACATATTTCCATTAAATAATATCATTCCCATGTAACCAATATAGATCCATGGTCCAAATGGTTATGAGTCGCAATTTAGAGGTGAGCAGTTAATTTTTTTGTATTGGATAAAACATTCTTTTGATTGTAGAAAAGTTTTAATCTAAATTGCTCGACTCCTTATCCGAAAAATGTGTTTCAGGTCGCTGAAATCCGAAAGTTTGAAGCAATGTTGGCGTGGGCTCGACATAAAATTCGAAGCCGTGAGTGAAAATTGAAATTTATGCATGTCTTATTTTGTTCAATGCAATGACAAACAAATTTATACAATCAGTTTCCAATATGACAATTAAAAATGCTGTAACTTTAACAATTAAAAAGCGGCTTCCGATTCTTATTTTGGACACTCGCAATGTCTTTTTTTAAAATATTTATGTAGCCATAAATTCACATTTTCAAAACAAATATGTAGCATTCCGAACAGATTGAAACTGATCATTAAAGTGATTAAATTAATCATCATTTATTTAATAACAGGTCCTTCAACATCCAAAGTCGATGCGAAAATAGAATTTAAGGTAATTTGCGTATTAAGGAAACATTAAAAAACTTTTAAATGGATGCTAAAATTTCACTGTTTCATATTCTGGCTTATTCAGTGCACAATGGAACGTTTAGCCAGAGATCTCAAACTTTATCGAATCTCCCCTCAAGATCTAATAAAGGTAAATGCCCGTTCCTTTTTTTATTTTATTATAAAAACAGGTATGCATTATTTCATGTTTATTAGCCCTTATTTTCTGGTTATTGTATACAGCTCTATTTATTAACCTTACGACCGATCGTCAGTACAGATAAACCTGCAGAGCATGAAATGAACCCAAAATCTGGTTATAACTGAACATAAGTGTTTGTTCAAATTGGACTATTTTACTACTCGCTTATTGCTATTAATTTAGTAAATTGTCCTCAACTCTTCCTTGTTTTACTACGTGTTGTGGGCAGGAGGTAGACAGGAAGCCATTGGGGTGGCGAATTGGTTAGACCCTGATTAGAAATATCACCAAAGTTGACCAAACTAATATTTTTATGTAGTAACAGTATGAGCTTCTCTTTTGTAGTTTCCTGAGTCGTCACCCAGGATAATAATTAATTTTCTCCGCGTCCTAGTCCATGCAGACGTCGTGTCATGTCGTGTTGATAATTTAATTATTTTATCATTAAATGCTAGAAGAATTGCATAAAACAAGAATTCTTCTCGCCAGTATTGTGTACTATTTTGGGATTACACATATGTTTTTATATGACAAAGTTCATGGTAGCAGATGAAGAAATATTTTCATTTAATAAACGTCGACCGACTGCTCTGTTTATCTGACGTGACAAGATAAAATATAATTTGGCCCATAATATACGAGCCAAACTATCACAAAGACTTTGTGGTATGAATGAATGAGCAGGTATTCTATTCCAAAGAAAGTAATCTCTTTAATCTTGGTAGGAGACGGAATTAGTCACCTTATTCACAGCAGCATACCACTTTATCGATTTCCACACAATCCCGAAGGGGCCAGGAGACTAGATCTAACATAACATTCATACGGATGCATTGTGATGTTAACAGATGAAAACCTCACACAATGCATATTCATTATTACACTATCATCTTACCTCCTTCCTCCATACACACATTTATTCATACGCATTTAAATACATGGCCCAAAACATGAGAAATGCGAAGAAATAAGAGCAAGAATTCCTTAATAACTTTCTCCTTTGCCTTTTCCCTCGACAGATTGTCCTTCCCAGCAAAGCCATAAAGAATGAGAGGATCCTCGAAACACTTATGTTTCAAGCAAATTCGGGCATGTACCGAATTCAGGTATGTACAATAAGAGACATTACACAGGAGGTGAGCTCGAAGATTAGCAAGACTTTCTGAAATTCATTTAACTTATGATTCAGGATTCCTACATTGAAGCTTGTCAGCAACGGATTCAGAAGCAAGGTGGGTGTTTTTTAACTTATTTTACTAAATACATTTCAACAGTCTCCAAAATAACGACTTGAACTGAATTTTAAATGGTTTTCTCTTTTGATTTACAGATTCGCGATTTTCCGAGTCTTTTGACTACGGTTTATAACAAATATTGTGTTTTTTCGGGGAGAAGGAGAAGGGGCCCAGGTCGAGCTCTGGGTCTGGCTCGGGTGGTGGTGGTCCAACGACGAGGAGAAGCAGCAACAGCTTGACGGGGGGGACGCAGAGCGAGACTGAGCTGGACTTGGGCGGTGGGGGGAGCGACGTGGACAACAATTTTGAGAACAACTTCACCCTTCGAAACCTTCTCCGCCGGACCCTCAAACGAGGCAGCAGCTCCGCCACCTCCACCACCGACGAGTCTTCAAACGCTGCCAGCATTCTTCCTCCAAACGAGAGCAACTCTCAAACTGGCGATGACGCTTATAATCGTATTGCAATTATCGACGAGGATAAAGTTACCAAAAAACCCTTATTTTTCGTGTTGATGTAATAGCGTTGAGTTTCAGAAAGAGGTATCTATAGTGTGGAAATGGGGGAATTATATTGTGTGTGAGTGGGTGTGATGATATAAATATGAAATTAGAAAAAGAATTAGGAAAAGTCAGGGAAGACACCAAATGGACATAAACAGGGATAAAACGTTTTGAAATTTATCTCGCAAAAAAATGCATTCTGAAGATGCTGAAATACAAGAGATTATAAATACATAGTAGATCATGTTTTATTTTTTAGATGGTGATGAACGATGAACCCTTTGAAATGGTGAAAGTTGTCTTGTCACTATCGTATTAACGTAAAAGTCATGTCAGCCATAAAATGATAATAATCGTATCAAAGTAACGTCGTGTGTATGTAAATACATATTATTGTTAGTCGAAGATATGTATTAGTATCAGACACAAGAAATTATTTTATCAACATAAACAAAAACAATTTATTAAATGTGTGATATCATATGACCAAGCGAATATTGGAATACAGCAACACTACGCTGACTGTTCTCCTTTACATACATATGTAATATATGTATACAGAGATAAATGTACGTTCGTATTTAGACTAAATGTTTTAGAGAAAGTAAAAAAAAAGTTAGTTTTTACACAAAGAAGGTCAGGAATTTTCAAAATTATTGACAGAGATGATATTATGAAGATAGCGAAAGTAACAATAAACGTACAATGTAAACCAAGAAAGAATACATATTATTATATTTCACAAAGATAGAAGAAAATGACCAGCAGTTGCTTATTACAGAACTGAAACAATGTCATAAAAGATGATCTGAAAACCAGACTACTAAATAATATGTGTTCTCTAAATACAATGTGTACCTGTCTGTGGTAAAAAGGCTAAACTTGTAAAATGTAGTAATAGGTAGACTCTTTTAAAGAACGAGAAATTATAAAAATCTTTTATTAACAATTTGATTACCGGACAATCAGTTGCATGAGTTGTTGTACCGTTAAAATTGATAAAATTCATTTACTCCAGCACTCGCCATCTACATACATACTTCTCTGTCCACTTTTCTTATATACCTGGTTATGTGCTACATTGTATATTTCATTTTGTTGTGGAGAAAGTCAATTACATGCGAAAAGAAGCAAAGAACTGCTTCGATTTTGACCAACACTATCTCCATGTTACGATAAATGAATTGTTATTATGTTGGATAACAGTCAGAGGTCGGATTTTTGAGAAGATCTCAATCCCAACTTTCGCCATGTTGTTGAGAAATGGGTGAGAATGAGAATGAGAGCAAGATTTTCGGAGCTACGGACAGTATCGATGAGATTGCACGTCGCATCATCACATTAAAGTAACCTCAAAAATGTCACATTATTATACAGGGTCATTCGTTTGTGTAGTTAGTGTTTAATAAATGTATGGTCGTTAATATGTGTATAGAACGTGCTATTTTATGTGCTATAAAATTACAAAAAGACTATTGAAATGACGCAAACTTTGTGTGTAAAAACAAAACAAAGGATGACATTAAACCATTTAAATATTCGATTTATGTCAATAAATATGAAAACTGCATGTCTACATTACCCATATGAATGTAAAGAAATAATAAAATTCAATATTTTCGTGTTTATGAAATTATTCGACTATTCGTCAGAGTGGCATTATTTCCATTTCTCCATAAATTTCTCCGTGAGGGAAAGGTGAGAATTATTTTAAGTGAAGAGTGCATAAAAAAGTAAGTTGATGAGGAAAGTGAGACTGGCAACTCGGAATCCAAAGATTGCGCTCTGACGGTGGTGGTAAGCCCGCACTGACTCAAAGACTTCACATGCATGCTACTCGGCTTCTCATCACTTCATCAGTCCTGCCTGTCGCCCAGTCCACATTGTGAGAAACACATTTGTTCATCCATCCCGGAGGATTTCCGAAGAAAAGATGGCTGATAAGTAAGTGCACCCCCTGGTCTTGGTATTATTTCTTCGGTGGGAGTGTGGTTGTCACCCATCGAATGGTTGTACTTGTACTAATTTAGGTCTGCTTATTTAGGAATAAGGGAGCCGTTGCCAAAGGGCCAAAGCCCACCGGTAAGAAACTGCCTGCTGTACCAGAGTCTGTCCTCAAGCGTAGGAAGAAGAATGAAGTGTCTGTCGCTTTGAAAATCAAACAGGCCGCAAAGGTAAGCAGATTCTGACACGATAAATATGACACTAATGGGAATCTGCAATCGGCGGACGAGTCCAAGAAATTAATGGTTTTTTATTATTGCAGGAAAGGAGATCGAAGCGTAACAAGCGTGTCAAGATATTCAAGCGGGCTGAAGACTACGTAAAGGAGTACAGGAGCAAGGAACGTGATGAAATTAGGTTGGCAAGACAAGCCCGTAATCAAGGCAATTACTACGTTCCAGCAGAGCCAAAGTTGGCTTTCGTCATGAGGATCAGGGGGTAAATAAAACTGCATATTATATGTGTGACTGAGCGAATAATCGAATGTGTTAAGAAAGATGCTAATTTTGTACAATGCTTTGTACTTGACAGTATTAACCAGGTCCATCCCAAAGTAAGGAAGGCCCTCCAACTGTTCCGACTGCGACAAATCAACAATGGTGTCTTCGTCAAGTTGAATAAGGCCACGATTAACATGCTCCGAATCTGTGAACCCTACATCACCTGGGGCTATCCCAACTTGAAAACAGTCCGAGACCTTATCTACAAACGTGGTTTCGCCAAGGTTGATCACAGACGTACACCCCTTGCTTCCAATTCCGTTATCGAAGGTCGATTGGGCAGAAAGAATATCATCTGCATGGAAGATTTGGTACATGAAGTTTTTACCGTTGGAAAGAACTTTAAGTACGCCTCAAACTTCCTTTGGCCATTCAAGGTACGTTTAATGTTTGTCTACACATTTATACCTTTAGTATAAGAAAAATTGTTCAGCACCGGTATACTAATTTACTGTTGTTTCTCCTGTATAGCTGAACACTCCTACTGGCGGATGGAGAAAGAAGACCAACCATTACGTAGAGGGAGGTGACTTTGGTTGCCGAGAAGATAAAATCAACGAGTTACTTCGTCGTATGATTTAAAATTGTTTTAAAACGCCCTTTGTTATTGGTAATAAAATGAAAAAAAGAGACTCGTTTCAAAGTACTTGGTCGTTATACCACATTTTTTTAAGAATGGATTTTCTATTTGTATTCATGTATCACTTCTTAGATAATAATACTGAAAAATGGGTTACAAAATTATATATTTTTTCTTGTCAAGACTTGAATCCTTTCGGAACATAGTACATTAAGTTATCAGTGTGTTCATCTATGGTTGCAATTAGTAACGTTTTTTTAACAGTCATGGCTAATCGGGATTGAGATACCATACAGTCATTTAACTTTATTTTTTGTTCAAGACACATAATAATGAATTCTGCATGGAAATGCCGTGGGTCTCCTGTGGAATCAACACGAATAACAATTATACAGAGATTAGTTAATATGCATTCAAATGGAGTGTCTACTACAAGAAAAATTTACCAGGGTATGCAAGAAAATCTCCTCCAAATTTAGCTCCTGAAGAAAGCCAATATTTCTTGTGAAGATGAAAGTCTTCAAAAACACGAAATTTTAGCTTCTCTTGGTACGTGGTCGGAATTGGGAAGTTGTAAGGCAGATACTCCTCCTTCCATGGATCCTCTACAGAAAATACAAGCATAAATGTAACAAAGAGGTTATTGCTGTATTTTAGTTAGGGTCTATCTGGTTTGGTGGACGACGTACTGAGATCAAGTTGATACATTTCATATGGCATTTTAGTAATTTTGTCCAACTCGCCCTGAATAAAAGCTTCCTTGTCTGTAATTTCCCCAATTTTTCCTTTTCTCCTTTTCCCTTCGAGCATTTTATCGAGATAGGCGACGATTTCTTCCCTTCTTTTCCTTTTAAACTGTTCCAGCTATAAACAATGAAGAGAGTCCAATATTAGGTCGCTGCTTTGCTTATACACTAGATAACATAGTGGCATTAAATAGCGGTCAGCACCGAGCTATATGCGCCGCACCTGTTCGTCTTTCCGTTGTTGAATGACTTGGTTAAAGATGGGGGCGTTGATGGGAGGGTTGTCGTGGGCGAGGTTGGGGGCATGGACGGTTTGGACGATCCCACGGGAGACCAGGTACTGGACCTCAACTTGGCTGAGGCGCATGGGGAGGTTCCAGCGAAGCCGCCCACTCAGTCCAGTCCCCACCGGACCGTCTAGCACGCCCGTAATCCGATGTTCTTTCCGTAACAGCAACCAGTCTAATTATAAGTTTAATGTAATGATAATAAGATTGCCACTTTTTATAAAGAATGATGGTATCTGGTAGTACCCTGAGCATCCCAAACGTATGGAACTCCATTGGAAATCGTAATGCTGATCATTTCCCTTGAATGTCTTTAATCTTTACACGCTGCTTTCACAGACTTTAACTATGAACTAATTATTTAGTAAGAACCACATTTGACGTTTGGAGAACATGTAGTACCGTAACATGCAACACACGTGCTAGTGTTAATTTGTGCATCATTCAATTTTTCGTAGTCAAATTTTAGCAGACCACCACCACCATGCGTTATGCAACAATTTGAGGAAGGAGACAACTAAACAAAGACAATGCACAGTGCATTATGCACTGCATATGAAATTTGACAAGACTGTGAGTGATCAGGTTTATAAAGATCCATCTCACTACTTTATAAAATAATTTGTTTCGTAATTTATAATCAAATTCTTTTCGAGGAAACAAACTTTAACGAATTTTCGTGGGAAAAGTGCTTATGTTTGCATATACTCTGGTTTTGGCACACTTTTCTTTGAGCCCAATTCAATATCGATCCTTTCTCCTTTGCTTACAAAACTGCACGGGAACTGCTTTCACCACCCAGGATCAGGAAATGTCAAGCAGCTTGAGGAGTTAGTTTTACTTTCACTTTTGTAAAAATTAAGCAAGAATACAATAATTTAATTTTTGAATAGTTTGTGATTCAAGAAGTTTTGAGGAAGTACTATTTATAAGCCTCAAAAATGTTCTGGTTAGTGTAAAAAAAATCATAAATTAAGAAAATGCGAAAATATAAATCTTTTGTTGAAAACTACATTTACGAATGGAAGATAGGCTCAAAAATGTCATAAGGTGTGTCTTATATGCAACAATCAATATGCAAAATATTGCTGTCTTTGCGAAATATGAGAAGTCATTTGATAATTACCACTGATTAATTTTGTAGGGTGCGCAAGCTAAATACACTCTTCTTTAAATTACGCAACTGACTATATAGCACTACGACTGTAATGGGGAAAGTCAGTTTTCTCGTTATCTTTGGAATATTTATTTCACTTAAAGAATCGTCAATTAACAATGCAATAGTTAATGGGCAGACAACTGCTTCTAACCTTCGACGAAACCTGAAATACTATGAACTATTAAAAGCAGTCGATTTAACTCATCACATTGTAAAGAGAGGAGCAAATCCTAGCAATCATCCTTTGAATCATATAAAAGAGCTACAATTTAAAACACTGGGAAGGTAATTTTCACAAATAAAATAATGTATTTTACTTTCTATATAATATTAGCAAATCATATTTTGCAGAGATTTCCTACTTGTGCTAAACCCAAACCATCGCATATTTCACCCATTATTCAAAGCTTTCGAAATTGGTAGAGATGGAGTTGAACAAGCCATACACATTGGTAATTACTTTGTTATTCTGGTTCTCAAATATGAATTTGTGCAGTCTCTTTATACATTCTTGAGAGAATTATGGCATAACTTTATTTCCGAATTCAAAAGACCGAGACAGTTTTTACGAGGGGCGTGTGTTTGGCGAAGACGATTCTGATGTTAGAGCTCATCTTGAGGACAATGGCGTAATGACTGCGACTATACGAACTCGCAATGAGACATACCACATTGAGGTAATTATCGGTGTAAAGTATTTATGTTTAATTCAATTTAACCTCATCAATGTTTATTTCGCCGAACTCTAGCCCTCTTGGCGTCATTTACATGACGGTGATCAGTTGACCATGATAACATACAAAGGATCAGATGTCAAAAACAGTTGGGAGACTGATGATACAGATGAAGATCTGGATGGACCAAACCTGCCAATTTGTGCATATGTAAATACGAGTTTATAATTGAGACTGCTTTTTCTTTTGTTAAGCATAATGTACTAAACATACATATATACATATTATGTTTATTTTTAGGTCAAGGAAGGAAATGTAACAAAAGAAGTTAGCGATCCAGAACCAGACTACGAGCTAATCATGAAACGTTGGAGGAGAGACCTGTCCATGGAACGAAGGTCTGCAATTGCTATCCGACCACATAAAACTCGATGCCCGTTATTACTTGTGGCTGACTATCGTTTTTATCGAGAAATGGGTACTAAAACTTTAAAAGCGAAAAAATGTGCATAGGGTTTGAAATTTATTTAGTATAATTTAATTATTTGCATTTTTATAGGCGGATCAAGCAATAAGTCGACCATTAATTATTTGATCAGTTTAATTGACAGAGTAACAAAGATTTATGAGGAGACACAATGGAAAGATAAAGGTATTTATATTATGCACAAACTTAGGTAGTTTCATAGACCTCCTGATTATAAAATATTATATATTTTTTCTTAGTTGACGATATTGGTTTTGATGGAATGGGATTTGTCATTAAAAAGGTAGCGTGTACTTTGAAAAATATCGTCAATAACCGCATTGTTTGATCACTGCTACTATTGATTGTTGCAGATCGTTGTCCATTCTGAACCAACTGTCACGCAACATGGAGAAATGCACTACAATATGGGTACATAAATGCATCCTGATTTCTAAAATTACTAATTGCCGTTAAGTGAAATAAAATTTAATGACTGATGCCAACTATTTCAGCGATGGAAAAGTGGGATGTCCGAACTCTTTTGGAAGTTTTTAGCAGAGTAATAATTTTTACTCAGATTCGAAATCCTCATGTCTTTATAAACTTTCACTTACTTATTGGTTCACTGTTTATAGGAATACACCCACAAAGACTTTTGCTTGGCTCATCTTTTCACAGACATTAAATTTGAGGGAGGAATCCTTGGCTTGGCATACGTTGGATCCCCTCGACGTAACTCTGTGGGAGGGATTTGTACCCCAGGTTCGATATTATATTGATATTCTTTGTTAATTAAGTGGCACTAATGCTTATTATTGCTCTAGAATATTTTAAGAACGGATACACCTTATATTTGAATTCTGGGCTGAGCTCGAGCAGGAATCATTATGGACAACGCGTCATAACACGAGAAGCTGACTTGGTCACTGCTCATGAATTCGGGTTAGAATTTTTGTAATAAACCATAATTGAATTGCTAATCATTTATATGTATTCAGACACAATTGGGGATCAGAGCATGACCCAGATAATCCAGAGTGCAGCCCAAGTGCAAGTCAAGGGGGCTCCTACTTAATGTACACTTATTCCGTCTCCGGTTACGATCTCAACAACAAGGTATGAATGACACACATATAATGTGAAGGATAGCATAATTGTATCGCACATAAGACATTGAATGAATATGATGATGTCTTTTAGAAATTTTCACCCTGCAGTTTACGGTCCATTCGGAAAGTACTGCTTACAAAAAGTGAGCGTTGCTTCTCTGAACCAGAGGAATCTTTTTGTGGCAACTTACGTGTTGAAGGAAATGAACAATGTGATGCCGGATTGTTAGGCACCGAAGATTCTGATCAGTGTTGTAGACCAAACTGTACATTGCGACCTGCTGCTGTTTGCAGGTAAAGAGAATTAATTATTAGTAGTAGGATATTTTATTATTTCTTCATAAAAAATCGTCAGTTTTGAAAACTGAAATTTTTACTTCTGCAGCGATAAAAATTCACCCTGCTGTCAGAATTGTCAATATATGGCTGCGGGTGAAAGATGCAGGGAGGCGCAGTTAGCTACTTGTGAGCAAGAAAGTAGATGCATGGGTACACGGGACGATTGTCCAAAATCAGGTATAATTTTTTGGGTGTGAGTAATTGCAAATATGGTCATAACCACAGCGTTAACGAACTAACCAACCAACCAACTAAACTAAATAGTTGACTAAATTATGTGTTACTGTTACATAGCCCCAATGCCAGATGACACCCCATGTCTCGAGAAAGGTCAATGTAAAGCTGGTCGCTGTGTCCCGTATTGTGAAACACTGGGAAAACAGAGTTGTATGTGCGACAAACGTAAGTAGTTTTATCACTACATGGTTGTATTAATTAACTAATGAATATAGCATTGCTTAAAAATATATACATATTATCAACTATTTCTACAGTGGAACACGCCTGCAAGAGGTGTTGCAGAGTTCACTTGAACGCTACATGTTACCCAATAGAACCGTACGAAACTCATATTGATGGCACCCCATGCATTCAAGGAATTTGCAACAAGGTAGAATATATCATAACAAAATCTGAAACTGGAACATATTAGGGGAACTGGAACATAACCAAATGTGCTATACATGCTGCATTATCTTAATGTTTTAGGGACAATGCGAGCGCACAGTTCACGATGTAGTTGAACGTTTCTGGGATATAATAGAAGATATTAACATCAACAGACTGTTAAAGTTTCTGAAAGACAACATAATTTTTACCGTGGTTCTGATTACATCTTTGCTGTGGATCCCAGGGAGTGTTCTCGTTAGTTACATTGATCGGAAAAGTTACAGGCTTGTAAGTATAAATTTTATCACCTACATACATAGGCGGTAGTCACAAGTTTACGCTTCGCCTTAGTGTCTCTTGTTAATATAATTAATTAATAATCGCTGACTGTTTTTAAGGCACTGGAGGAAGACGAATGGGCTAAAAACAAGTCCGACTTGATACATCCTTGTGATTCTCGTCCGGTGATTTTCATCAGGCCAAAAGTGAACTCTGACCACGGGTATGGGATTAATCAATAAGGGATTAAGTCACCTCGCTTCTTGGTACTCAAGATGACAAAATGTGCACAATTATCTAGTCGTTCATACATCGCAACATAATAAGTTAAAGTTACTGACCGGATTTTTGACTTGAACGTCCTTAGTCATATCATTTTTAAGCGTATTCTAGTTTCAGTTGATCTCATAAGTTACTTGTATCAATTTTTTATAAAATCTTAATAAAACATTACGATATATATGTCCAACCCAGTAAATTTCTTAAATTCACCAGTCAGCATTGTATTGTAATTATATAAATATATGAACGTAAATATGCAAGAATTTTTAGGAGACTTTTTGCCTAAATTAAACATTTTCCTTGTGTGATGTAACGGCAACAGCACTTTATATACTGTACATAACGCGTTAAAAAAATCATCTATGCATGCATTGACACCCCCACTCTTAATTTTACTCATAAAAACTATTTAGAAGCTAAATAGTTTAAGTTAAGAGTGGGGGTGTCAATGCATGCATAGATGATTTTTTTGACGTATTATGTTCAGTCAGTGATAAGTAACTTATCAACGACTGAGTGAATGCATATACACATTTCAACGTATACATATGCATGTATTTGAGTCTATTCGAAATCTCGTAAGACGTGTTAAAACTTGGGTGACGTTATTGGAATTCGATTTTTTTGCAAATTTCTTGGCACGAAGAAGTCAAATTTCATAATGAACCGTTTGGGATTCATATTTGTCAGCACCATTCTACTCGAAAACGGTTCGTTGGTTATTCAAAGCTGATTGACGACATACGATGACAACTTCGAACTGTTTTAATATTATTGCATGTTCCAATCAGGTGTGTCGGTGTATTGGAAAGATAATTTGAAAGGACGAGACCTAAATCTTGCTTTCTAGAAAAATATGGCAAACGCCCAAATTGTCTGTTTTCATGGAAGAACTGGGTAAAAAGCTTTAATGTTGGAAAATGTCACGTTAAGAAATCGTCATCATCCTCTACAGTACAATGTGCATTCGTCCTTAAAGGAAATGATTCTTAGAACTATGGTCCGAAATGAGATAACGTACATACAAAATATTTAACTGTTTAGTTAGGTAAGGTACTCAAATTGTACATATTTTAAAATAGTCAGTTTATTTAGGATATTTTTTTAAGTATATATCTTGTAATAAAATTAGCACACTAAATGTACTTCAATTCAAGAAGAATTATCTTGAACCCAATTTAGATACTACATATATTGCTTCTACTTTTCTATGCAAATGTGTACTGGTTAATTATCTGCGCGTTTGTGAGTTGAGGAAACGTAAAATGTAAAACTCCAGTTCAGATAAAAAGGATACAAAAAGGGAATAAGTTGATCTTGATTAATGTGAAAATATTTGTAATTCTTACAAGCACGACAATTTTTATGGAAAATGTAAACTTACACTATAAACGACTTTCCTATCGAATACAACATATACATAAACAGTATATGTATAAGATGAATAGAGCCACACGATAATGAGTAACAAGTAACAAAAATACCGTGATTTGAAAAATTAAACAACAATCTTAAACGAAAGCTTCATCTACATGATGATCGAGACTTTGAGTTCATCAGGTCACATACTTGACGCAACAATAACACTATTGCATCGACAGCACACCGGTGTATGACGTCGATTCTGTACCTATTTGAGAATCTTCAATATTTCCTTCCGGTTCCATCGTTTTTTCCGCATTTCCAAATTCAGTAAGAAGTCGAAAATGTTGCTGCAAACTGGCTGGCTCATTTTCAAAATGTACATAGCGTTTAAGTGGTGCATTGAATCGTTTTAGCCAATCACAAAACGTCCTTTCTTCTTTACGAATCCAAGGACGTCTCTCATCCGTCAATTGATAAGGAGTCATATGCACCTGAAATTAATTACATACTTTATGTAAATACACATGGATATAGTATATACATATGTGCATGTGTATTTAGTACAGTGATGCAAGATGCTCTACAATATGTATACATTAAAACAACAACTACACTCACATGCACTCGAATATTTTGTCTACACAGAGTTTCAATCAGCGATCTGGATGTAATCCAGGTGTTCTTCCCACCATTATGTCCCCCATCCAACCAGTACATATCTTCGATACTTGATACAAATGGACTCATAGCAGTGTCATCTGGGGTCAACGTCTGTGTAAAAATGGCACATTTCATTTTCATTAGTTTATTAATTCATCAGAATTATTAAGCCAACATTCTGTTGATATAGTCAATAATATTAACCTACATATACATAAATAAACTTAATATGTAAATAAATTATGGGACACATTACTTACTTTCAAATAATGAAATTCATACATGAGTTGATTCAAAACTACGCAGCCTGTATTATTAAAACAAGAAAAATTTATTGATGGGTGTTTGAATAGGAGAATGGAAATTAATATATTATTCAGTAAATATACCTTTGCTGAATCCGACAAGACTTATTCTAGATCTATCGAGGTGAGGATTAAACGGCTTTTCTGGCTCTTCAACGACTAAAGATTCGCCATTTGTTGTTAGGCTTTCATCTACAGTAGTTGATGATACTTCTGACTCTTCCTCCTCTTCTTTGGAAACATGCGCAATTTGTTTGGCTAAAATTTGATCTTGTTGTTGCGATTTTTCAACACGTTCAGATAAATTTTTTAATAGCAATTCCAAATGTTGCAAAGAACCGTGAGTAATGACATGATCTGGCACTCCAGTGTTGGAAGCCGAGTTGACAAAGTTATCAAAACAACTAAATGTCATTATTTGAATCCGGCTTCAAAAAATCAAAAATACACGACCATCAATTACTTACTATAGTCCGAAACCTACTATTTGTCACTATGTGGCTTAGTTATTGCAATTGAGGGGACATACCTTGGTCTAACAACCACAATGTTATATGTTGGGAATTGCTTTTGGAGGAGGGCTGCTGTAGCTTCGAGGTTCCAACATATATATCCGCGATCTGAAAAAATGACCAATGATAAAAATCAGATAATGAGGGGTTCCGCTACGCATGGGAATTCTTATTTATTCCGCAAATTTTATTGCTAGACTGGTGCTTTAAACAGTATTTTTCGAAAAAAAAAACATTCGCTGAATTCTTTTTTGAGAAATGCCACTTTGCATGTTGTCATTTCGCAATTGAAATTTTTTAAAGCTAAAGATATACTGGTTAAAACTTTGGTGATAAGAGTTTGTGAGCGACTAAGAAATTGAGACAAAAGATGATGAATGATTGTTTTTAGAATGCATAGTATAAATAATTACATAGAAATTCTACAATTTGATTTCTACGCCTCGTTTGATTGAAGCCCAAAATAATGAATCAATGAATGTGACCAATAAATTAACTGTCCCAATAATTTAGTTTTTACTCACCTCGATGTTCTTTGTGCTGCTCCATAATTTCGGGAAAATCCTATAAAAACATGGTGTTTGATGTAACTCTGTGCTTATCAAAATCAATCAATGATGGTGTAAGCATGAATAATAAGTTAGATACCTGCATATCACCACCAAAGTAAACGAGACACTTTTGACGCGCATCGACATTATTGGTAGTACTAGAATCAGAATCCACCGAGATCTCTTCATCCTCGGTTGTGCTCAGAGGTTTGCAATATACAAGATCGTTTGTTCTCCCATCATAGCCAAGCACTCGGAGGAATTTTCTAGGGATTTTTAGGTCACACATGACACCATTTCCAGAATTGCTGTTGGCGTCACCGGAAGAATTTTCAGCTCCGCTATCTTCATTCATGGGAGCACTGTTACCATTTTCGCTCATTTCACGCAATTTGCGCTCAAGGCTCTCCAAGTGCGACATGCTTATCCGTGGTTAATAATCAGCAATCAAACTGGAATAACACAATGTATACATAGTAGTCAATTACTTGGAAATTTGTATCATCAAGACTTAAAATGCATATGACAGGGGAAACAGTAGAACAAGAAAGATACACAAAGTTAAATTAATTAATCTAATTACCAAACAAAATGTACATACGCAATATTCTCCACACATTTCTTCCAACTAAATGATGCTTATTTTATTTTTATTTGCTAGATGTACATCAGAGATGCTTGTAAAACTCGCTGATTCCAAAAGATTTAAAATTATAGATAAACATAGTAGCACATTAATTTGTAGATAATTATTACGAGTAATGTGTAGAAGGAATTCATTTTTATCGCTTTGTGCATGTGCATTCACTGCGAATAAAACTACACATATCACGAACGTCGACTTTAATTTGCTTCAACTTGGCTACCACTTCTTCCTTTAATAAATTGTAACACATTGCAACTAATCCCAGCCCGACCAGTAGATATATGAAATTAATCACAAGTTTGGTTTGATTTCCAGCTTCTGTCTCTTCTATATTTGTACCTTTAGTAGAAAAAATCAGGGAATGAGTTAATTCGTAACTCCTAATTTATTTACCAAAGAAGAAAAAGTTTACCAGGGACGAAATCTCCGAAACCTTGAAAGCCCAGTGTTTTTATTAAAATGACCCATCAAAACAGTGTTAACATGAACCCTTTATGACTGATTGTACTTGCCTATTTTGCACAAGCTAGTGACACAAAAGTACACGGAGTCGAGATAATCCCATCCTTCCCAAGCAGAAAACATGATTGTGCCAACGCAAATATAACACAAGAGGACATAGATGGACGCTGAGCTAGGAACAATAACTAATCCGTCCTCTTCTTCATCGTAACGACCCCGACCTGACCCAGGATCGTCTTCATTGGAGCCACCACCTATTTAACCATCAATTCAAATTCCCTGTTCACAGTGTTCAACGTTGCAGAAACAAAGGATTACAAACCTATAGAACAAGAGTTGAACTTCCTGTACAACCATTTGAACGTGCTGTAAAACAGTAAAAATTTTGTCACATGGCAAAATTTATGTAATCATCAATTATAAATTACAATCGCTGCTATAATACCTGGCTAAGGCTTTCCCCATATTCATGAAGTACAAAATGTACAAAGGAATGCCCAACACGGCATAGCAAATTGTGATAACTTTCCCCCAATCCGTTCTAGGGACCAAGTTTCCAAACCCAATCATGGTGAAAATCGACAGTGTGTACATCAAGGACGCAGGAAAATTCCATTGGTCTTTGGCAGATCTCCGATCGTAACCCTTCTTCACAGCTGCCACCACCTCTTTCTAAACACATAATATTTTGTGTCGTCGTGAAACGGACGAGTAATTCCTTCAAAAAGTGTTGTTGCAATGTGACAACATTCATAGTAAAGTATTGAAAATAGTGACCTGAAATTCGTGCAGACTTTGATTGGAAGCAAGCGCCCATTCTGATTCGTTGAACTGGAAATTCTGATAATCTTTCCATAGCTTAGTTGCCGTGAGATTCCGAGAGAGCGTCACATTGTGCACCACATCATCCGCAAAAGCGTCCCCTTGAGTTTCCAGTGCGATAAAGACTGACGCCCCCACCAAGGCGTAGCACACAATAATTCCCCCAACTCCCACTTGAGTGCACATAAACGTCGCAACAGACCGGCAGCAATGTTTCAAGGTGTTTTGACGAGGGCGAGGCCCGTCCAGTTCCGGATCCTCCCATGATTTACCTCGGTCTAACCCTGGGCGACCTCGAACGGACTGCCGCACAGGATTTTTGACCTTTCTACTGCTCATTTTTACTGTTTTAACCACACACCACCAAGTCGTTCCACCGCAATATCCTAGGACTACTACTAGCACTAGTTGACTATCTTTTTATTTCGAAGGAAATCGCATTTGGAATGTGTTATCTCCGATGTAGCTCTTCAACTCTGAACACATTTTCCATCTCCGCCCCACAAGTCGTTCTTCATCGTCATGCAGGGAATTGAAACAGTTTTGGCAAGAGATACGCCTCCGTATGACAGGATGCCATTCGTTCACGTCTCATTTGTGCATATTTTGCATATGTAACCAAACGGTTCCCAAATATCTTGGATAGTCAAGAAGCAGCCACACACAAACACACACACAGCACCAACCATCAGCCAGACAGAAGTGATAATTATATTTCAAGTACGAAATTCGGCACCAAACAACTTTTACATACTACTTTATTGCACTTTTGAACAGATGAAATACTTCAAAAATCCAAATGCGGTCACATGTGAAATGCGTATGGTGGGAAAACGTAATATAATCCCAAAAATATGGAGGTGCCAAACATAAGGGAAAAGTTGAAAGATAATCTTTATTCTATTGAGTGTATGGCGTAGAGAGAAATGCCACTTTTCTCTGAAGTGGTGTATTTCAGTGAGACATAAAAACTGAGCTGTTTTTTCTCAAAGTTTGCATGAAACAATGCGGTCTCTCCTACATTTCGGTTCTACACAGTAAATACGATGATGTTCTTTTAACCAAAATCTGTCACCGTCACGCCGTCTGCAAAACGGGATTTACATGCCCAATTTTCACTTTAATCTGCCGTCCACAGTTCCACACGTCCACGAATATTATCTATCTACCAAGTTTGTGATGAGGATGTAAACGATAGACTAAGAGACCTTCTACAATAGAAGCTAAGGTGTTGAAAATGTAATCCGAGCAGTATCATCACTATTTAAAACGCACTGCACTTTTAGTTTATACAAGACGTATGGAATGCTGATAAACAAAGAGTGTCGAGGATGGAAATTCGCTGCCTTGCTGGAAGAAAACTGAACGCAAACGCTGAGAAACTTGCTGTCTAATAATCTACTGAGCAAAATTGTGATTTGAGAGACTTTTTCACTGCATATACATACATAGGTACACCACCGAGACCCGGCTTCTCGGGGTGAAAACTAAGTTATTCGGGAGGACTAGACCTTTAAACACGAGACAATTTTCTACTGATAAAGTAGATATGTAGATATGTACCTGCATCACTCGCTATACTACACCTCACTCGTCCTCAGTTTAGGTTTCGCGTACGCAAATGAGTTATTTTTCTTCACTACTCGTAAGATTCAAACGATTATTTTAAGAAGATGTGATGTCCCCTCTCTTAAGACCATGTTTTATTTTTAAACCATACAACACCGTACAACTGCTAGACGAAAATTCACTACGTCGACGCTCGCTTTAGCCGAACGACAGCATTGAGAATTGAAGCATTGCTGAGAATAAAGAAAAAATCGGCTCGTTTATATTTGCAGTTCTTTTGCACTTTACATAGACGGCCAAAACTCCGCGTGAGTGAGACTTGCTGAACCTAGTAGCAAGAGCCTGGAAGATGTATGGATACGTTACGTTAATAGTACGAGATTGATAAAAGCAATATGTGTTCAATGTAAATTCAGGAAATGTGCCAAGACAAAATTATCCATTTTTCACAAAAAAATAACAAGCTGCTCAGGGTTGTGTGGGTGATGTCTAACTGTCCCCGATGAGAATACATGCATGAACAGTTATCGCAAGAAAGTCTTGTAATCATATTTAGGAACTTCAACCATAGGAATTCGACGAAGAATCAATGTGAACGAGGAGAAAACGTCAAGACGATGTTCTAATTATATTGACAGTAAAATGCATGTATCTAGATTTGCTTGGCCTGGCCAAATTATTTGAAACCTAATGTGACTAGAATGGCTTCAAGTCACAGTTATGTACGTCCAATAACTGTCCTCAATTACAATTACAAATAAGTAATTGCATTACAATTGAAATGCAGATCTTTCTTCGTGCTGAAACCAATTTAGTACACATTCTTCATAAATTAATATTCTAATATATATCAGAATATACACTATAGTGTATATCATACAAGTAAGACTTGATAGTTGATATCAAAACCTGCTCGACTCTAGTGTGGTTTTTATGTTATTTAGATGGGGCTTTATAATTTCATAAGTAATTCAAGTACTTTAACATTTTTGTTTGTACAACAAATTGTAATTATAACCTACAAACTACATTTAGTGTAATTGAAATTGCAGTTAGTACAGAGATCAGAAATATATTTATACTGAACGCGACACACGACTATAAGTTTCAAAATACATGCTGATTTATTGGGAATATTTTAGCTCACAAAAGATACCATCAATAAACATGCCATGTTCTTTAAACTAACGATACAATTTAAACTGTTGAACAAACTCTTTGACCTCGTCCTTGGGATAAGGTTTCAAAGCAATGCACGTGAGAATATTCTCCGGCTGCTCCAACCATGCCTTATGATCAATCTTGTGTTCTCTGAGCTTGGTGGCCAGATTTGTCAACGCTTCCAGATCTGAGGCTTGCAGCACCTTATTTTATATTCAACGAACAATAATTCCGTAACTTGGATTTACACGGACAAAAGATAGATTTTATTAGCCAAAAAAGCTAATATATATTGACACCATACCACTTTGTGCATGGAATCCAGATCCCCCAAATAATTTTGGGTGTTTGGGTCATCTTTGAACAAGTGCAAGACGGACGTGGAAGCGTGACATGTCTGGGCTATACACATAAATTAGCAAATATTCAATTTGTGGTCCACGACGGTATGAAATTGACATTAAAAGTCCTCAAATAACAACTTTATACATATGCGACGCAAAATGGACTGTCCCATCAGGATGATAAAATATTCACATATTTTTTGTAACGTTTAAAAGTTAAAAGTCCAAATTAAACATGATTTATTTTCGTCGTCAGTAATTCAGTATGAATATATACGTACAAATTATTTTAGATTTCGACAAGTTTTGGAAACTTGACCTTCTTCAGTTGTGGTTTTATAAATCAAAGGGTGCAAATGATGAGGATAGGATCAAGGGATAGACATAAATACACAATTACCGAAAAAATGAAAAAAACAGATAAGTTGGTGACTTACCAAATAGAGCTCCAAGAGGCCAGTTCAACACGGTTTGCAAGTCCTTCCGTAAAATGATGTACTGCACCAGACTCATAATCAAGTGGGGAATTCCCCTAATTCAGTCCAGACCTTGATCCAATATTTCAGAAACGTCAGAAAGTTAAATTGGTTTGCAGTTAGCCGACCGAACTGGAATTGCCAGAAATGTCACGACGAAATCCAAACACAAGCGATTATGTCTACAAAATTCTCCGCTCACAATGGGGCCTAATGCAACCACTCTCAATGGCAACCAATGACAGAATAATACCATTTATTTCAGTCTTTTCAACACACTACTAATTTTCCTTTAAAACTCATTAGAAATGCTTTTATTTATTCAAATCCGAACCTTAGGCGCAGTAGGTAGTACAAATGAGCTTTTGTTATATAACATAAAATCGTTATCATAAAAGAGACTACAAACATTTAGCATTTTTGTAACAAAAAATATCTAATCTTAGAATTATTACGTAAAAAAATATACTAACTAATTTTGTTCTGGCGTATTGAGACCATACTTTTCTTTCATTTTAACAATCTCATCCAACTTTTTCTCAGCGTCCAATTTCTTGAATGCTTTACTAGGTTGATAGTACAAAACAACCAGGTATCTGTTGCAAACATTGAATCCTGATAAATGGTCACAAGCATTTTTAGCATCGAATATATCTTCATAAACTACAAAGGCAGTTCCTTTAGTTTCTGGCGTGTTTCCTCTGAAAATTGAACACAACTAAATGACATCTGACAATAATAATATTGTGAGTTCAAAACCTCAACAGCACGAGAGGTATTAAGTAAATTAAGAATTTCTTACACTCGAATTTGCCGGATCGCTCCATACTTTCCAAAAATATCGTACATCTCTTCTCCTGTAATCTTATACGGCAGATTACGAATGTATAAAACCCGATTTACTTCTGGAGGAAGCCGGACCTGCACAGCAAGCCAATAAATTACGTATTGCATATTACTTTCATGTCACAAACCTCATTTATCTTTGCAAGTTGTGCTGTATAGTGAATGCAAAAAAACTTGACAGCTTACATTAGCACGTCTCTGCATTCCCATTGCCATTTTGACAGATAGGTAACTCGCTTACTAGAGTTTCTGTTCTCAATATAACTTTAACAATTGCTTTTAACAAGTTGTTAATATAATTTAAGCAACGATCAATTACTTCGTTGGGGTCGGGTTTTAATAAATAAATTAAAATCCGGTCGGCTAAATATTAAAAAGTTTATATGCCAGATTCTTTGTACTTAATCTGAAAAATGAACAAACGCACGAAATGTATAAGAAATTATCAATTATATAATCCAGAGTTTTATTACAATTAACTCACCGCAATAGAGTGCAGAATTTCAAAAACAATCAACAATAATTTATTTTTCGTTTCTTGATTTGTTGCTGGCGGATTTTAGAAGTCAACTCGGTCGGCTACACATTTTTTGTTTATGAGCTCCACCTGATGACGAAAAGTGGTGTCCAAATCGGCCCTCGAACCTTTGAAGCTCACCGGGTCACTCTCTCCACACCACGCATATTGTCATTCGTCCGTCATTCTACCTTCTGTTGTATCTCGTCTCGTTTCCGAGAAATTTTAAAATATTTAAAGTTTCCGAGTACGTTTAAAAATGAGCAAGTTTTACGCCCAGGGGTCCGGAAGTGAGAGTTCGGGCTCGTCCTCCGAAGATGATGATAATGAGGCACCAGTCCCCTCAAAACCAATCCCCGCAGGCAAGCAAACCGTATACGTAAGTTCTTTCTATTTTAATTTCGTAAACATTAAAAGTCAAGACTACATTCAAGTTACAATAGCAGCACCGATGCAGTATGGCTTTTTACTATTGAATTGTCATAAAGAATACGGTGCTAAACTAACCACTATTTCATTTTGGTTCCCTTTTGCAAGGAATTTGTTTTCTTGTGATAATCAAAGTGAAAACATTCGATCTAGTATTTTGTTTACGCAATGAGTAATGTTGCATATTTTGTTTTCTTCAGATAAGCGATGACGATGAAGAAGACTCTGGCAAGAGAGTCGTACGCTCCGCGAAGGAAAAGCGTTATGAAGAAATGCTTGGCCATGTCAAGAAAATAAAAAATTTCAAGAAGAACAATGACATGTCAAACATTTTGGACTGTAAGATTATTCATTAGTTCTATCTGCTATGTGCAATATTGGGGGTTAAGATGACCCATATTAAATATTATATTATTAATTTATACGTGACTAATTAACAGGTTTTGAAGACTTAATAAAAGCGCATCAAAAAGCGTTACCCGTCATCGTGAAAGAGGAAAATGGATCAACTCCATTATTCTATCTCAAAACTTTGGGACAGATGGAGAATTATGTCAACCAACAGTGGGAGAACAAAAAGAACATGTCTAAAATCAACTCCAAGTGTTTAGCTACTCTTAGACAAAAGCTAAGAAAGTATAACAAAGATTTTGAAGAAGAGCTATTAAAATATCGGGACAACCCTGAGCTCTTGGATGATGACGATGATGATTTGGAGGAGAAGCAAGAAGCCCGAGATGAGAGCGGCAGTGAAAGCGAAGGTGAAAAGAAGGAGAAAAAACTGAAAAAACCATCCACAAAGAAACCCAAGGTATGCTTCACCACAAGATATTCTAGCTATTCTATGCACCTTTCTGCTTATTTCATAGATGGATGAGTTAGAAATTGTATTCTAAAAATATAAAGATGTCATTTGATGCATTATTCTAGGATGATAATGAGTCTGATGATTCTATTGATTGGGGATCGGATAGTGATGAGTCATCCAGTTCTTCAGATGAAGATTACGCCGATATTCGATCAAAATTTTTAAAAAAGACGACGGACAAAGATGATGCGAAAGAAAAGAAGAAAGCCGATCGAGATAAGCGAATGCAACGCAAGAAACTTGCAAAAGATGACGATCTTGACGACGGGGAAGGATGGTCTGTTGTCACTGGTGGTGCACAAGTCGAGCGACCTAAAATGTTCCCCAAGGACTCTGAAATTAACACTCCTGCTGTTATAAAAAAATTAGCAGAAATTACAGCAATTCGAGGGAAGAAGGTAAGTAAATACATGTCATAATAATAATAGAGCATGGAATATTTATATGTATAAAATAATAAAAGCATTCAATTATTATAAACTCCATTTTGCGATATCTGTTAAATAATTATCTGATCCTTTTGCTTCTGATTTTTAGGGAACAGATCGTAGAGAGCAAATTGACTTATTGAATGAATTGGAAACCATTGCTTCTGCCCATGCACTTGGACCTGCCGTACAAGTGAAAATTGGATTTGCCATTGTAGCTGCTCTTTTCGACTACAGTTTGAAGGTTCATGAGCTTCAAAAGGTTCAATATTGGATTAAACTCATTGATAAGATCAATGAACTTTTGAATCTTGCTATTGCACACAAGGATATGAAGGTGTGTATTGATCATTATACATTGACTGCTATTTGGGTTGAGTCTCATGGAAGAACATTCTTCTAGCAACATCTGATCATGTATTCCATTTGATATATTTAAGATTGATGAAAACGTACCAGAAGATAGCGAGGAGATGGAAAAATCCCCTTATCGAGTCAGATCCTGTCTGATGACTGTTTTCGAGAGAATGGATGAAGAATTTTTGAAGGTCCTCAAGGAACTTGATTCTCACTCTTTCGAATACGTCGAACGAGTCCAAGATGAACGACGAATTTGTGAAATGCTTGAGCGCCTCTTGACCTACATTATAAGCAATCATCTGGCTGAGGACAAAGGAATCATGTGCCGAGCATATTATAAGAAAATTGAACACATGTATTACAAGTTTGATGTCCGTGTATTAAAAAAGAAACGGGTGAGTGCTTTATATATATTTTTTTTAATACTAGATTTAATGCACTCGACTACGTGATAAATGCTCCTATTCCGATATGAATGGATGCATGAATAATTGTGCTAAAACAATTGGACAATCTGATCCCGGAATCTCGTTCGAATATCCATACTTTATTCCGCTGCTTAAATTGCCTACACTAACTAAATGATACAAAATAGTTAAATTAGTCAGAAATTTTGCTGAAAATGTTCATTCATTGACAAATTATTTGTACAGGGAGAATATAATGGTGAAACCAGTGTGGATGAAATGCAGAGATTAGCTGGATACATATATGCCTTCGACACAACAGATCGGCTTCGAACTCGATCCATCTTGTGTCACATCTATCATCATGCTCTGCACGATAATTGGTTTGAAGCTAGGGATTTGATTCTCATGTCTCATTTGCAAGAAGTAATACAACATTCTGATCCCACAACTCAAGTAAGTTTAACTATTTTGTCATTTTGTATAGTAATGCATACATGTATCATCGTATTGTATCTATCTCATTATGATTGAAATTTAGATTATGTACAACCGAGCAATGGTCCAATTAGGCATTTGCGCATTTCGACATGAAAGTGTGTTGGACTCACATAATTGTTTGGCTGATTTGATGATGAGTGGTAGGGTGAAAGAATTGCTAGCCCAAGGACTAATGCCACAACATCGGCATGACCGCTCGCCAGAGCAAGAGAAAATTGAGAGGAGTCGACAGGTAAATACGAATTTATTGTATATTACACATTCTCCAATAAAAATTCCTGGTGTGCATGGCATGATAGACAGACGACTCGCACGAGAAAAATAAAACTAGAGTTGCATATTTTATTTGGCTAATTTCAGGTTCCTTTCCACATGCAACTTAGCTTGGATGTCATTGAATGTGTTTACCTAGTGTCAGCAATGTTGATTGAAGTCCCATACATTGCTGAACACGAGTTTGATGCCAAAAGACGTCCCATCTCTAAAACGTTTTACCACCAACTGCGGACCTTGGAAAAACAAAGTTTGACTGGACCTGCTGAATCCATGCGAGAACATGTTGTTGCAAGCGCTAGACACATGAAAAAGGGAGACTGGAGGAAATGTTACAACGCACTCGTAAATGAGAAAATGGACCGCAAAGTTTGGCATTACTTTGCCATTTATGAATACACAAAGGACGAGAAACAGTAAATTTTACTTTTACTCCTATCGAATGAAAGACACCCATTCAACACGATGTAGTGATTGATTATTTATTTTCTGTTTCAGATTCGGTGTGAAAGAAATGCTTCGACGAAAGATTCGAGAGGAAAGTCTTCGGACATATCTGTTTACATATTCTAATGTATACGATTCGGTATCCATCCCACGTTTAGCCGAAATGTATGAAATGGAGGTACGCCATCTTAATTGTAATATGCGTCATTTACTATATGAAAATGATGCAAGGAAATTAGGAATGTATGCATAGTTTAGTTTATTAAAAGAGGTAAAAAGTAGACCTCCCAAACAGTTTGATCTAACTAAAAGAATGTGTTTTAATTTATGTGATGACCTATTCAACCTGTGCCAATTAACGATGATTTGCCTCGTTTTCCTTTGGCCAGTTTCAACAAGTTCATTCAGGTGAGGTTCATGTGATGAATGATGATTATTGAAAATTAAAAGAAGCTATCATTACATTAGGCTATCTTTATTCTGTTCATTACTAACACGACATTTTGAAGATAAGTTTCTCTTTTTCAGTTGTTGCAAAAATGATCATCAACCAAGAACTTGCGGTATGTAGCCTTAAAAAATCCTTTGTACATAATTTACTAATTTTTACATGCCATTCATTCTTTAATCAAAATGCTGAGGGTGAGGGTCGCGCTAAGGTTTAATTTTTATTATCATTTATTTTATAGGCATCCATGGACGAACCAACCAAGACAGTTGTGCTCCATCGTACTGAGCCCACTCGGCTCCAGTGTATGCTTCTCCAACTTTCTGACAAAGTACGAATCATTTTATTTTCTTACTTTATTGAATTGGGTATGATGTTGGTAGCAATGTTTTTTAAATGTGTATTTGTACGTTTTTGTTAGGTCAACATCTTGAGAGAAACAAGTGACCGTACTTTCGAAACCAAGCTTCAAGGAGGACCTGGAACTATGGGGCCAGGGAGTAAAGGCCGTCAATTTAACCGAATGGATTGGAAAAATAGACGACCAAATCAACCCCGTGGTGATCATCATAACCGCGGAGATAGAGATCATAATCGAGGAGGAGATCGCGACCACAATCGAGGTGACCGTAATCGGGGAGATCGTGAACATAATAATCGTGACCGTGAAAATCAACGTGAAGTAGTTGCACATTAGAAAATACGATTCATCTTTTGCAGTGTTGCTAACTAGGCAAAACTGCACATTAATTATTTTTTACGACTCTGTGTCATCAATATTTGCATTGCAGGTCTAAATATTTTCTATCTTTACGTTTGTAAATGGAAAGTTCTAATTTACTATTACCACCAATGGTGCGTGCAAGTTGGAAAAATAAAATAAATAGATTAAACTTATTTGCACTCATCAAGCTACTAACTTGAACTGACTTTGTTACATGTTAATTAAATGTCATGGGCAATAATAATAATATCGTCTGGTGGCCTTGATTTGCAATTATGTGGCTCATTGTGCAACCTCCATCGTACTAGTGTACGTTCCACCATGTTATAAACTTGTGTCGTCTCATGACAAACGACGCCAAACTGTCGCCAAGTTTTGGAATCTAGACCAAACAAAATCCACAATTTAATCATGGTTTTTAGTTTCACTTTCTCAGAATTTTTACTTTTCAACGATGTTAATTTTCCTTTCATGATAATGTTATCATGCAGTCTTCTCTCCGACATACGTTAATGCATATCACCCTAATGTTAATGTGTCAGATAATTAATTGCCTGTATGCTAGGATTTCAAGATTTGTGATGAGGCGAATTGCTCAGCATCCGACTCGTGTTCACATTTAGCTCAAGCTCACTAAATGAGTTTGGTCTCTTTTGGCCTCCTTTCGAACGGGAGAATGACGGAAACGTAACAGTAGTCGAATGCAAATAAGTTATTGGGCTCAAATAATCCAGTTTGTTGGATAATACATAAGCGACGCAAATAAATGAATCCATCCCTTCTTTCTCACTTCATTATCAATTTACCCCACTGCAATCCTTAAAAGAATTAGAATTAGAGTCACTTTATTTTATTACTTAATCAAGCGAAGTACATATTTCAACCCAAATAGTTGGTTACACATTTTTATGTACTTATGTATCCTTAGGATTAGTACGCTGTCTCGTTTCATGCCAAGACGAGAAATAAGTATTAACAAATTCGGGGCAGTCTCATTTTAACAATTTCTCAATACGCTAAAACTTTCTGGAATATGCTGTCAAATTGTGTGGTATTAATGTGCATACGTAACTTATGAAAAATAAATGATGAAAACATCATACTTGAATTTTTTCTACTTACCGATACGTAGTGCAGTTTGAAACCTCTTAATTTTTTCGAGTCATTTAAACATTCTAGAATCAACTCAATTCATCACTTCAGCGTGTCAGAAATGTGTATTCTCGACTCAATTCGTTTTCGGCACCTAATTCTCTTAACAGCTAAATGTTAAGAGAGCTGAGTTGTTAAAGTAATGTGGGATAAGATCTGGAGCAAATAGGGTGGACGACCAAAGAAGTTCAACCATATCAAAAGTGGGATTATTGCCTTCACTTACACACATTTGTATTTTATGGCAAATACTGGCAAATAGAAATGCGTCCCAGATCCTGACAAGATGGTCAAAGCTGGTAAACTTAAATTCATATTCATAATGTACTGCTTTCATTTGTACCCTTTTATTTTCTTTTAGCCCGGATTAGTGTCCATGCCCAAGTTTGTGTATGTAAATAAATTTTGACTGACTGACTAATGCAAATGCGTCATTCACAAACTCACTATTAGAGCATTTCACCATTTTAATGTGTGAGTTTTTTATGAGAAAAAATAACTATGGGATATGTGGATAAGCCTCCGCTCGGTCAGACCGTCAGATTGGGAGAGCTCTAAAAAACTGAAAAATCTTTTTAGCCATTCCACATCTTTTATTCCATCAAGGGTAGAAAAAATATAAGCCAAACATAAAGAATCATGACGAAATTAATGTCTCCCCTTATGGAAGAAAGATGTAATGTCCGGCTGTTCATTGTATCATGTTTTGTTGGACTGTTACTGTAACCTGAATTATAAGGTTATCACAATTATTACAATTTTATCACAGAGTTAAATTGATTTAGATTCTGTAATGGCACTGGAGTAGCATTTAAAGAATAGAATGGCATACATTACTACTATTAAATATGCTTGTAGATAAAATTCATACTACGATGTTGTTACTTAATGGTAGAAATGTGACAAGCCAAATGCTATTCGCTACGTAAATACTTCTGCAACCAAATTCCAATTTAATGCTTTTGTCCAAGTTAATGTCTGTCGTTTCGTTGTTTAATAAAGCATTGCATGTTATTTCATGGTAATGAATATGTATACGTAATGATTCGGCCAGTCACAAAGAAACGGTTCAAGTTTCAAGGATGGTTTCCTCATCTCGATCAGTTTACACAAGAGGATTCCTTTCCTCGAATGTCAGAAGTACGTAAGTAATGTGTATATACTGAAAAATGGATGCATTAACACGTTTCCATTCAATGCCGGCTTTGTTCCTCAAATTTCTTACTTTTCCAAAAGATCTTCCTATGAAAACATGTCGGTTCCATAGTCTAAATAAAACGAATGTTTCATCGAAAATTTGACGGAGATTTCACAAATGAGGAACTTCTTATGGATTGGCGTCACCATTCAAGCCATGCAGCCCTTAAAATTCATACTTCCATGCGATCATATTCATAGTCGCACAGAAGACCCTTTTCATCCTTCCTGGTCCATCATCGTGAGTGAGTGAAACCGAGTTGTTTCTTAATCCACGTAAATACTGCATGTAGTCGGAATACATAAATTCTACGAGGAATACATATGCATACTTGGTTTTTGAATGTCTTATACGTGTGTAATAACATCGAAAGGATTGCAATGATAATCTGTCTACCTTCTTAATGCTTAACTGTGCACTTATACGAAAGGCATATTAGGTTTGTTGTATGTAAGAAAAGTGGTATTCATAAGACGAGTGTAATGTACGTGTTGTTGTTTGGCCATAAGCTGGCAGTCCCATAATGAATCCCACAGACTGATATGATGCCAGAGGACAAGAAAAAGGGAGTCAACAGCTTGGGATCTGAAAAAAATATCTTGAAACTTTATACCCAGCAAGTTCTGCTCCCCTTTACAGCATTGCAGCAAGCTTACTGATGGTACCACGTACCTCTGAATGATACCATTTCATTTCTTTATTCAGAGGTTGTTCAAGTTCTAACCGAATGCACAACACGGACCACTAAAAGACTGTGTTGTACGTATTAGATTATTGTGCTTTCTGGTCGTATAAATAAGTGTATGATGGCACTTGTTACAGAGCTAGAGAGCTACTGCAGATTCGACGACTGAGTCATTTCACTTTTTCGACATTCATTTAATTGACATGGAAGAAGCATGTTCAAACATTGATTACTGAATATCTTGGTGACTATATTGCGTTTATGCGGAAACATGCTAGCTTGCGTGCGGAGAATTGCATTCAACACTTTTAGATCTGCTAAATTCGTTGTAAATCCGCTATTACGTCACTCGTCGGATTAATCAACTTCACAAATAACTGCAAACTGTTTCATTGTTGAATGTGCCTCTGTACACAGTGTGCTGATTTTGCAAACTTAGTTGTTATTTTCCTGCTAATAAGTATCTCACATGTGTATTTTAAACCCAATTAAGGTTCTCATGTTTGATAATTGACTCAAACTATTCAAGAAGTGACATAGTAAAAGCGATGGCAAAAATGTAGAACTTTACCAAAACGTGAACATTATTCCATATTCGTAATTTTAAAGATGGTTGAAGCAACGAAAAGTTAAAAGCAACGAAATGTGACATTTCTTTATACAAATACCACGCATCTATGCTACATTAATGTATCGATCCATTCCAAAAAAGTGCCTGTTATTAAAGTGACCTTCAACGAAATAATTGCATCGATTTTTATTTTGAGTATCTACTACTTTTTACTGGTGCTCTGTTCAACATGCCAAGGATTTGTACAACTGCAGGCCAGTTTATTTTATGTGACATGCCGACTTTGGGAGAAATTTGTTTATTTTCACCGGTCGTAAGATAATTCTTCACGTAGCAAAAATGGATAGCAAAACAATTTGTGTCTTCAATCCTTATCATCATCGCCGTAAGCCCAACAACAAGTGGTTGACAGTGGTCTTTCTAAGCGTTCTCCTTGCTCCTGGGGTGGTCGAGTGTGGGGGAGGAAAGAGCGGCGTGAGTAGTGGAGTGGAGGCTCAAAGTCTCACAGCCATTGAGAACGAGACGGTGGTGAAAGTTCGGGACAAGGGTCAAGGGTCGTCCTCCAATGCTGCTGGTGGTGGATTTGGTGGGGTTTTTGGCAATGTCAACTCTCGGACGGGGAAAGCTGGGGGTGGAGGAGGAAACAGCATCACGAGCAACGAGCTGAACCACCCGTATGCCTTTAACGCCGTAGACGACGAAGATGCCAGTTACGACGAGGAGGACGACTCCTCCTACACGTATGACTCATTCGAGGACGTGAAAAACACGGAAGATTCAGAGTTCATCAAGGAGCACGATAAGCCGGACGAGCATGACCACGATCAACAACAACAGGAGAAACCAATGATTGGGAAATGTTGTCGACTTGGGGAAGGATTGACGCTGAGAGGAGGCTGTGACAAGATCCATGAGCACAATTTGTTCAATAATGACCAGTGAGTCCGTTGTTTCAAACTTTCTCCATAGCTTTAACAAGTATAAAATGCTTTCTACTACAAAAGAGGGGACGCCAGAGTACCAGATAGATTGTTTGAGATTAATAAGTAATTAGTTCTTTTCATAACTTCTACAGTTGAGAAATTCCATTTTAATCATTCAATCCATATCAGGGTGTTGTTATCTTGCCCAAATAATGCTGACAAAAAGAAACGCATCGAGAATTTTATTTATAGGATCACTTTACTCACTCTTGATAAGATAGCACACACAGAATAGTGAACACATATGTGCGTTCAAACATCCGATTCTGCAATCTTATTTAGGAGTTGGTGAGTTATGCGTACACGAACAGGGCGCATAAACTTTTTGTTGTCCGTGGTTTCTCCTAAGGAGAAACCACGGACAAAAAGTTTATGCGCCCTGGTACACGAACTTTAAGTACAAATCAAGTTGATGACTTTTAAAAGGATGGGAGTGCATGAAGTGTATGAGAGCTACGCAAATAAATAAAATAAAGTCTGTAGGTATGTATTAGGTCTCACATCTTAATGTTATGTACCAATGTACCATCTTAAAATGTATGGTGCACAAAGTGGTCGATAGCATGATTAAGTATACATATGTACATATCTGGTTAATAAAAAATATACGAGGAAGCATACATACATTAAAACATTGTCAGTGAAAATAGAAATAAAACAGGAACCCAATAAACCCTTACAAACGAATATAAAAAAGTAGCGTCAGAATGATCGAAATGTCCTTTAAAATGACACTATCTTTGACAATTCTGTATTTTTGACCTTTGACCTCGTCCTCAATATCATGAGGTCAAAAATATTAATGTCTTTGAAGTCGCAGTCAAATTTCCTTCAAACTGACAACCCATATGACAATTATGGATTTTTTGACCTTTGACCTCGTCCTCAAGGTCATGAGGTCAAAAATATTAATGTCTGTGAAATCGCAGTCAAATTTCCTTTAAAATGACACCCCATATGACAATTATGCATTTTTTGACCTTTGACCTCGTCCTGAAGGTCATGAGGTCAAAAATTTTAACGCTATTGAATTCGTGGTGAAATTTCCTTTAAAATGACACCCCATATGAAAATTAATGTTAAATTTAATTTTGGACCACACCCCCTGGCGCTGTGGGGTGTGGTCCGATTGACCCAATTTTCGAACTCGATCGAGAACTAAAAATTAGAAGCACAATGGCGAAAACGGGGTTTGATTATGTTGACTCGTTCTGGAGATATCCTGCTTACAGACGGACGGACGGACAGACAGACGGACGGACAAAACGATCACAATAAGTAGCTGACGCTACTTAATAATGTGTGCCAAATTATTATGAGTGACGGACGGCTGAGAGTTTTTCTCGCTTGTTGATACAATTTGTCATTTTTCGACTGCTTAGATTTTGGCACTGGTATTCCATCGAATCTTTACTATGTACATATGTGTACATATCCTATGTAGAGTTAACTCGATGACTAAACCGAAAAGATAAGATTCGTGGTTTACCCACGTGCATATCTCTTGTCACTTTTGTGTCTTCTGCTCCTTCCTTGACACCTCCTACTCGTCATCTGCAAAAACTTATGATCGTGAACGGATGAATTTAATAATGTTCCATAACTTTCAGGTTCTGGTTCCCTGAAAAAGTTTATGATGTTGCTGCAGAAAAAATGGTGATCAACAACATCTCCGATTGGGATGTTCACATGTCGAACAAGATCCAATGTCGTGCAGGAGAGCGTGCGGAAATAATTTATGACATGAGAAGATTTACGGTCCTAAAGGATGGGTCCCTATACGTCTACGCGCACCAGAAAATCGTTCGCCCATTGGATTACTGCATAGATCAAGAATTGGGTAAAAAAAGTTATTAAATTTTACTGCATAATGGAAATTTACACACGTATTTATGTAAGTATGCATTTGTTCATATATCTCCGTACGTACTCTTAATTTGTAGGAAAAGGTCAAGGTCGAGTAGTCAAGGCATGTTTCACCAAGGAAGAACTATGTGATGATAAGCAGTGTTTGAGAAAGTGTTGTCCCAAGGTATAAAGCGAGTATTTTTATATCAATTTTTATGTGAAATATTTAGAAGAAATGCGTAGAAAAAGTGAACTATGTGTTCAAAATAAAAAAACTTTGTGCATACCCGAAGGGATCCATCTCTGAAATTATTGAAGGACCGACAAGATTTCGATGCGAGCGTTCGTCCTTGGTTGAGAAGTACCATTTCAATGACTCCAGTGAGTAGGAACATTCCTTAATTATTGGTTAATTACATGAGTATATTTAAAAAATGGAATAGTGAGCCTTCAATATCTTGTCGTTTTGCAGACATTGTGGCTTCGAATCCCACTTGTTCCGATGGGATTCGCCTTGAGCCCATTGAGACCTACAACATTTCCGATAACGGAACCTTGCAAACACCATCATTTAGCGCTCCACTCCTCAGTTATTGTTTGGACTACTTTATCGACAAGGCAAAAGGGAATACAGATGAAAGGTCTCTCGTCCCAATCCTCAAAGCCATGATTTGTTTTGACACAAAGTACGACGAGTTGGACTCGAAAGGACTAATCGTACTTCCCCATGGTGTCGCAGTGGTCTTTGGAATTACAATGATTATTTCTGCAATTTGTCTGGCAGTTGCAGCAGTAGTAAGGCTTTATACAAGAATTGAACATTTTACATGCTGTTTACGAGATAAATTACTTTCACTGGTAAAATTTTCAGATTTCATGGCGATTACCTGAACTCCGTTCTCTTCACGGAAAGTGCCAACTAAGTCATTTGGTTACAATGTTCTTTTTATACTTGTGTCTTGGGATCGTACAAGTGGGGACGCAACATATTCCCCAAGGACTCTGTACGTTTTTCGGGGTTTTCATCCACATTTGTGCTCTAAGCTCTTTCCTTTGGTTGAATCTGTTGTGTGTCAATATTTACCTAACGTTCCGTTCCCTACGCCCACCTTTGGCTGCTGGTCGTCGAGATGAAAATAGACGTTTATTGTTCTTGTGCATGTAAGTCACATTTTGAGGACAAGTAAATAAAATAGAATAATGTGGGGCGAGACGTTGTGAGAAAATCACGTTTTAAATTCTAGATATGCATGGGGCATTCCAGCAGCTTTCTGCCTCTTTCTCTACACTTTGGACTCATCACCTAGTCGTTTGGATCCCATGCCTTTGCCTGAATATGGACATCTGAAGTGCTTAATTTCAAATAGGTAATTTTCACATACAGCAAAGTAGACATATTTAGATAGGATATTTTTATAATATTTTATGTATATACATACTTTAAATGAATGTTTCAGAGGGGCAGAGTTTGCATATCTCTTTGGACCAGTCGGAGTCCTACTCCTTTGCAATGGTCTGTTGTTCTGTCTCACAGCACAAGAACTTTTGTGCGGTGTATGGAGACTTGATAACTCAGATTCCATCAACTTCAGGTAAAATAATTGCATATGTACTTAGCCTGTAAATCAAACTTATATTGTAACTGGTTGAAGAACACGTACTTGAGCACGTTACGTACTTATCATCCAATGCTTATGGTTTGAATTTTGAAATAAAATATTCACGTGATAATTTTCCTTTTTAGACGAAAAAGTATGGGAATTGTTGTGGCAAAGTTGGGGATCGTTATGGGGCTGGGCTGGATCCTAGATGTGTAAGTACCCGATTATGTATAGTGCATAAGATAGTTCTCGTTTTAACAAGTAAGTTAATCGCTTTAATCGAGATAATTCTTTATTCTTAGCATTTCTTGGGCCATTGGAACAAATTCGCCGTACATGTTTTATGCTGCCGATCTCTTTAACTCATTTCAGGTAAAATATGAGTCAAATAAATTCCAAATTCAATCATTCATGTATAAATGATTACATGGTTTAAAATACCGCTGATATTACATGTGAATATAAATGTGATCATACTTTCACAGGGCGTGCTAATCTCAGTCATTCTATTGTGGCGAAAACGTGTTCTCGAAGTCCTGCATCTCAGAAAGCCCTCAATAACAAAAGATGAAACTCTAACAGCACGTCCATTCTTGTCACCCAAAAACGGAAGTGTTAATGCCATGTCAAACGGAGATCATGACACGTCGTTGGTGATAGGTCATGACCAGGACCAATAATACTTTGGCAGGATAAATGTCTCAGAGGAACAAATATGGACAAACGTGCTGGTGTTTTTTTTAGCTAATTGTGTTGTATTCATTGCCAGAATAGTATTTTATTGCTGATTATTTTAAAACTGTTATTATGCATGCAACGCATGATAATTATACCGCTTCATCACCGACTGACAAATTTTAATCATGTTAATGATCTGCTTGCTGCACTCTCATGAATAATATCCTCCTTGGCTTTTGTTGCCATTTTTAGTTCGATCTGAAGAAATGATTTGCGCTTTTTATTTTTGCACAATATGTAATCAGTATTTTATTATTTATTATTATTAACGGTAGCTAATATACATATGCCTATGAAGCGTCTGCAGATTGTGTAACTCTGGTTCTGTTGTCTGTGCTAAATATGTAAAAGATGAAAACACCTTGAAACAAGTGAAACATAAATAAGTAAACTCCGTCCATAAATTAACGGAGATTATACATATATGAATAAGATATAGTTTATGATACGATTGAATATAATACATATAAGAATAATAATTGTTAAAATGTTACGAATTGTTGATATTATTGCTAAAGTACCTTTTTTCGACTGTTATAGAGTAAACTCATGATCAATAAGATTAAATTTTATAAAGTAACAAGGATAATTATAAAATCATTTTTTAGCCATGGAACATAAAATAAGTAATGCTCATCTCTTGAAATATGAAACAGTCACAAAAGGATAATAATTTGTGGAGAGATATTGATCCGGTAGACATAGCATCACCACAGATGAATATATGCATTTACATAAAGATAGCAAGAAACACGAATTAAATTAATTCGAAATAATCGATGATGATATTATTGCAAAGGACCGACATGTCTGAAACTGGAAATAATTCCGTTCGGTTCCACCTTGGTCCCTGTGGCTGCAAAGACCCCATTTCCTCCTCCAAAGCTGCCACCGATTCGACCGGTGGTGACCTTATCTTCCATTCCAGAACCACTTTCAACCGTGGTCACCTTCCCATCTCCATCCATATGGATAGAAGTGGACTGAAACAATGGTGGGTTTCCGTTTCCAGAGCCAAAAGTAGAAGAAAATGCGCCACCGGAGAAAAGCCCATTCTTTCTTGCATTATTTCCAAACCGAGCAAATTCTGAAATACTGGGGGGTTGCTGTCCCTCTTCTTCCGGTTTCAGATTTTGGTCTGGTCTATTTTGCCTAAATTGTTGCTGGAATTGCTGGAACATGTTGATAGGTTGTTGGAGCAGTTTTAATGGGTCAAATCCAGAACTAGAGAACGGTCGATAGGGGTTAAAATTATTTAGGAGCTCATTGTTTCGAAGTCCATCAATATTATTAGCATAGGATGATGGACGTCGGTATGGCAAGTCTCGATATTGGTTTGCATATCGCCCAGTGTTGGGGTTATCGTCAAACAGAAATGCACTGTTGCTCTTCTGCTGATCGTCATTAATACGTTGATTGGTAGAATCCATTCTGCGTCTATACGTGTTAGTTGCAGGCAGAAGCATGAAAGGTTTTATTAGAAAAGTTATGACAGTTATTAAATAAAACTAAAACACTTGGCGCATTATGACAAAAGAGAATAATATCCGCACTTTCTACTTGGCTATAAAATTGATGAAATTGAACGATATCATTAGAAAGCTATTTGAACTTATTGAATATAAATAGTTAGTCCATTAAATAAGTAAAGGTATTAGTTGAAAAGCATCACGGCACAGGGACAAACATGGCTATAGATATGTAAGTATATAGGTTCCGGGACAGTTAGGAAAGGTGGCGTCTCAGCTTGTTTGACGCACTGATAGTGTTCTCAGCAGTGGGGGAGACGCTTGGGACCTTAGAAGGAGATTTCGTGGGAGGTGGCCCCAATGTGATGCGATACACAGTCTGGTTTTTGTGAGAGGCAGAAGAAGCGGAGGGGGTGTTCCCAACAGCGTCTCGGGTGCTGCTCGACGACGGCGAGGAGCCAAAAATGGAGCCAAGCATGTCCAACAAGCCCAAAAACATATCCGTCAGAAAACCTCGGACAGAGTCGAAGCGTTCACTTAGCGTAACTCCGGTCAAAAATGTCTCTGATGTTTCCACATCATTTATTTCCGGATTTACATCGGAAAAAGATTCCAAGGATTTAATGAGTGCTGGAGCCGTTGTTGTGGTGGATGAACGAATTCCAACTTTGAATCTGATTTTAAGAAAAAGCGTTACAAGGGATAAGCTACAGATACAACATATTAAAAGAGATGCTTCTTGTCAAACATATTGCCAGAGAGAAATGCATAGAATAGCAAAGAAGATAAACGATAAATAATGGTAGCATGAAAACTAGAAAACTTAGCAATATTTGTATATTTGAGCTGCAAGAATAATTTGTAACCAGACTTGTCATTTAAAGTGAGAAAGTCTCAAAATGCAATTGTCATACTATTTCAAGTAGTTTTGCCATAAATCATAAATATGCGTGTTTCTTGTAGTGGTCTAAATAGTCTAATCTTACGCATTTTGAAATTCTGGTGGATTTCGTCCTTACCTTCCGTTTCCATTTGTAACGGCATCAAACAATTGTCGAGTGGACAGTGCCAAATTTCCAAGCTGGAATCCACAAGTCAATCCTGAGCACCCTGCTCCAACTCTTTCTCCATCTGAAAGTATTAATTGAATTGGACCAGTTCAAATAATTGCTCTATTTATTTCAAATGGGGAGGGGTGACAACGTATCCAATGCGATACATAATAAATTCATTACCAAAATTGCACTCGAAATATATAAACTCATGCTGGCGTGACATTAGCTCCCAGGAAGGATGCGTCTAATTTGACATGTTATTTTCTGCTTTCATGCATTGCTTGCACTGAACTGCCTGAGATATTTGACTCAATTTATTAGATTGGTGCATGCAGTAATAACCATAACTCACTCACTTATTTACTTTGTGCAACTAGTTTCTATTAAAACGACTAGGTTTCACATTCAGCACAACATGCATTAATTGTTGAACGTATGTGGCATATACTGTCGTATAGTAAAAGTCGTAATGAAATCCGCCAACCTGGTGCCAATCAATAATATCGCATTAAACTTGGATTGCAACTAGAAAGCAAAAAAGTAAACATATGTCAAGTTGGTTGTAAAAGTAGTAGTAAGAAAGAAGTGCAATGTGGCACAAACTTCTCCCATTGTTCCTTCTTCGTGAGATGAGGATAAAGATAATGACATTTATTGCCATTTCCAAATGTCAAAGTCACGGTCTCACATTCAGAGTTACACAAAAGACACAAGACCCAATTACGAGACAAACAATTACTTTAAATTATTTTATTATATTTATGTGAAGAGCTTTTGCGCAGTAAATGCTTGCATTCAGGTGGTTTCGTGTAATACAAATAATTATTAGCTCAAAAACCATACTCTTGAATTACGACAAGTTTGTCTTCCGCGTGGCAAATAATTTTCGTTTTGTTCACATAAAAGTGCCAGAGAAATAATAATTTAGCTCGTGTCAATTTCAAGTGTCACAAAATTGACATGAATTTTACATGAAAGTTGAAAGCGTACCCTCCTCATACATATATTCACCACTTCATATTTATGTATGTATGTATGCACCTATAGGCATTCACAACTATGTTTGTATGTAACACCCACAGCAAGATGCTGTTCTAATAATGCAGTTTTTTTTACTATGATGATGATAAGCATTTCCATCCATACGTCCGTTAAACAGCATCACAAAATTACTTATTGTTGGTGTTTTACTATCACATATGTGCATCTCTTTTTAGTGTAAACTACTAAAAGCCGGAAAAGCAGGTTTTAATTTAGATTTGGTGTCGCAGATCGTGTTTAGTGCTGTCATTTTTTAACATTGAATTTTTTTGTAGTGCATGCGATTATTTCCAAATAAGTAAAACTAACCCCTTTGTCCAAGATTTAGACCAGCAAATGCTCCGAATGGAAGATACGGGTTGTTTCTGGGGTCGGATTGAAAGTTTCCAATACCGGCAGATCTTCCAAGTCCTGAAACAAATAAATAACTACAGTCTTGACATCCGCTTCTCGACGTAATTACATATATGCAAATGCGCGTAGTTAATTAGTGCATCTCATTATAAATCATCAAGAAAACGGATCAAGCTATCTGCTCTTGCATGTATTATATCTGCAAGGTATCTGCTACAATAATTGGGCAACGGCTTTACTCCTTCGTTGTTTTAATTACAAACCATAACATTGAACTACAGTTAAATTACTTAATATTGTTTTTGCTAAACTTCAAACCAACAATGGGGCGAAACGAATGACGAAATGAAACCAGAGACGCGTGTCCCTACCACAATATCTACTTGAGCAAGGCCTCGTTATCTACATGTATGAATATCTATGCTTATTTACTTGCAGTCCGAACAACTGCATTCATGATGATGAAATTAAACCCCTGAGATTAATTAACAGCAGGATTTGGTGATGCGCCAATTCACATCGCATCGTTCACATGAAATGAACTACAAATGAAACCGTTGATCTACTATTACCTCCGCGTTGCAGTTCAGATGCACATTTTGAAACAATAATAATAATTACTGTTTTTCTGGCGTCGAGATGCATCAGCCTTTTTTGTCTGATAATGGTTCGTGCGTGTGCCACCTTAATCAACAATCAACTATAAATTCACGTCATTCTGCGAAGAATAAGGTTCCCCTGTAAGCAAGTAGTTTGGTATGGCATTATTCTTGTAGGATGCATTTAACAAGGCTTGAAAGTGACATACAGAAGAATCAGATCGAGTTTAAAACGGTAAAATTTTATGGTCTTTTTCTTCCCGAGATCATCATCTTGTAAATAAGTGAGGTATGTTTTGTATGGCAAGAGAGATACTCCACCACTTGAGAAAAGGTTAATAAGACGGTTAACTATCTCGGTTAGAAGACGATATTGTTTGCCATCCATCCATCCATCCATCAATTTAGAAATATTCTTCTTGCCACGACCTTAAATTTTACCACAACCACGCTACATGGCTATGCGCCGGTGTGTACATACGTATGTACCTTATGAATGCACAACCTGAGATTAGACTGAGATTTGTAATATGAACTATAATATTATTAGAATGAGTTTTTCTTGTCTGGGATGTGGTAAATAATTTCTCCGAGTGCAAGATTAAGGGTTGCAACGCTGCGACTACTACTCTGCGCTCAATTCTTCAATTGATAATTGATGATGAGTTGAGTAGAATAATGCATTAAAAGCAGCAACCGAGATGACCATTTTCAAAAGTGGGTGGTGGCACATGTCAGAGCATAACCCTTTTCAATTTAAAAAATTAAACGAAGCAACCAGCAAAACCCACATCCCTCCAAAGTCGACTACGGACTACTGCTGAATATGGTGCCATGTTATCATCAGATTTGCAATGACTCTGTATAACCTCTAAACTGGGAGAAGGGCATTAAATAAGCAACACAGCTATAAAATGAAAAAAGATTCAATTTTATGCCGAGTCGCCCTTCATATTATTTCTCCTCGGCTCAGTGGTGGATTTTGGTTGGTTGGTTGGTTATTATACGAAGAAGAAGACGACGACAACGAAGAAGACGAAGAAGACGAAGAAGAAGAGAGAAATCAAGTTTTCGAATCCAACTCCTTCCGTCCCAGTATAAAAGCCGGTGAAATAAACATGAAATCTCATTCCCATTTTTATCTGGCTCAGGTCAACTGAGCCTCCGTATTTTGTGTCTTTTTAAAAAAGTAGATATTTCTAATCTCCATCCGCATTGCGGTTCGGGGATTTCTTTTATAATTTTGTAGTACTCAACTAAGTCAAATATCTACACTTTACTAAAAATGAAGCAAATATCTGCTATCCTGGTTCTTGTAGCAGTCGCTGCAGTCTCTGCTTTCCCCACCGAATCGAAAAATCCTCAGCCTCATCAAGGTCGAAATGACCTGGAGAGCCAAGAGCCCGTTAAGATTGTTCCAGTGGTTGTGTTGACGGAAAATGGTAAGCACTTCAGGACTGTTTAATTCGTTGGACTCTCTCTCCTTTCAATGAACTATGTGCCATTAACAATGATGTATTTATTCATGTAGAACCAGTTCAAGTGATCCGACAACGACGACAATATGGTCGTCCTCCACCTGGACGTCGACCACCTCGTCCATCCCACAGCTCTCAGTCTGGCCCACCACCCCAAGCTCAGAGCGCCCAAGGGGGTGACTACTATGGAGGCGGTGGAGGAGGTTCCCCAGGAAGTTATTTTGGTGGAGGAGGTGGTAGCCCATCTTCATCGGGTGGTGGCAGCGGAGGTGAATATTTTGGCGGATCCCAAGGCGCTCCACAGGAATCGAGCTATCAAATTACTGCCGGAGGACCTCCCGGTCAATATGATCAGGGAGGAAGCAGCTTTGGTGCGGGTGGAGGAGGAGGTGGGTTTGGAGGACCAGAGTCATACCCCGGAAGTAGTGGCAGCGGGAGCAGCGGATACTATCAGCAGTCAAGCCCTGGAGGTGGTGGGGGTCAGTATGGCGGAGGCAGTGGGGGCAGCTCCTACGGGGGTGGACCAGGCGGATTTTTCGCCGGGGGAGGAGGCAGTCAGTCCTCATCCCCATCTCACAGTGGATCTCCTTACGCGCGTCAACGCTAATATTTTAGAACCAAGTTCCTAACTTTATTACACCCATCTAATTTTATACTCCACTGTTGACTGTCATTGATGACTGATGTGCTCCACACAAATTTGTTTCCGTTGCTTTCATTCAACAAGTAAAATCGGAGCTGTTTCGTAATTCTTGATTCTCAAAATAATAAATCCATTTACGTGTTTTGTTAGTTTGTTATTCTATCTATACGTTGGGACTCTTGAAGCATGATTATTGGCACAACCATAAACTAAAACCATTACAATTGTGATTATGAATTTTACTCTATTTTAGCATGCAAACTAAAAAATCTATTCATGCAAGTACCTCCAATTCCTGCTGCTGCGCCTGCTCCGAAATTATTTGCAGGGAAATCGTTTGCAGGGGTTTCATCACCGGAGGCCCTGCGTTTCCCTTTATGGAGAGAATTTATAAAAATTTATTACAAAAACTTTCCAAATAGAGGGTCGAGTACGTAAATTATGCGTCTGTGGGCTTACTGTGAAAAGGAGATGCGAAACACACCGCAACAAATCCAATGACACAAACCAATAATCCTGATTTCTGCATCGTTTACTTTGGGGTGGTACTTATTTAGTTAATTCACTTGAGAAAATACAAATAATGCAGGAGGAAGAAACTGTACCAACTGCAGGATAAATGGTTAAGCTTAAAATGAATCAGTGACTTAAATGGATACTAGTTTTGTATTTGCAGTCGCGACCAAAGTTCGCTGTTTAAGATTATGTGATAAAAACGAGCAAAAAGTTGGATGTGTTTGGAATTGTTGAGAGTACCTGGAGATGTTGCAAACTTGTAAAAGAAGGATTCGCATGACTCGTCACATATGTAACATTCTTCCCCATGCTTATAAAATACCCCATTTTTGCACCCCATTTTGCATTTTTAGGGAAATCCAGAGGGCAAACAATGACAGTAAACATACATAATTCTTAAAAACATATACTACATGTGCATATATATGTATGTATATGCATTCTTTATTTCATTACCATGCATTTTATTTGTTATATGCAATGGGTTGATGTATTGTCTCATAGTACATGTACAACGCCTACGCCCATTACGTATGGAGTAATTTCATACGATTTGGTCAGCTAACTCGCATGTTTGTATGTATCATATACTGAGATAAACTGCAGATTCATCAATTCAAGTTGCACATCTCATCAAACCGTGTTTGCAAAATATAATAATAATGATTTTGATAGCATCCTAATTACATTAATTTATTTTTCAGAAATTGAACGTCCAAAAAAATGAGACGATACCGGCAAGGCCAAATAATCTAACCTGGTAGTAATCTGGTGACCACAGCGCTAATATCTGACCTTCATTTTGTGGCAGTCTACAATGTAATATAGTCGTTGAAAGCTGCTCAATTTTGTCACTCTGTTTCGGATTGACTGTGAAACCTTAAATATGTGCATATGAATTAAATTGAGTTTCCATTGGCATGTAAATTCTGCGTTACATCTCTATGCTGTTATCAACAGCCCTCATTTTTATATATTAATTGAGGATGATGTAACCGGCTAAAACTCAGCCAACCTTTAATTAATTATTTTAACGCGCATGTATTCAGGATTCATTCGCTTGCATGTGCACATATCATATTGTTAACTTGTTACACTTTGAGAAGTTTGCAATCTCATGTCAGATGAAAGCTATAGGATCACATATACATACTTTATGTACATTATAAATGCCATATATATAATGCATGTTAAATTTAATCTCTAATAAACCATTTAAATACACAGATATAAGTAATAAAAGAAAAAAAGGTTACGTGAACTTGAAAATTTTAACTTCAGTGAAACTTTAAATTTTGACCTTTAGCCACGCCTCAAGGAAAAGTCATTCACAATGTCCTGAAAGATTCTAGGGCTATACGTTACCTCATATACAAATGTTGAAGAATTAAAAAATCTGCCCGAGTCAGTCATTTTTCTTACTCAATTTCGAAGACCAACGACGGTTACCCCTTTTGAGACCCCATGACCAATATATCACAAATATTGCTTCGTTGTCGTGCATCAGTTTTCCGCATGACGCATGACAATTCCATAAGCCACGGTTAAAAATAAATTGTCTGACATTTAGATAAAACCTGCGAACAAAAATTCACATATTATAATATAGCTCCCAATATTTAACAAAAAATTTAACGTTACGTTCTCAGACTTTCATGCGTACATACACATGTATTTATGTATGTATAACTGAACATCTTACATGTTTGCTGAACCACATCTTTTTCACGTGCAATTCTTACCTAAGAAAACACTTTTTATAATGTCTTTTGATTGTGTGATTATAAATTCGATGAAATACAGCCCAGTACACATTTGTGTACAGCGATGATACAAATGGTGTTCAGTGGACACCACTGAACACAAAGCTAAGCACACTATTGCAAAAAGTCTTTATACTTTTAGATTGACTCATGTGCCAAAGTCCATTTTTGTGTGTGTAATAGTCCAGCAGCACCAGAGGAACAAAAAGTCTTCACAATTCTGATCCTAAGCCTTTGTTCGAAAAATAAATAACACCAAGTATTGAATTAATCTCTAATTTCAATCTGCATCATGCTTAGAAAAACTTCATCGCTGGATTTCTCAGAATCCTGTCTGAACTTGGGTTCTAATCCTAAGGTTCTAGTCCTAAGTGGTATGAGTTTTAAACACTATAAACTCGTGAAAATCAGAGTTCAGTCAATATTTCATTGGTTATGGCTTTCACTTTCGGACAAGTGATATTTGTTGGAATTTGCTACTCGAGTCAACATCAGAATACACAACACAGAGCAAGTGTAGAGTCAGTTTTATCTATGTACTTATGAACAGACTCATGGCGTCATTGCGAGTGGCCAGAATAGAATGTTGACTTTCAGGAAGTCACGATTCGTTAATTCCGAATAGGGAGTCCTCTCATCAGGTTCATCATAATAATCACAAGTTGGTGTTACCAATTCATGCGAATTCATGATCATCATTTGCACAATCCCTCAAAACGGCCCGCTGCTCGTCCATTTCCATTCCGTTGGTTTGTTTTTGATCTTGTGTGATAATTCCAATTTCAGAGGAACCATTATAAATGATGACTCTTGATAGAGCAAACCCATTTCTGCTGACCACGGCAGTCTTACTGTAAATAAAGCAATTTGTACCTAGTGGACTTATGCTAGCTGTAAGTAGCTCTTAACGGCAAAACTACTGGAGATGATCAAGATCTGATAAGCGCATTGGATTCCCCGTGCGATTTTACGTAAATACCACATGTCCGTTTTTAATTACTTGCAAAGCACATCAGCTGGGAACATCTTGAAAGGACGCGGCCGGCGATAATTTTTGACAAAAAAATGCGAAGAAAAATAGTGAATATGAAAAGTGTGATAGGAATCGAACGTGGACTTTAATTTAGTCTAACGCACTATAAAAACGTTCATGGGGACAGTATATACTAAAAACAGTCGAAGAACGATTTTTTGAAAACCTCCAAGGACCACACCCATTGTGAAGGCGCTGAAGGCTATAATCCGAAAAAATTCTCGAAATTCCAACGGCAAATAGCCTTACAGCTGACATTGTAGATGCACATTATCCAACGAGTGCTCAAACTGATCCTTGGACTTAAGGCTTTGAAACGTAGCACTTACCGCATGCTGATTATCCCTCAAAAGAAAACAGGGTTAAAGAAATGCAAGGCTCTCTTTAAGCGGTACGCTAAAAAAGGAGTAAAGAAAATTCTCGTTCCAGATGAGCAGATTTTCACTGTGAAGGATTTTTTAAACAAACAAAATGACTTCGTCTACGCAAAATAGGTCAAAGATATCCCTCAATATAGAAAGAAGGTCAAACGTTCCCATTATCCATGTTTTGTAATGATTTTTGCAGATGAGAGCTGATTAGGTGTAATTTCTCCTCATTTTGTCGAAACCGGGGGGAACGTGAAAGAATAAAAATCTTTGAAATACGTTTTTGACTCCGAGGTACATCCCATAAATGAATCCAAGCCAATGCAGTCGACTGGACCTCGCTACAGGACTCAGTACCAGTGAATATTGCAAAAAATGAGCGAAGGGTGGCTGAAAACCAAATTCCGAACATTATCTCCGCTTGGGAATTGTCATGCTTCTTGTAGGATTTGAATCTCTGGACTGTGAAAAACGGTCAAAATTAGGGACAAAGGTGTGTTCTAAGGGCCGAATTACTAATGAGCACTTTGGTGAGTTTGAGCGTGAGTGTACCCTTACCTCGGTACTTTTTATATTAATAATGCATACTTAAAGTTGAGCTCAAGTGAGCCCTTAACTTTTCGGTAAAATGGACCCTCTCACTCACGTCCATATTACTAATGGCAACTTTGACGCATTTACTCATATTGAGCGCAGATAAATACTTAAAAATTTAAGGGAGCTCTGGGGTTCACTTAGCACGATATAAAACTCCATTTTGGTTAGAAATTCACATTTTTTTCAAAACAGCAGCACTATTTCGTAATGTCTAACCGTCTTGATCGTTTCGAGCGTCGAATACAGCGTCGACATCGGCTTCAAAACATTTTCCGACCTCGTCTCCGCGACCGTGCGAATCCATTTGAGGTGTACGATGAAGAAGCATTCAAGAGACGGTTTCACTTGGCAAAACGGACTGTATTGTTTGTTTTTGAGCTTGTAAAAACCGATCTTTCTGCTCCAGTCCGTCGTGGTGCCAGCATTCCTCCTTTACACCAGGTCCTTATCGCCTTGAATTTTTACGCTACTGGATCTTTTCAAATCCCTGTCGGAGACAATTTGACGGTTTGCCAGGCCACAGTGTCGAACGTGATTAGGAGGGTGTCTCGAGCGATTGCAAAAATGTCTCGGCGATTTATCCGTTTTCCAACTCATGCAGAAGCCCCACTAGTTCGAGAACAATTTTTCCAGACGGGCGGATTTCCTGGTAAATTAAAAAGAAATTAGTTATTATAAACTTCGTATTATACAAATTATTATGTATGTTATGTATTAGGCGTAGTTGGCGCGATTGACTGCACATTAATTAAAATTAACTCACCTGGAGGGAATGACGCAGAGTTGTACCGCTGCAGGAAGCAGTATTTTGCCCTCAACGTACAAGCAATTTGCGACGCCAATTTATGTTTTACAAACATTGTTGCTCGCTGGTTTGGATCGGCCCATGATGCTCGGATATTCGACAACTCTTTGGTCAAAGAACGAATCATCACTGGTCAATCGCCTGGAATGCTGCTTGGAGACGCTGGTTATGGTTTGGACCACTACCTAATGGTCCCGCTAAGGAACCCGGTCACGCCTGCTCAACGTCGGTACAACAAAGCACAAATAAAACCTACAGTGCAGACTCTATATAGCCCGAGTCAGGGACAGAGTCCCTGACTCGTTAAGTCAGGCTCCGCTTCTAAATTTTCAGTTAGGAACTAATTTTCTAAATCCAGAAGTGGTTATTGGCCTCCATGGCAAATTTCGGATGAAAATAACAAGTTTTAACGGTATAGGTCAGCCTCCAGGGTCACTCTGGTTGCAATTTACTCACTTTTAACTTCATATTATTTAATACGAAGCCTTTAACTATCACCGTGCCGGAGTTCATCTTTTAAAACAATTTCTAAAAATCGGTATGGGTCATCCCATAGGGTCGCTCCAGATATGAATTTTACCAATTTCATGTCATATTCTTCTATTAAGACCCATTAGCAACCTCTCTACCAAATTTCGGCTTGTTATGACGATTTTGAAAAATCCGTATGGGTCACCCCCTAGGGTCCCTCAAGATCAAAATTTTTCCAACTTGAAGTCATTTGTATCTATTAGGAGCCATTAGCAACCTCTGTACCCAATTTCAGCCTTCTACGACAATTTTGAAATTTTGGTGCATAATTTCCACCCACCTAGATGATCCCCACTGGTCAACCACTTGACCGATTTCGCCCATCTACGAACTCGTTTCCTAACTTTGTCCAATAAGCATATGGTAAAAATTTCAAGTCAATCGGTTCAGCCGTTTTGGCTCTATCGTGCCGGACAGACGGACGGACGGACGGACGGACATGACGGTTCCATAAGCCCTGACTCGGGCTAAAAACCAGAAATACAGTAGAAAGGGCCTTAGGTGTGTGGAAACGTCGTTTCCCATGCCTGAATCACTTACGGTAAAAGCTGCAAACATCAATGACTGTCATTGTAGCAGTTGCGGTATTGCATAATATTTGAAGATTTAAAATAAAATATATATTTAATTATGCATGCATTAATTCTTAATAATATAATCTACATCAAACTATTATAAAGGAAACGCTTAGATTTATTTGAAGCTGACAGGACAGATCCAACAGAAATGATAGAACAAGAACCCAGTACAAACTCTACAATACGAGGACGTGCCAAGCAGAGCGAAATTATACAAACACATTTTACGAATTAGAAGTATAAAATAATCATTAGCAATTTAGCAAAAAATAAGGATTCTTTTAAGCTATTTCAATTTCGTTATCAGGAGCTGTGATAACAAAATGCTGGACTGGATTGGTTGCTGCAATTTGGAGGTCCAATAGCTTCAATTTTTTATGTGATTCGAGCTCCATGAGTTCCATTTCCCGTTTTAATTTTTTGATTTTCAGTTCTTCGTACTGTTGCTTTTGTTTTAATATCTGCATATTAATGGTATGTTCTTCCTCTTCCATTTGAATCACAAACGATCGTTTGTCTACAGTGAGAGGTTTGTCTGGTTACAAATAAAAATTAAATAATTTAAATAAATTAAAGAATTTAGTCCACTTGTATTTATGTTACTAAATATTTACGCAAAAACCTAAACTTACTCAGTTTAGTACTTGTTGCACTGTCATTGGAGGAAGTCGACAGTTTTCGCGATGAGGAATCGGGAAACTTTTCTCGGCGATCGGCTGGTTTATCACTTTCGATTTCTAAGCACATCATACATAAATTACATTTATATATTACATATGAATATGCGTATAATTTTACTAACCAATAGAGTCGGAATCAAAGTCGTTCTGAAGTGAAGTCATCTGGGACGGGACGATGGCACAAATGAGCTCGGATTGCTTGCTAAGAACGTGTTCAGCCATTCCTCCTCCTGTTTTCTTTGCACTTCGAACAGCTTTTGCTTTCTATAATGAGATGAAAAACGATTTAGCATGAGTTCTTAAATCATAGATAGTATTGTGTAATTATTAAATAATAACAAACCTCAGTTTTTGCCCGGCTTTTTAGGTTTTCCCAAGCACGTTTCAACTGGGCAGCGGTACGTTTTATGACGTCGGAGGACAAGTTGAAGCTTCCTTCCAAATCGGTCCACGCGGCCTGCTTGTTAATAATTGTCAAAGGGTCTGATCGTTTGCATTCCAATATGTTGCGTTTTGATGACACCAACTCGAGAAGCAATACTTTCTCGGACTCGGTGAATGAGGGCGACTTCTTTTTTACTTCCAACTTCGTGTATTCACCTCCTATTTCCGGCAAACTATCCTCATCGTCACTCATGACGAAATGCTACGACTAGCTTAAACACAATTAGGTAGATATGAGCACGAGTTAATTAAAATTAGTGAAAAATATAGCAGAATCGGAGAAATAAATAAATAATAATCAGCTGCAAAAGCGGCTGAGTGTGGACTGAGTGTGGGCTGAGTGTGGACTGAGTGTGGACTGAGTGTGGGCTGAGTGTGGACTGAGTGTGGGCTGAGTGTGGGCTTTCACCTTACTCAGCTGAGTAAACCCCGACTTTTCATTAGTAATATGAAATTGAGTCTGAGGGTCCTCTCACCTTAGACCTTACTCAAGTAAGGGCGACCCATCACTTAAAACCTAGTGCTCATTAGTAATTCGGCCCTAAGCCTCACAGAAGTCTGAAAGCTTTAAAAAATTCTTTGACCACGAAATGGAACAATTTGTCCAATGATTCCGAGCGTGCTGCAATCGAGGGCTGTAGGCCGCATCTTCAGCTCTGCATTAATGTTGGGGGAGGAAATTTCGGAAACCAAAAATTGTTTTCTACTTCAAAATTAACTGGCTTTCCATTAAAATTTACTAGAAATCTGTAATGCAAAAACTGCCGAAGCTACAGCGCATCATTTCACTTACAGTTACTGAGGGCCACCCTGTAGTATACATCATTTATACATCTTCGCTGGCACCATGGTTGATCGGGTAGCATTGCCGAAGGGCTGTACAAACTGCAAATCACTCCATTTCCTAGAAAAGGTTAAAGCACTGTTTTATCTTGGCATTATTGGTCGTGTACAGAATTCAGGAGTGACGGAAGGTTGTTGAATTCACGGGACTCAATTCTTGATCAGCATCAACATCATGTTCCTCTTCATATCAAAAAATTACGGCATCCAACAGTCTTTTATACCCATATGTACACACATGCTTTTGTAACTACCGTCATTCTCCATTCATACGCAAATATTGGTATCTATTTTAGTATGGTCAAGTTTAAAGAGGTTCGTTCAGGGAAATGCACTTATATTTTCTCACATGTAAGTACCTGTATTAGTGTTGACAAATAGCTTCTTGGAAGGGCATTCACTCAGTGGTTGGTGAGTTCTTTTTAAGGAACTGCATTTCCGAGGTCCAAGTCATTCAAATTTGGGCAAGACCAAGTGTAAGAGTACGCAGTTTTTTAAAATAACAATTGTACCATGAAATCAATTTTGGTCTTTGGAGTTGTGATTTTAGCAGTTGTCACACTGGGAAACGCCGTGCCACTGATCGACTCTAAAGAGGATACTGTCCAGCCCTTTAGCTTAAGTCCTGGAAATGTAAATCCTGACGAATTTTTTGCAAAGGTTTATGGAAACGGAGGTAAGAAGTAGCCAACATTGTATATTAGCCTTTTTTAACGTAACTTTTAAAAAATATTTTCAATTATTTCTACATATTTCTAGCTCCTGCAACCATTGTATCTCCTCCACCGGCTCCACCGTTTACATTCTCTTCAGCTTCATCAAATGATGAAGCTCACGATGATCTCTCGGATGACAGTCATGAAGGTTTGCATACATACTTACGGAATTTAATCTAATGATCTGTTATTTTTAAAGTTAATTATTATTTTTTATTCTTTTTACAGAAATTGTGTTAACCAGAGTTCAAAGATCTCCACAACATCATCACCATCATCATCATGGACATCATGGACACGGTGGCCATTACGGAGGTCATGGGCATTATGGAGGTCACGGACATTATGGAGGTCACGGGCACGGTCATTATGGCCACGGTCACGGTCATCGTTACGGATAATTTCTGAACTATACAATACTTGATTGCACCTGAAATTTTGACTGAATGTATGCGATTTCACAAAATAATGATAATACAAATTGACGTAAAATAATTAATTAAAAACTTATATGCATTCAACAGAATTTTCTTAATGGCATAGTACGAATTTGTACAATGAGTCTGCACAAGAAGCCTAATCATACGTCTCATATACATATTTATTATTTTGCATATCCTTTTTAATTTACATATGTATAAGCACCATCACCAATCCCTAAAGTCAACATTGTTTTAATTAATTAATGTATAGTAACACATCGATGTCGGATTTTCATCATTGACTTGCGGGCACACCAATTTAAGTTGAACAATTTCCGGCAGTTGAGAACTATCTGCTCCAAAGCTTTTGGCAACAATTGAAGCAGGGATGGACGATGTTTGTGTTAACGTGTCTTGCTGGATTTCGGAAGCATCAGTTGCCGTTTTTCGAAGGTTCTCTGCTTCTTGCAGCTGCCCAACATTAATTAAAAATGGAAAAGTTTCCAGCAAATTATACTTCCTCCCAGCAAACGTATCTTCTTCAACCCTTGAGTTTCTGGGCAAACTATTTGGCCAGTTTTCCTCCGAACTTTCTCCACTTTCCAGTCTGTTGTCAAAATCCATCGGTTCGTTTTCATTGGCAGAACGCCAACCACCCCCACCGCCTTTCTTTCCACCTCCTCCTCCACCTCCTTGATTCCAGCCACCTCCACCTCCACCCCCTTGGTTCCAACCACCACCACCTCCACCCCCTTGGTTCCAACCACCACCACCTCCACCCCCTTGGTTCCAGCCACCACCACCACCTCCTGCAAAGTTTAATGATCCTTTAACATTTTGTTTTGACTTGATTTAATGTACCTATAGTCAAATAATATTTTTGTAAAAAAACCTCCACCCCATCCACTTCCTCCCCCTCCTCCGCCTCCCTTCTTCATGGCTTTCTTTTTGGCCTTTGCTTTCTTCTTTTTCGCCTGTGAATATTTTCACAAATTTATTTATACGCTGTGTTGTATATGCATGTCAGATAAGTGCTACATATTAAAAGATTTTTACTTTTGCTTTCGCTTTTGCTGCTTTCTTGTCCTCACATTCTTCCTTCCAGCCTCCACCGCCCCCACTTCCACCACCCCAGCCACCCCCTGGGGGCCCCCAACCTCCCCATCCCATTCCTTGTCCTCCTCCCATCATTGGACCCCACCCACCACCAACAACCATTCCACCACCCCATCCGACTCCTGCTCCTCCCATCATGGGACCCCATCCACCACCCCAGCCAACCGCGCCTCCGCCCAATCCACCACCACCCCACCCAATATTTCCACCCCCTCCTTGACCCCACCCTCCTCCACCTCCCCCTCCCCCTCCTCCTCCTAAAAACAGATTTACTAATTAGTATAATAATTTGATTACACATTTTAAAGAAAAATAGCGAACCTCCGCCACCTTTAACTTTGGAAGAGGTAGCCACGCCAGCGGTGAGATATATTTTGGGTAGAATTCTCTGTAATCAGGTAAAAAGATGTTTCAATAAATGGATGCTAAAAATTGATAATATCTTGAATTACAGCATCTCCTGTGGGAATCACGACCACACTTTTCCCCCCAGACAGGCTACCCCGACCTTTCCGAGAACTCGGGATGAGTGAAGAAGTGTCACCAGTGAGCTTTCGCGAGTCATGCTCAGGAACAGAAGTTGCAATGACATAAAGAGATGTTGTCGTTAATGAAAACGCCTAGAACCAAACCAAACAGAAACATTATATGCACAACTGCACACACAGTGCATAAATCGCGGGATGACTTACGACAAGAAGTTTATAGTTATTCATGGCCTGATGACCAATTTAAAACTAAAATAAAATAATGCGACCAGAAGTGGTTCGAATTTTTGTATAAATTCAATTGTACAACTCTTGGACTGGTGCAATTGGATGCAATTCTCAGGGTTTTATACTCCCAAATTCGGAAGTCATTAGAGGAAGCACATTACTTGCTGTATATCATTATGCCGAAAAAATTATTGCCTAGTCTACATATGAGTAAAAGAATGAAATAACTCATTCTGGGCAAAACTTAAACTTCACGGTTTACCCGAAAATATGGTGGTTTCACAAAAAAATTATCTGCATAAGCGCCCATTCTTATGACATTATTGTGCATAATTTGTCAGAACAAATTGCAAGGATGCTGCGAAGTTGGACACATTAGTGAAAATAATTCGGATGACTTTTGGAATGTTTTAAGTAAGCGTGCTAAGAAAAAGATATGCGCAATATGAATGAATGAGAATTTTACATGTGTGTCTACCCCAAGACAACGACACGGCCAATACATGCATGAACAGCAGAATGAGATTGGCATATGTGACGCATCACCATTCGTTAAGTTATTATGATTTTTTTTGTGTGTAGCAAAACTTGGAAAAAGTGTGTAGGTGCACTTCCGAAAGAGCGAAGAAAACTGACTGAATAACAACTCACGGCAAAGTCAATTAATTTATCTCGCAAGACTATTGTCACTGTCACTCAAAGTTTACAGTTTCGATTTATGTCTGCTTGTTTAAATAAATTGCTACGCTAACGTTAGATTATCATCCATAAATTATCAAGGATCGTGAGTGACTATAAATTGGAAGCAAGACAGACACACCTTTTTGATACACTAATAACGGCGAATAAACCAAGTGAATGTACATTTTAAGCATGTGCTAAATGATTTATAGTATCATAGTTAGCATGCATATGTACTGTTTGAAAATGACGGAAGGAACTCGTGTTTTAAAATTTTGAGAATTCGTTTATTCGTCTTTGCTGAGAAATGCATAAAATTTGGTCAATACGAACTAAGGACGGGGTTCACAATATGTATGCACTACGTACACAGGTACATACACGCATTCAATTAAAAACTTTTGGGTTACTTGCAGGCTCGCAATTTTTTTGTCTGGAGAAGTCATAGCACAGGAAGTTATGTTAATACGTATTTCCACTTTTGTATACAATACATGTGCCGTGTTTATAGCTTGTTTACACATTTTTAATACGAACATTCTGGATTACGCTCATTACCACATCGCTATTGTAGGATAAAACTTGATGACCTTATCCTGACCGTCAGAATCCATCATACTATTACGTGCACATTTTCAGACTCACAAAACCATTCTTCTTCATTTTCCTGCAATTAAGATTGCAGAATATTTCCAACAAAATCATTTCAGCTGCCGTTCTTACCTTCGTTGTCATCTCACGTGGTTCAAATAAAATACTTTTATGATGGGGTTTCCCTAAAAAATACAACTCCACATGCCATGGGCCATTGGTTTTTATATCCTAATTCATAAAACATGACACGTTGTTGACCTGGCCCAACCTTATTTATTTATACATCACTTTCTAGCCCACTAATGTCTATTACTCTGGTTTTGGAATATTCTTGCATCGTCTTGTATGCCTTCTTCATTTTAGGACCACATCAGTAAATCGTCTCATTACGGATATGCTTACAGACACGAAACCTGCTCATGACTTCATCGATAACATGAGTGAGAATGAAATGATGAGCATGTTAAAATAATGATTCACTTACTGCTATTGTTGGTAATAATACAAATTTCTTCGCATGAAGCCGGATCATCTTCATTTCTAATCTGACGCATATATACATGTGTACAATGTACACAATATAATAATCAAGCTATCATATGCCCATGAAATCATCACTAGTTTGACCATGCAAGCAGGGTTGCCGTCCGATCGGATAGCATAGCTGAATAGGATAAAATTATCCATATCCGATCCGACAAATTCACGACTCGAATAAATTTGTGATGATTATCCTATCCGACAGGTATCGGATCGGATAACTAAATTTACCTCAATTTTGATTGAAAAAAATTCAAACTAACGATTCCTTCTAGATTTTAGCATACAATTTAACATTTGTACAGAAAAAAGAATCACTCCAAATGTATAATCCAGCCAGTCTTCTTGGCACATGTATCGACACTTCATTGTATTATTAGCTAATAATTACTTCCATGTCATGCTATCCAACTACGATAGCAAAACCCCGAAATGTCCAAAAATAAAAGATTTTATTTCTCATTTTGTACGAGTACATTTTAGAAATATCGCCGGAAAATCTGCAGACATGTTCATTTTAAGCTCATGACTATGAAATTTTTGCAACTGATGCTAGAAAAAAAATAAACATGAATGAAATGCACTTTGCCACTGGGAAGAAATGCAAAGTATGCTTTAAATAGGATAAATAGTTGAATTTTAAAATATCCATGAAATATAATAAATTGAAAAACTTATCCTATAAAATCTTTATCCGACACTGTTTTTTAATCTTCTATCCAACCGGATAGGATAATGCCGGATATTAACAACGCAACCCTACATGCAAGTTGTCTCTCCTTATAAACTGTTAATATCTGTTTTCTCACAGTTCATTACCAAAGTAGAGTAGTGGAAATCACCACCATCAAGCAGCTCTCTTTTCGTAGTAATAATAAGACGTGAAATTGAGATATCACGAGAGTTCAAGATTTAACTTTACAAAGTCAGAAGAAGCTTTCTTGTTCAAGAGGAGAGGTCAAGACGGACTTCTGCTCAACAAAATATTATTAAAAAATTATTTATCATCACAATGTTTCGGAATATTATCCTCGGTGTGGTTGTGATCCTTGGAGTAGCACTTGCCAGACTCACATTCGCCTTTCCATATCAATATCAACAGAATAAATTGGACCTGGATCGATACTACACTTGGCGAAATACAGATTATGAACGTAAGAACAGTTAAACTGATGTTAATTAGAATTAATTCTAATTATTAATATCACATTTATTAAATATGCATAATATTATATAGTGCTGGCCCTACCTTCGGAAGACCACCAATACTCCGTACGAGTTCCTCCTCCTCCTGGTTTCCGGAATACACGGAGAAAACGGGAAATAAATCACACTTTCCATCTCAGGAGATAATGAGGAACTCGAGAAACTGGAACTGAATAGATTTAAACTTTTACATGAATATCTGTAAAACTATTATAGCACTGAATAGGTTGATAGTTGATACGGTATAAAACGCTTATGTATATACATATTTAATTGTCTCTATGAATGTACGTACATGGTGCATAAATAAATACCAGTACATACTGCATATAGTACATTTTCATATTGATTAGAACCATCACCACTTAATATTTATAATTTTATTCAATCTCAATAATTTCTGCCTGTTTGTTGTTGAATGTATACTTATTAAGTAGTACTTAATACGAATCAGATCTCAAATTGCATTCAAAGCAATATGAGAAAGGTAGGTATGTATGCATTTAGAATAGTAACAATAAAAAGCTGATAGAAAATACATTTTTGTTATATTTCCAATTTTCTGAAATTTTTGACAAACGCAGATTTTTAATATCAATATACTGTAATATGAGTATGAGAAATCAGTAATTTAATAGGAACAAGAATAAAATAAAGGCGTATACACATATACATGTGTGTGTGCATATATGTATTGGTATATACTGTTGGGGAATTATTAATTACTAATCAGTGATTACTACTAGTAATCACCAATTATTATGCACACAGATTTCGCCAATTTCACTTCACATTTGATGTGCACGAGTGAGCTAACCAAGTTTGCTAAGATAATTTTTGAAAACTATTTATATAAATTGATCTTTATAATTCGTTGTATTTCATACACAATTCATTCACGACTTCAAAACACCAATTCAATTCAACCACCAACTTCTAGATAATGCTAAATAGTATTAAACTTGATGCAAAGAACACTGCTAACCATATTTTCGGGAAGGATAACGTCTGCTGCCATATTTGAATATGTATGATTCGAAGTTCTATAAATAATATGTACGGACTTCATAACCGTGGGATTAAAAATTTCGCTTCATTGCTTCTTGGTATAACATATCCATTTGTTGCCAAACTAATTACGTTTCCGAGTTTGACAATTTCTTTACTATGTACAGGAAAAAATAAAGCTGAACTACAATTCAATATTGCTTTATTCTTTGTCTGCGCAACTGTTTCTCTGCTGTTTGTTGTAGCGGAACCATTATTAACAATTAATTTATACGGAATCCTGATGAAAGAATCCAGAAGCAAATAAGTGTATGAAGAAATTAGCAGGTACATAGATACGTCATGAAAGTCGGGAGAATAATAAATTTATCCACGCATACATATATAAGCGTTGGAAAATTTTGCTGCATTAGCACTATCTAACTTGTAATATATACTAGTCCACTAGTTTGTGATAAAAGAGTATATAAAACTGATAACATATAAAAATGAAGTTATTGTCTTTGTATTTTGTGATTTTGGTTTTTTGTTCAATTTTAGAACTTTTACATGCATCCACAATTATGGAAATCCAGACATTTATGGACGACGGTAACTTCACACATTCAATATTTGAATGATTACTTAATATTATATGAAAATTACAATTTTCTAGTCAACGACCACACCCATCGTCGTCTTAAACGATCACCAATTTTGAAGAAACTTTTCAGAGGGCGAAACGGGGGGAATACTAATCAAAACGTATACAATTATCACCAATACCAGTACAATCCACAACCTGGCTACCGAGACCAGCAATACTTTGGTCACCCTCCTCTTAATAACTACTACCCACCCATTCAACAGCAATCTAGCGCAAGTGCCAGCGCCGGGACAATCGGGTCGGGAAATATGCAGGCGTCATTTTCCAGTGCATCAGCATCAGTAGGGTCTTCTTACGTCGGTGGTCGTCTCATGTCTAAATAATTAATTTCAAAACATTCGCGTTTTTCTTTTTGCAAGTATTTTGTAATAATTCTTAATTATTCTAACCTGATTAACCTAATTCTAAATTACTTTAATGCCAAATACTTGTTTTTTACATTTTAGTCCTAATATGCACTGCTTTAAAAATAATTAAAAAAATCATTGCATGTATTCAAATTAATACCTTTGCGACGTGGTAATTCAGCAGGACTCCATATAATTGAACATTTTTACATGAGCTATAATAAATTAGCGGTAGCGAAGTGCTGAAAATACTGCACTGAACATGCTTCAAAATGCGAAAACTTGGAGTTTTTAGCGATTCAACATTTTTTTACCTCGTTTTGCAGGGTTACAGGGTCGTCGTGCCTCTAAATGATGAATGCTTTCTGAAATCCCTGCCCCCAAACTACGTCTTCTAAATCCGTCGTCAAAACAAAAATTTGACATTTTTGGCCTTATAGTTAACGAACTCCCCCTTACTTTTAAAATTAGATGTGGATATCCTGAAGCAGAACTAAAAAAATTGATTCGTTCGAAAGGTATCGTGCTAACGGACAGATAGACAGACACACATATAGGTCGCAATACGTACATAGTTCATTCCGCTATAATTCTCAACATTCTCATAATGTTGAGAATTCAAGCAACTGAAACAGTCGAAGAGCGAGGCTGCTAAACTCTCTCAGTCAGCAGAAGTGAAAGAGAGAACAAACGGCCAAAGCAGCTGAGTTCATATTTGAAAATATTTCTAAAAGAACAGGTCAAAAAAATGAAATAAATTTCAACCAATGTGACCACAATGTCGAAGCCACAAGATATAGTCCTTCGTGCAGGAGCTAAGATAACAAATATAAGGTATAATTAAGCTTAAATTCCATTCATTTTCTTTTGTACTTCTTTCTGAAGTGTATAATCAAGTGGAATAAGTAATCACATACATTTACAATTTTCATTTGAAATTAAATATTTAAATAATTTGAACAGGTGTTAAGTTAACTATTTGCAAACAGACAAAAGTCAACAGCTTGATGCAAGACTGATGAAGACGAACGGGCCGAAGATTCCAATTCCAACTAAAAGTAAAAATGGCTGACTGGTACTGGTCCATGTTTTCAAGTGAATGAATGAAAGTGCTATACGAGCGAGACTATGAGGTGCAATTTCAATTGAATTTGGTATGATCTATAATCTTCGGCATGCGGAAATTTATATTTTATATGTGTAATAACTTTATTGCTTGTGTGTGTCTTCAGCTCAGGAATCTATTACCTTGCAATTCACCTACCATATTGACGATAGGGATTGGAATCATCGACATCATCATCGACCTCATAAATTACTGATTCTATGATTCAAGAATATAACCAACACATCACTATGCGTATCAAAGCTCTATATGCTCTCTTAGTTTAACTTTATGTGCTGGAAACTTGGCAGTCGATTTGGAGTAAACGGCAGCGTATTTATCCAAGTTTACTGAAATGGGAAAGAAAACTGTTAGTATCAAGACCACCACTAAAAGTGGTGGACACTCAACGGTAAAAAAGCCAACCACAACTAAGTTAGCAATTAAAATGAAAAAAATATTACCTCAAAGTAAAGTAAAAGGAAAGACAATCGTTAAAAAGTTGACAGCAACTATCGCAAGCCCCACTAAAAAACTTCAGAAAGCAAAGACGAAAAAACCCAGCGCTTCTGCAAGTACCCCACCAACATTTTCAAAGCCTAAGTCTCATAAGAAGAAGCAACCGCAACAAACTGGAAAATCCTTATCATCAACTTCCATTAAATCGACAAGCACAAACAATAACTCTAGAAGCATTCTTCCCAGCCCTGGGTGTAAAATTAATCCGCATCAGCAATCAGTTTCTTCGAATTCCAGCTTAAGAGGCTCCACTCGAACTAATATTAATGGAAATTTGTCTCATCCTGTTCGCAAAAAACCCAACAGCGACACCAACCCTGCTGGATCTGGGATTTCCAAGCCTACGTCTGACAAGTCCCTGTTAAATGTTCGTCATGATGTCCATATACATGGATTTTCGTGCTTATCTAATACAGTTCAAAAAGCAACTCCACGGGTAATTCTTTAGATATCGTTTTAATAATCACATAATTTGATTACTTATGCATTAGTTTATGCAGAATATAATTTTATACTCTACATAAATTAATGTATACATAAATCATACTATACTAATTGTTTTAATTAAATAAATTGTGTTACTTCTTCTTAGGTCAAAAACTTACTACTCAACGAGTGTGACTTTATTATGGAATGTCGCTTTTGTCGAAATCTGTTTCGATCACTGCCCAACTTCATACAACACAAATTCAGCTTTTGCAAAAATCTGTTTCACCCAGCTGCAGAGAGTGGATGTTCACAATTTATCGGAAATTCTAGCAAACCTTCAAGGGATATTGATTTACAGTATTACTTTGTGCCCTCGCCTGCAACGACAAAAATAATGCCAAGTTCTCCAAACGAAAAAACATTAACCAACGGGTCAAGTGCTACTGTTGAGTGTAGTAATAATATGACGATGGAATATAATACCACTTCATCTTCTGTAGCAGCAGCAGGACATGATGATAATGAGGCTACGTCTGTTCAAATTGGAGACACAGAAACAAGGTCTGCTGCGTCTTTGTATAAAAATATTGAACAATTGAACGAGGAACGCGAGACAGGTGGCAATGGTGAATTCGGGGCCGAGACAGTGAAATTAGCATTGCGCCCTGTTCCTGGAAGGAGTGATTCGGTCATGTTTCAAAATAAAATTGAAGCGGATAGATCTGTCTGTGATTCGACAAATAACGTGTTTGATAATCGAGAGGTTTTGGATCGTGATACCGGTGAGTCCTCATATGATTCAGGAGTGCATAAGAGATTGAATGCGTTGGACAGGAGATAAGAGCGAAGAAAGTAACCATATGTTTGAGGGACGTATGAAGGCAAATAAATGCAATGCCTTTATTTATATATCAACAGTAAAACTCATATTATCGGTATGCTCAACTAAAACAGTAAGGGTCCTTCCAGTTAAAAGTTTAAAAACTGTCTGTATAAAAACTCTGTCCCCTCTCTCAATAGTTTGTACATTCTCGTATTTCTTATTGTCCCTTTGAATGAGGATGCCATTGTAGGATTGGCCCTTCATTTCTGCAAGAACAAGAGCTGCATGACCCAATCCCTCCTTGTGCAATCTTTTTTCACCAAATCGAATACATCCTTCTGCTGATCCGTCCACTGTTTAAAAGATTTAGATGTGTCAATGTTATTTGCAATCGCTAGCTGCTCATCCGACAGGGGGGTTTGGTAGATGGGCCCTGACTTGAATTGGTCACTGCTACATTAGAGAAACAAGAATTTTAGCATGATATATTGATTTAAACATACATGTATGTAAACTAACTGGGTGTAAACAGAATGATCCTCCTCCCCAACCCTGGACGTTTTTAATCCAACACTGACTTTGTTGTTGGGTTCAACTCCACAATAGATTCTAGGTAGTTTTGCACAATATCGATCTTTGTTGATTAATGGGGAGCTGCTATCATCATCATCATATCCCACGGTGAAAGTCACTCCATTCTCTTTCAAAATCTTTTCCACCACTGCCAAATTAGCGTTGGACATAACTAACTGTTCATGAAGGAACGAATGCGGTCTTATGGGTGCATCTGATTCGATTTTTTCCATGTTTCTGAACAATGTGATGAGCGCGACTGACAACTACAAATACAAATACAATTGTTATGAATGTTTTAAACACTTAAATCAGTAACTTACTGTGATGGAATGTATGGTAGGAAGTCGTTTCGGGGAGGAGAGAAGAATAGATTTTTCATAAGTCGGAGTGAATTGTGCGTTAGGATGATCCGAGAGGTATTTTTGTACGAGAATGCTGTTGTAAGCAGATTTTTTAATCAGGTCTGACGTCCATTTTTTTTTGCACACCTTGATAACTAAACATAGCACGATAACAACAGGTCCTCTCATTAACATCATGCATAACGGCAAAATATTTAAATCTGGTTGTTGAATGGTTATCACACAAATAACCCTCCGATGTTGACCTCGACCAACATTGTTTGCATTTTTTGAGATGAGGGAATCCTTTTTGCATAGTGCCGTAAAATAGTGTTGATCCAATCCAATGTAAAGGAATGAATTCATCCCACTTTTTTTCTCCGACATCGTCTTTTTGGGGGGTTTTCGCACCTTTGGTTGGGATTGTTGTGGGTGTAGCTGATTTCCTCTGAGTTGACTTATGAAGTTGGACTGGGAAAAACTTTTCGACTCCTTTTTCTTTATGAATATTATAGTGACTCCTCCATTCCCCCATTAGCTAAAAAAATAGGGGATGTTTGTCGATTTCTTCATCCTTTCCAACAAAACCTCTTTGAACAAGAACACTTTTCACATAGTCGAATATTGTTCGGATATCACTCTTCCTTGGTAGTTTGAATTTTGGGACGCTATCCCCTTCTTCGTCCAACTCTCCAGCACCCAAATCCGAATCAGACGAATATATCGTTGAGGAGGGAGAAGGCGTTGTTGTAAAGGGAGAAGGAACTGTTGAATTGGGTGAAGGAACGGAGGGAGAAAACGGCGACTGAGGTTGAGCGAATAGGGGTGGAATGTATTTAAAAAAAATAGAAATGCAACATTGCATAAAAACTACATTTTAAGTTATGCATTTAATATCTATCCACTTACATAGCCAACTAATTTTTCAACCAGTTCTCTCGTCAACTTGTCAACGTTATTGCCACTCCGTTTAAGGTGGACATCTGGATTTGTGGGAGATTCGTAGTCCGCATCAATGGGATTTATAACTTTACAAATAAAGAAATGAGACAGAATTCACATATTACACATGCTCCAATTTGCTCACCATTACGACTCAGGCCAGATTCTGCATCACATTCTGCTCTTGACCTATCCACGAAGACATCTACAAACTTCAGTCCGTCTTGCTCATGAGAATCCCTGGCTTTCTGTCTGTCCTATAAATATGTATAAAATTAGCAACCTAATCATACAATATTACATTCTTTCATATTCATATCTCACCTCATGTAATGGACCCACAATGGAAATGATGGACACGAATCCCTCTTCTGTGAACCCTTTTGCGTGTTCACTAGCCATGTGAACAAACGCCGACCGATCCTTCTCTTCGTCAAAATCTAGATTTTTGCAGAGACCGGCCCTCAAGTACTTTCCATCTATTTGTTTCACTAAAATCCCGTTGGATTTGAGCATTTGAGTGAGGGCATTAGAAATCGTGGTCTTCCCCGACTTCGCTAGACCTGTTCATACAATCATGATTATTAAGCGATACAAAAATTGCAAACTTATTAAGCCCTATTCAATAATGATATTACATAATTTCATAAGCGAAACATACAAAACATACCGGTCATAAGAATAGTGCATCCTTTCCTAACATCACTTTCACTTTGGTGTTTCATTCTTTTACTAGTTGGTGGAGAGGGGGATGGTGACCCAACCTGGGTAATTTTCCTGGTGGTGGGAGTGGTTCATTTTCACTAATTATTCTGTTTAATAATACAAATAACCGTATAATCAGGAGCCATTTGTTACAAAGAGAACCCGGCAAGTGTTTCTTGGATGGTGTGAAATACGAAGGGGCATATCGATATGGCACACGTCAACTTATTACTAATTACTTATTTCAGCCATGTTGGGACCTGATGGGAAAGTAATCTGCACAGGAACAGCCAGAGGGATTGAAAAAATTGTACGTCATCTCACTGCTCAAATTGATTTAGCCCAACGGAAGATGATTGAGAAGAACATTACGAATCAATTTACGGACATTTGTGATATTTGTAAGAAGTTTGTAATTCTTTGTGTCGCTGTACAATTGCTGGTTAAAAAGTATATAAAATGTTGTTATTATTTTAAACTAGGTAAAACAGTGTTCAATACGGAGAAGGCCTTACGACAACACCGCCGGGATGCACCAGACTGCGTAAAACAGAGTTCTTCAAAATATTCCTCTGCAATAGACACAGGAAATAGTATAAATGGTAATAACAACAAAAGATTGACTGACTGCCATTTATTTCATCATTTATTTAATTTGATTTTTATGTGTATGTTGCTTGAAAATAACATTGCATTGTCTTGCATAGATGCTATCGAACTTGAACACAATGGAAGCAGCACAAAGCGCAAGTCGTTTCCATTTAGAAAGACGCTTGACAATCCTTCGAATTGTCCTCAAGGCTTATCTTTCACAGAGGATGTACAATTCCCTTGTTATATATGTTCAAGAGTATATCAATCACAACAAGACTATTATGACCATTTTGTCGTTGAACGTTGTGGGCGTGTGAAGAGTATTGCTGATAGACCTCCAAGAATTGGCATAGAAGCTCAACATTATTACAAAAAAATATCCAAACCGAGAGAACCCTTCAATACGACTAAGCCAACAGAGTTTGACAATATAGAACACATGTTAACGAAGGAAGATACTGTAACTGATAGCGCTGTTGATGTGAATTGTAACATCCCTGCGAATTCTAGTAACATAGAATCTAAACTGATGTATCCTCTATCAGCCGACAGTACTTCTAACCAACTTAATGGAATACGAAAACAAGACACGGCTAGTAATAATACAACAAAATCGACTTGCAACGCATCATTAAATCTGCAAAACAACGATGCATGCACTAACAATGATCACACATACGTATCAAATATTCAAACAGTTTCCTCGTTAGAAGAATTTGAAGGGAATCAAGATCAGGAAACGGTTAGCGATATGACCGATAGTGGTGTCAGCTCTGGCTCTGCAAACGGTACTAGTGATGACCAGTTCGAAGTAGATGGACAAGTTGTTGAATCGTCATCATCAATGGATGCAGACTATTTACTAACGGTAGGAGCCTCACCAACCGTTTTGAATAGTTGCTCGTCAACCAATCGACCGTCTAAGGTTGTTATATTTTTATCCTTATTTACACACAGTCCAAGTCATCAGTCAAGTAATTTGTAATTTCAATTTTACAGAGGAAATCTTTGAATATGATTGACGATCGAGTCCTGGTACCCAAAAACAAAAATTTGAAGCCTGGAAATCTTGAAGCCGTTCAAATGTTGAAACGAGTCAGTATAAGGAATCTAAGAAAGTCAAAAACCTTGATATGACAGTTTAATTCTTGCGTTTAGACAAAAGCAACGGACTTGTACGTCTACTTTTTACATGCATCTGATGAGAAATTATTGTTTAAGGACATATAACGCGTACACACCAACGACAACGCGCCTGATAATTATCAACTATACATAGATACAAATTTTTACTACTGGTTGTGTAACTTAATATATTAGTATAATGTTAAATTTGTAAATGAACTATACGCACGCAAAGCATCGGAATACCTAGTAGATATCTATGACCAATGTTGAACCCATCATCGCATGCATATGAGATATGTATCTTACTTAATAAGTGTTTTTAGTGTATTCAAAATTGATAAAGCAAAGATCGAACTCTTTTGATACATATTTGGAGATCTGATCTGGGAATAGATAAGTTATATATAAGTAAGTTCGAGTTACTAGTTTAGTATATTTCGTATATTTATTATTATATGAATTCGTTATACAAGTTTTATTTAATTCCTCAGAATTATTTATTTATTTATCATATCTAGCATCTACGGAGTTGAAGCAGAACAATGTCGATTAGACATTATTGCTATGCAATAAAAACGATACACTACGAAAGCTACAAAGACAAATAACGTTATACAGATTTGTTAATGATTTTCTTCTGTCCGACATTATTATCCACTAATCTAAGTAAGGACTCGTCAAACTCTGTCCATTCAAATTTTCTTCGCAATAATTGCAACTTTCCTACTTCATTGAGGTTATAGTATTGAGATCTAACATATATGACTAGCATTTCTAAAGCTAGAGAATCTCGAAGTAACTCTTCAGGACATCTCTGCATGTTTTTCTTCCTTTGCAAAAAACGTCTCCAAAGAGCACCTGTTAACATGTACTGCAAAATTATCCCATCACGTAAAAAAATACCCGGTGATATGTAGGCATATTTTTGCATACCTGCCAAAACGACATCGTTTCCTAGTAGGCCTTCGTCATAGGAAACGAGAGTGGCTTGAAACTGGTCGCCCAATTCTAGAATTTGCCTTTTTCTTGCAGAAGCCAGAGCGCCATCCAGTTTCTTGGATTTGAGATCGCAATCCTCCCACAAAGCTTGAAACATGGAATTTCGAACCACCCGTCCGTCCGCCCCCTCCTGCATTATCCGCGCCCCTAAAAGCCACAAGTGTAACTCCACAACCGTGAACCAAGATATGAAGGTGTCTTCCAGCTCACAGTCTGTACACATTGCAGTCATTCAAACAATATATGTATATGGAAGCATTTGTAGTTGTGTGTATATGTACTGTGCAATTAATATCGGATGACTTACGTTTGAAGAAATTCAAGTAGCTTACTTCATCTGCAACCTTTATATACATTAAGTAACCAGTGGCTCGAAGATACTGAAAAAAATTGGTATCACGTACTGTTAATTACTTGTTATTTATATGTCGGACATCACCCTACACAAAACTTAATAGTTGACTAATTGGCTTGGCTTCAATTAATAATTTACCGATTTAGATGATTCGCTCCATCCAAATTTTCTGGCAATTCTTTTGATTAGCGGCTCTTCATGTGGGTTACCAAACCCAAAAATTCCTAATGAGTTTGAAGCCGTGTGAATACTTCTGGAGCATACGCTTATCGGGGGATTTAATAATGCGGTGTAGCTATTTGCTAATGAAACTGATGATGTTGCAACACATCGAAACCTTGTTAGTGACGACAACATTTCAATTTTCCAAGAGGACTGTATAAACTACTGTACAAACATTTGACAATTTAAGAGTATTATATATTCACTATTCTATGTTTTGCTGAAGGGTCAGTCAGTCGGCAAGATATGCTGTGTGCACAGGAATGGGAACATTTTACTTTCATTTCAGCAACTGCATGCTGGGGAAGTTGACACTGATTTCTCTCGGAAAAGCCCATGATGCAGACTTTCGTCTAGATGCATGAAAATACTTAACATTTGCATGATTCGGTTTTTCCACATATTGCTGAGAACCCTAATTATGTATTTCATCACAATTGTTGATCGTTAACGATAACATATATCGCATAGCAGAATGTGACATTGCTAAAAGAAGCAGTTAAACGAAGCAGTAACTGTTGGCATCGTACGAGTTGACGGGGAGGAGAGTTCCAGGTTGATAAACCAGGTCCACAACAAATCTCCGCAATTTCTCCGTATAAACTAGACTCCGGGCTGTCTCCTCATCTTCCGCACAAGGACACGAGGGTTTCTAGTTTAGTGGATCAGCACAAGATTATCCATTAAAATCATTGGTAGGGAATCTGCGACAACTGGGATAACGTACCTGGGGTCGTTTGGACTGCAAAAGAACAACGTTCCACATTCGACTGTACTCTCCACGTTCTACGGAACAAGGGATTCCGAATACGTCGCACATCGCTTTGAACAACAAGGCTCGAGTCCTGAACCCTCCGTTGTTGATCATTGAAATGGGAATCACAACGGACTTGTGTTTCAGTTGAAGATCGGCAACCTCAACATCTTCAGTATGAGCACTTGCCTTATTACAATATCATTTACGCGATATAATTTAATTACAAGATTAAATACATGAATTCTCACCCTCCATTTGTCCAAAATTCCACCCATTCGATCAGAAACAGCGACAGCGATTGAACGCACGAGTTCTTTCTCACTTCGAATCTTTCCAAGGTCTTGCTTTACAACATCCACAAGAGATTGACAGTTTTGGTTCTCTGCCTTCATAATTCTCAAGCTCTTCTGTTTTTAATTACAAGTTCATGAACACTCGATGATACAGACTTAATTGCATAATACTACTACTTAATTATGTATGTATTTCTCACATTCTCCTTTAGGGCAGCTTCGTCATTAAAACTTCCATTCCAGTTTAAGAACAGCACTTGACGTTGTATGTCCCTGTTCTCCCAAGTCATCTGGTTCATTGTCATAAAGCAGTCGGTGCTTTTGAGACCTTAAAAGCAATTGCTCGTTGTTTTACTTTTTCTGATAAATTTACAAATAAATGCAAAATGCACTTATTTACCTCCAATGTCATAAAACCCATCCTTGAGTTTCTCGTAGGGGTCAATATGTCCCGAAATTGCATACTTGACTGGTAAATAGGTTGAAATAAGATGTTCAAATGCAGTCCTCACTGGAAATGGATATACATATTTTTAAACATATAATCAGTCAGCATACTATTCTTTGTGATATCGTTTATATAAAACTGACAAGGTCCGTTTTTGCTAATGAGGTCCTGTCGTTGCCAAATTACTTGTAGAATCCCTTGCTCAATTAAACCCCTTGTAATGTCTTGATATGTTCCTAATATCTATGAGCTTTATATGATCAGTTTGCTATGTATACAATCTTGCATATTTAAGTGGGATACTCCTTACATGGATCATCGGGACCGCAGAAACAACGACAGGAAATTCAATATGTGAAAGCAATTCCACAAGGAAACTGAATCCGTCATTCTCCAAAAACTGAACAAAATTGTGAAACTGTATGCTCAGCAAGTTCTTTCTCAACCGCAAGCACGTTGCTCCGAGTATCCAGGTTATACATATATACGGCACTAATTATTATGACTAATTAACTCGTACCTGCTTTCTCCCACCTTCGTTGCACAGCAAACCATACAAAGCATTAGCACATGTTGTCATGAACTGAAATCGTGTTTTTCATAATATAATACAGCTACAATTATGCATGAAAATTTCCCATAAATGATATAATTTGGAGATAAATTACCTGCGGAGATTTGCTATTCTGTGCTGCATTTAACAAGGCTGGAATAATTCCAGATTCAATGCAATGATTCCGCAAATTCCAGTGAGCAGTGATTAAGCCAATGCAGGTCATCAGAGTAAGAATTCCATCCTCGGAATAATTTGATCGGTTTTCAAGAATTCTACGAAATACACAAATCCCTCCTTGATTCACAAAAGTAGGACATGCCTTGTGACTATCTGCAATGCAACAACGCCTCTCATTATCAGTCAACATTCAACAACAAGGGTCAAATTATAAAGTCTGACCATGCTTCATCTTATATAAATTACCTTGTAGTACACTTGCAAAAGCCATCATCGTGTACTCAAATCCAGCATCGGACAGTTTCTTTGTTTCTGCAAATGTTAAAAGTGGTGAAAGTGCCTAGAAATAAGTAAACAGCAGGAGACTATTTTTTACAAATTTCAAAATTCACATGAAAATTCAATTGAAAAACTTGCATCAACAAATTCTTGTTTTGCACGAAAATCGGTTTGTGCAAGTTGTGACACACAATACGCTGCAGTTTCTTTCATGTCGGTTTCACTGTCCCCAGACAATATCTTTATTAATCGCTTGCACATTCCCTGTGGTGAGACGTTATAGTAAAATGATATAGATAAAATAATATGGATCGCTTATCACTCGTGCTGAGCCGAGGTCAAATAATAATGCATACAAAGTCAACGAGCCCTGTGGCCACAGGAGGAACGGAGGACAGGATGCCCAGCAATCCCAAGGCGTGAACCTATAGACATATTTATAAATTACTTTTTACTTATGTATATGCATATATAAGTTGCAAAATAAAGTACGTATCAATTAGAGAAAAACGTTTGATTTCATGACTGCAATGACAAAATTGATGTGGTGCAGAGTTTCGGATAAATGGAACTCTTATCTTCCAATTAGGTTGAGCGATCTCAATTTTGGCGTCCCACGCTCTCATCCCGTCGTGTTGTTTGTTCATTTGTTTGTTCTAGCTCATTTCAATTTTTAATAGGTAAGATAAGTTGCGTCACTCACTTGCGCAATGCTGTCCGGGGTGGTGTCAAGAACTCTGGCAGCAACTGGCACTAGTGGAACGATTTTGAGACGAGCAGACTGATTCATACACATCTGCACAATTGAAAAAAGATGTATAATTCAGCTAGAATTGGAAGTTGATAATGAAAAATAAAATCATGCATGCATACATTGATTAAAGTCTTCAGAATGACTCGATGCAAATCTCCATATTCCGGTAATGCAAGTTTCTGTCATATTTTAAGGGTATTATGATTATACTATATCCATTAAACATTTGAATCGAAATCTCAATGTCGCATTGCCAAATATTACGAAGTTAATTATACCTCCCCCAATGGATGCATGGCTTCAATACCGTCCAAGACCTGGACTCCAGGATCGCGTGCTGCAATTTTTTCTAATATGCTAATTGCGACAATTTGCAAGGCTGGATATTCCGAGTTGACCAGCTTTACTATTGGCTCCACAGAACCTTTGGTCGTTATCAAATCGATATTTAGCGGCTCCTCCAATAATCGCCAAATAGTTTCTGCCGAATTTTTTTGAATATCTGGATCCGTATGAGAAAGGAGATGGATGAACAGAGGAACTCCAGTATTTTGGACAATTTGGAGTCGGCCAGTATACTAAATATATCGATTATACGTATTTTCTACCAATTGCAATCACTATTGTATATATGTATAGTTTAAAACGATCAGTTAATACCAGCATTGCTAAGCTGGATAAGGCAAACGTGGCATACTCCACCACTACATCATCCTCCAAAGCAGCAAGGGAAATAAAGTCGCTAGCCAGCTGAAAATCATCATTGCAACATAAAATTAATTGAATCTTGGGCGATGGACATGAAATAATTGATGAAACCAACATCCAAATCTCGAAGTTGCACCACAGCCTCATGAAAAGTGGAAGTGACCGCAATTAGTTTCATGGCAAATCGTTGAATAACAAGGTTATCGCTGAAAATCAACTTTCTCGCTTCAATCAGTCCGCCCATCTCAATAAACATGCGCTTATTTTCGTCCCTTTTCTTGCAAAATTTTTGAAGACAATTTAATGACTCCAACACGACCTAAAAGTTTAAAATTTCGTAAACAGTAAGTTACACATAGATTTACCACTTAAAATTTATGCATATATTAAAGAAGGGGAGGAACAGGGACAAGGATTACATGCGTTTCAGGGCTGGGTAAGAGGAGGATTGCTGTTTTAGCCTGCTGTGCCTCCACATGACAAGGTCCAAATTTCTTAAGGGCCTCCTCTGGTGATATTTGTTGCGGAGGTTTAATTTCCAAGTCCACGCTGACCCCTCGAGGAGGCTGCATCGAGGTCTTTGGGGGCCGAAGACCTTTTTCCTTCTTTTCCTTCTTCTCCTTCTTGTCCTTCTTTTCCTTCCCCTTCTTTTCATCAGCCCCCTTGGAATTCGACTTGGCCATGATGGTGATTAAAATCTAAAAAGGAAATATGTGTCAGCAGTAGGAAAATAGCTAACAAGTGATGAACCAATTTATGTTCCTTTCGTAAAAAAGGTATGAAGTGATGCTTATTACTCTTACGCTTTATTTAGAGTAACGCATTAATGTCGTTTTAATTTCTGTTTAATTTATTTTTCACCACGACATCAATTTATAGTATATTCTTTTCATTTTGATTTCGTTCAAAATTAATGTCATGTCAACATTTTCTTTTCACTTTCTTTTCGTTAATTTAGAGTGCAATTCGTGTCATTTTCTCTTCTGTTTCGCTTCATTTTGCAAAGTTGACATCCAGTCAACTTTTTTCGAATGAAAATAAAACAAAACACCAGATTTTGATATAAAGCGGAAATGGGTCCCAAAAAAATAGCCCTGAAAAGCGCATTCTCGCCAGAGGATGACAAACTGGCGCTCGAATCCAAGTTGGTGACCCTAGTGGAGCCCCACCGCCACATCTGGGACATCAAAGACAAGGACTACAAGGTCAACACGATGCGACAAAATACTTTTACTAGTATTGGAGAGCAGCTTGGAAAACCTGGTAGGTTGAATTTATCATAAAGTTTCTGATAATTATTAACTGCACCTCAACACAGGTGACGTGTGTATGGCACTTTGGCAAAGTTTGAGGACCCAGTACTTGGCCGCGAGACGAGCTCTTCCAACGGGAAGTGGGGCTAAAGCACGAAGTTCCTTCAGACTGTTTGATGCAATGTCCTTTATTTCAGGAGGACAAGATCAGTCTCAGTGAGATGTTTGTTGCTTATGATTCTCTTAGAATTTTTATTGATATTATACTTTCATTTAGGACCATTTGTAATCTTGATGGTGATGAGGACGAGACAGAGCATGCAGATGACGAATTCTCAACAATAAACTTCGCTGACTTGAACGATGACAACATTGACACTTCCGTTGTCCCAAATCAAACTCAAAACTCTGTGCCAGAGTCTAATCCTCGCCCGAGATCCCATGCTAAATTCGGAGGGGTGCGTATATTACTTCTATTACGTGGTTTTTATGCATGTAAACTTATATTTTTCTGGTGCTGTGTCTAGAAGAGGAAGCTGGACAGTCTGGAGGAACAAATGCTTAATTTTATCAAGGGAGGTGACTCGAAGGATAACGAATTTGAGCGATTTGGGAAGACCATAGCTGCAAAACTTCGCAAAATTCACGAGAGAGATCCCAAAGCTGCTGCGACCTGCGAATACGAGCTTCATGGGGTGTTGCACAAAACAGAACTCAATATTTTGTAATCACAATCACTATATATTTAACTGTATTTAATACGTTGTTAGTTTATTTTGCATGTCCAAAATTTGAATTTGTATTTTATTTCGTGAAAATCATCTAACTCCCGCGTCGACATGATGATCTTGCCAGCTCAACCTTCCATCCTCACTATTAAAGTAGTCCCGGAAGTGATTTCTGACCTGAGCTGAATACTGGGTGTAGTTGTTGGTGCCTTGCCTTGGTATTTGTATCATGCCGTTATCATTCTGAACAGTATCACGCCAGTTCCCATGCTGAACTCTTCCATCCTCAAACCGATCAGGAGTAATGTTGTTAAAGTCCTTCTTATTCATTAGATAATTGTGTAAAATTACGGCTGACAACGTAATTTGCTTCACGAGGTCCACATCTGCTTCAATCACCGAATGGAAAATCCTCCATCGTGCAGCCATTATTCCAAAGGAATTTTCAACGGTCATCCGAGCTCTTGAAAGCCTATAGTTGAAGACTCGGTCCGTCTTTTGCAGGAAGTTTCCTTTATAAGGCTTGAGCAGGTTATGGCGTTGGGGAAAAGCGTCATCACCCAAAAAAACATAAGGTAGAGGAGTACCAGTACTTGACAGGGGTTGGGGCGACGGAAGACTGAAAGTGTCGTCGGAAATCTTCTGTCCAATTAAGGATTTTGATAAAATTCCTCCATCGGACTCAGATCCGTACGAGCCAATATCAACGGCTGTAAATTTGAAATCTGCATCTGACAGAGCCATCAAGACGATTGAAAAATAGGTCTTGTAATTATAGTAAAGTGATCCCGATGCCGAAGGACACTTGATTCGGATGTGTTTTCCATCCAATGATCCACAAGCATGGGGAAAATTCCATTTTCACCTGAATTGGTTTTCATTGTTTATCCAAGTAGATGTGGTGGGGGTGGGTAAGTAGTCTGACTTCAGTGCACGGTTAATGGCTTCAAGGGTTTCTCTAATTATTCCACACACAGACGAAGGAGACACTCGGAAGCTCATTGCGAGAGAAATTTGAGAGTTTCCAGTGGCGAGGTACCTGCATGAATATCATTTTTATTTAGTATTAATACTTGACATTATCATAAATTCTGTGCGGATATTTTTTATTCAATACCTCAGGGTTATTGCCAGTCTCTGGAGAGGTGAAATGGGGCGAATGTGATTGTGCGGGTGCGTTATCATTGGGGTCACCAAGTCCAAAATCGTATCAAAATTTTCTTTACTCATCCTGTTATTGTAATGCGAAAGTACGGGTAATGGTGGTGGCGATATAATATGCATATTGCCTAGTTTACCTAGTTTAGAAAATTTTCTCAGTTCCATTCTTTCCTCCTTATTTGTCGTTAGTTTTTCTTCAAGCCTGAACTAATTTTTTTAGAGTTGTAGTTGTAGTGGGGGGAGGAACTCGGAGGAAGTGCATCAGAGGTCACGCCGCGCCCCCGAAAAATTATCCAACATTGGCGCCGCTAATAAATTGGTCGGCGTTGACCTCTGACCTGTATCATGTTGTAAATATGATACAGTTCATATTTTTTTTAAATTATCACAACGTTCTCTTTAGCTAATATATTCGCAATAGTGTCACCACCGATCGGAACAAGTCACAGAACACTGAAGGACAAAATTATAGCTAATAACTTGTTTAAAATATAAAATGCATCCCAAAATCAGTGTCATCAAATTGATGACATGAATGATGACGATTTATTCGTTTAGTTTATTTTTGTAGTACTATCAAAATCAAATCCGATCTTTTTATCAAAATTAATATCGTGTGTTCATTTGGTTCAGTTGCAATTTCATGTTAAAAATGTATTATGTTATAATTTTTGTTGTCGAATCAGTTCCAGGTCTCTAATAAATCATAACTGCATCAGTAGAATATTCAAAATCGGTTTGCATTAATTCAGTCCCCAACTGATTTTATCACCGCCCCACAAGTCGGTCTCAATGGTATTCTGCCCCCCAGTAAATCCGCCCCCAAATGCAATAGAAACCATTTTTAATTCTGTTTTTAAATGGTATCCAGGTCAAAATTAATTAGTTTTTATAAGGTTAACGGTTGCGACAAATGGTGGAGTTACAAATAAAATAATTATTTTTTAAATCGTTGGTACACGTCCCATGGTCGTGTGTACCAACGACTTTGACCTTTAATAACTTTTGAATGGGCAGACATAGAGATTTAATTCGTTAAGATGAAATCATCGTAATTTTTAGCTTGATTTTTTAAGATCAAAATCTCGAGGGTACTATTTCGAAAATTAAATTTGAAATCCCAGTGTGCAGCGTTTGTTTAGCCCGAGTCAGGGTCAGTGTCAGCTTCTAAACTTTAGTCAGACGACCTGCACCAACTACTATTCGTAATCGGCAAAAATGTTCCCATAATCCAGCATGCAAAATTTCAGCTCCTTGACCAATTTTAAAACCATTACGGGTCTCAGTCTTCTGGGCTGGGCCCACAAAAATATTCATATTCAATGAATATGAATATTATTCATGTTCTTTAGTCCGATGTGCATCATTTTTATTCTACCAATATAAAAAGCAGTGTGTCACCTTGTTAAATCTCTGTGGAAAAATCTTAATATTTACTTCATATTTTTCAATCTAGTCTACCCCCACGGGGTCATGCCAAATTTCAGTCTTCTACGAGTGTCAGGAGCGAATTTCATCTTTTTAATACAATTTTTAAAAATCGATGTGAGTCACCCCCTTAAAGGTGTCTCCACATAAAAATGTTACCAATTTCAATTCGCATATTCTTTCATCAGGGGCCATTAGCAATCTCTGCACTAATTTCAGCTCGATTGGATAATTTCCAAAAATCGGTATGGTATCGGGTCCCTCCAGTCGAGAATTTTCCCAATTTAAATTCATATTCTTCAATTAGACACCATTAGCAATCTCGATGCCAAATTACAACTTTCAACGAGGATTTTGAAATACTCCACCCACCCAGATGACCACCACCGGTCAACCACTTAATCGATTTCGCCCATCTTCAAACTTAACTCCTCATTTGTCACATACTACATGTATACCAAATTTAAAGTCGCTAGGACGAGTTTAAGGAAAGTTATCGTAAAATGATCGGACGGACAGGCAGACGGACATGACGGTTTCATAAGCACTTTGACTAAAAATCACATTTCCAAATTTCCCATTGTAACCAATGACATATTTTCAAAAAATTTTAGTTTTCTAAAAATGAAAATTTATTTTGTAACTCGGCCATTTGTCGTAACCTTATAGATTGATAAAGTGTCAAATAATCTTGATTCTGTAGGTATGGCGTAGACAGGTGAAAGTCGTAGATCATAGATCTTCATAAAGGTGAAAGCAGTGCGGATTTCTCGGATTTCTGCAGCAAAATGCATAGCGTGGGTGAGAAGTGGAAGCATCGAACGTGGCGCTGTGCCCCAATGCATGATCTCCATGAATTTTAGGAAGGTAGAAAAAGCAACGTAGTAGCAAATATTTCATCACAGGGAAATCTTTTTTTTCAATAAACCGGCCCCATTTTTTTATACAAAGTAGTTTGAAATTTAAAAGAACGATTAAAAATATGTCATTGACACCCTTGTCGAGACAAATTTTGACTCTTCGAAAGATTCAACCAAGCAATTTGTAAGGCTTTTTTAATTCAAAAAGTGACAATTTTACTTTTAGTTTAAAATAGACCTATTGAATGTTTCTATTTCTCGTCGTAATTTAATTGAGTAATTGAGTAATTTTATGTTCTGTGATATGAAAACCTTCTCATTTGTAAACTTTAGAGTGCGGACGTAGGAGTTTGTATTCTAATTTACTAATTTCAACACATCTATTAACTATTTTTTTTGCAGGACCTTAAAAGCAATGTTCTCCGGAAAGGATGGAGAGGCAGGAGCAATCCGAGGTGCAGGAGGTGCTTTTGGCAAGCGTGAACAAGCACAAGAAGAACAATATTTCCGGAAACTGGTAATTTGTGTATAAATTTCTGTGAAGGATGCAATGTGAAGTATTGAAAGTACCTTACGGAAAGTATTGTTTTTGCAGCAACAAGAGCAGTTAAAAAGCCTCAAGAGTCATTTGGATGAGGAAGTAGCACATCACGAAAGTGAAATTAAGCGACACCAACAAAGAATCAAACAACTGAAGGAGAAAACCGACAAATTGGACAAGTAGTCAGCCAAGTTTCGCCGAATTGATGCGTTTGTCATTAACATTCGATAAAATCTTCAAGTCAAAAACAACACGTAGTAATTTACCGTTAATTAATTACTTAATTAAATTCCAACCAATATATTGTATTATTCAAATATGAATTGAGCTGCAACTTACACATTGCATTTCATCGCATGCATTGTTTAAAATTGATTCACACAATACCGAATAAATTATATAGTTATCTCTAGAATAAAAGAGTCAGATGTACTAATCAAAGTTGATCATTCTACACGTCATAAAATTAGTTAAATTTAGCAATCAACTTAGATTATCCAGTGGAAGTAGCATTTTACGCGTCATGTAAATGGTTTATTCATAATATTGCATCATATAATTTTGTCATTGCATAATTCTCATGAATTCATTTTAACTAATCTCGTACATAATTTATTTTAAATTCGAAAGTGTAAAGAACATGTAAATTGTTAAAGGCTAAAATTTGTCCCTCAGGCCCCAGTGTCCTCTACCCTTGCTCCTTGCCCATCATCGGCAGATGGCCTCCACAACCTGAAAGGGCAATGTGTACGACGTCTCTTTTTTCACAGACACAACCCTTGCTTTACGATCAAGATACGATTCATACCATACATACTATGGCTCCGCTGATTTGCGCTAATTATGCAAAGCACAAAATATTTAGTTTTGGTTTGATCACCAAATCAGTCACCAGCAAAGCAACTGTTGTTGACTCAACCAAAATCTCCTGTAAAACGACCCCGTTTCCCTTGTAAATTCCCTAAGTGCCCACATTTTCCTAAAATTTAAGGTTTGCGAATTCTAAACTAAAATAACGTTGCAGTAACGTCTACGGTGAAAATAATTGAGGTGGCCTGGGCCTGCCTATTCCGACAAGTGCACATTCCCTTTTGGTTAGTGTAGTTGTACTAGATTGAGGGTGTGCAGTGTTGGAAATAGTTGGTTTGTCGTGGGTGGGTGTAAATGTTGATGAGAGGTTATCGACGACTTGCGTGGGTGGGAGTGATTAATGTGGGGGAGTAGGACTTGGACTCGGCTGTTCAACAACAGGACGGCACCTGCTCCTCCGAATGTGAACTCTGACTTTGAGAACCACAACCGGTCCTCGGAAACCAGGTTGGGGAACCCCCACCCCACAAAAAACGACACTATGGAGGGGGAAGATCTCCAGTTCGTCGAAATTGTACCTTTTGACAAGTACGATCTCCTCAAGGTAAGCCCATCAGTTTTACTCTCATTCTACTGCAGTTACTATCGCTAACTTCGAAGAAAGTAAAAGTCCTTGTTTATACAAATGGACCTTAGGCTTTCAAAGAAAGTAGAATTTCGATCTATTTATCTCTTAGTTGATTTATTGCCTTTAAATTGATGAGTTCAATTGTTGCGAATATAATTAAGTTTTAATTCCATCCAATGCACAATAAAACGGGAACTAATGGTGAAAGATGAAATTCACACGACCTGAAATGAGTGCTTCAAAGTTGCCATTGGGTATACTTGATAGCGTTTCGGTCACCCTCTCTCTGCAATCACAAAGAAATTGGTGAAAGTGAAAGCACTATTTCATAAAAGTAGTGTTGATGTGTCCACCAACACTCCGATACGTTGGTGACCAACCACCTTTACTTTCTCTACAGCAATTATGTATGATTGTCTTAAATACAATTAGTTGGGAGCAGAGGAAACCCCGATGTTGGTGGGTTCGGAAAATTTCTACAACCTGGCACCTGGATAGGCGTCCGAAATCACCATTCGGCACCTTACAAAAGTTTTGTAAATAAATTGTTTAATAAGTTTCCTCTGCATTGATATAGTCTTACCATAGTAAACCGTAAAATGACACCCAATTGATTGCAGTCTTGTTATAATACAATTGGATAGTTAGTAGTTTATCGTGTTTGTTCGAGTAATCATGTTATCTTGACTTGTTATTGGTGTTATTAAGGTTCGTCATAAAAAGCATGATAATTCTGGAACTGGTGTGATAATTATAGGCATCATACATATTGATTTAATATACGAATCTAGTTATAGTTATCTAGAATATTTAGATATTTAAATGACACAATTTTGTCTAAATATTTTACGATCAGAACATTCTCAGTCGCGTGACCAATTTAATCCGTCAATTTGTTTATGGGTGTTTTCGATTATTTTAACTATTGATTGATGGATTGGCAAAATCGTCCACACCCCCATGTTAATAATGTCAATATATATCAAAACCAAGTGGATCTTCTGGCTCTCCATGTTACTGACACAAAGGAATATCATACAATATTTTTTCTGGTAAAGAGTAGCAAAACATCTCTTGATAATTGGTTATTACATGATAGTAGTTTTCATCTTTAATTTCCGTGGAGGCTTGAGCAACGTTTCTAACAGATCTTTTGTGAGTTTTAGATAGAATAATTGTGATGAATACTAATTTGTGGAAAATAATTTTACAGCAAGTTCACTACTTGTCACATTCATGATGAGATGCGTCTCGGTCTACCACCAACTACTGTAGAATCCGTTAAATCTTGGAGCTTAAAACAAAACTGATGTGATTTTAATTACAAGGAAGGATTAACAAAAAGGAACAGTAAATTGCAAACTGTATATATAATAAGTCGCTTATGTATATCTTTCTTACGACATTGTTCAATATTTTTTCATTCCATTATTTTGTACTACGCAGAAAAATAAGTACAGACGGAATTTATTGCATAAAAATTAAACTATCTTGGTGCGAGTAATAAAATATGAAGAAGAAGCAGGAGGAAAACTTGGCCCTAATGCAAAAAGCTAAAGGCGAAGTTTGTGCGCGGCCTACGCTAATTGTTAAATTGTTTCATCGCCATATATGTCATCTCATTGAAATTGTTGTTCAACTTCATTCAGCATTTAAGGCTCCGGCCTGTTTTGTCTGCTCTCGTCGCTCCTCCTCAGCCCATTTTTACAATAGTCATATTAAGCAGATAAAGATAAAAGCTGATGTAAAATATATTCAAAATCAATATGTTTTGGTATGCGGTGGTAAGGGTAACTTCTGGAGTCGGACAACTAGTAAGTACGAGAAACTTCTTCTCAAACTAGTAAGTTTGAGAATTTTTATTTAAAAAAATGGTACATCTTCGTTTTTCCTGGATAAGTTATCCAGGATAACTCACAGATTCAGAATTACATCATTATCAAATTAAATTGATTAAATTGATTACTTATAAATGTGTCGCAAAAAAATACCAAGCTAGTGTAGCTAATGGTCAGATTTGACAAAATTTCTGAATCTTCTTCTGGAGAAGGTCAGACTCAAGCGTGGGTAGAGTTGACATTGACACAACATTTTTACACCATGCAGATGCATTTAGAATTCGTTCACTTAATTAAAAACAACCTTTTTGCACAGTCTAATATAGTGTGTCATCATAACGTAACTTTAATCACTTGCCCACATATTTCAATGATTATTATGCAACGCACTACACCAAACGAAGCCCAGGTCCGAAAGGAACGAGACAAATTTAATGGATGGCATTATTTTATTGCATTTGTGGGTGTGGTCAGTTGGAATCTGGATTTGGAGGTTTCTAATATTATCGATATTTTAGGCGAGTGGGATTTTTGAGTATACACACAGAGTATGATATAGTACACATCATTGATTGGATAATGGAATGTGGCTCATGATAATCAGCTTTAATTGAAATTGTATTTTACTCGATTTGTATTTTTTGCCCGAGTCAGGGCTTATGGATGGAACCTGCCTAAGTTATCTTAAAAATCTTGACATGGGGGTGCGGTGCATAGAATATAAAAGAATACGCATTTTTGTTAATTACCCGAGGGTCCCTACAGGGTGACCCACTGTTTTTTTTAATCGGCTGGAAATAGCTCCTTCACTAACGAATCATATCTGACGAATCGATTCGTCAGATGCAACAAGATTGGCCCTGACTCGGGCTAAATGAAGTCTGCAATGCAGGTTTTAAAGCAGTTATCCTAAATTTGGCTTAATAGAGTTTGTATTTGTAGTGTATAAGACCAAATCAATTAAAATCTTGTTAGTTTGGACCATTACCATCGTAAGAAACAATGTGATCCTTCGGCTTACAAAATGGTTTCATGAAATGTGTATTTCATGAAACCACTAGATTCCTTCAGCAAGAAAAATTGCAACTGATAGGAATGATACAATTAACTTTCGTTATTACCAATTATTTCCTTAACCCTGTGACATTGAAATGATTTAAATACTTTCACTTTCTGAACCTCCTGCAACAAGCCATATCATTTATATTTTCACGTGAATGAAATTATCTCCCACATTCTCTACGTCGTATCAACCATATCTAAAATATATTGATTTAGCTCTCTCCAATTTTTCTCATAATCTTAGAGTTTCCCAAGAACAACTCCTTATCAATTAATCCGTGCGATTGATTGATACCTGTTACTTAATATTATTAATCCAGATGACTCTGATTTGAGTCGGAAATCAGAATTGTGCATTATTTTGCCCAGATTTATCTAGTAGCTTCGGTAAGTAATTAAGACATTCCTCATTTAGGTTGATTATGTTTGGCGTTAATAAAGATCCACAATAAAGACAATCCGGCAGTCGTGAGATCGTGACGGTGAGAAAATTAGTTTACATTTGGAAGACGACACATCCTGAATCTTACGTTTGGTTGAAAAAAAGTAACACATCCGACAATTTTGCAGGTGTAGGTGGCTTACTGTTTGTTGTTAGGAGGAGGAGGAGGGTGTCCACGGAGTGACGAGATGAGTGTCAGTGTAATTGTACCTATCATCACAGTTTGACGACGCACGCTTATCATCATATCGTGCTCTCGACTGTATATAAATATACTATTGTCAAGTTCTTAAACAAAGTGCGATTAGTCCAAACTTATCTCAACGCATTCCAATAACATTGGCTACCTACGTACATACCTGCATAAAACATACTGATGTTTGGTGGGTGACCTGTTATATGATCAATGATCAACATAATCCATCGCTTGTTACCTACATAAGTAGTTGTGTATTCAGTTATATGACTCCACTTGAGCAAAATTGTGTATGGGATATGTAAATAACGTAAACATTGTAAAACTATAAAGGACTTTGGAGTGAAGTAAATTATACTCTTTGATTGTTGACAATAAATTTACTTGCGTCAAACTGCGTCGAAAGGGGTGTCTTAACTGTCCTGAGCTGAAAACCACCTGAGTATATTTAGCCCGAACC